ATCTCCTCCCTACAGCCTACCTGGTATGTGTCCTCTAGCCACTGTGTCCACCCCTCACCCTGGTGTTACATCTCCCTACAGCCTACCTGGTATGTGTCCTCTAGCCACTGTGTCCACCCCTCACCCTGGTGTTACATCTCCTCCCTACAGCCTGCCTGGTATGTGTCCTCTAGCCACTGTGTCCACCCCCCACCCTGGTGTTACATCTCCTCCCTACAGCCTGCCTGGTATGTGTCCTCTAGCCACTGTGTCCACCCCTCACCCTGGTGTTACATCTCCCTACAGCCTGCCTGGTATGTGTCCTCTAGCCACTGTGTCCACCTCTCACCCTGGTGTTACATCTCCTCCCTACAGCCTACCTGGTATGTGTCCTCTAGCCACTGTGTCCACCCCTCACCCTGGTGTTACATCTCCTCCCTACAGCCTACCTGGTATGTGTCCTCTAGCCACTGTGTCCACCCCCCACCCTGGTGTTACATCTCCCTACAGCCTACCTGGTATGTGTCCTCTAGCCACTGTGTCCACCCCTCACCCTGGTGTTACATCTCCTCCCTACAGCCTGCCTGGTATGTGTCCTCTAGCCACTGTGTCCACCCCTCACCCTGGTGTTACATCTCCTCCCTACAGCCTGCCTGGTATGTGTCCTCTAGCCACTGTGTCCACCCCCCACCCTGGTGTTACATCTCCTCCCTACAGCCTGCCTGGTATGTGTCCTCTAGCCACTGTGTCCACCCCTCACCCTGGTGTTACATCTCCTCCCTACAGCCTGCCTGGTATGTGTCCTCTAGCCACTGTGTCCACCCCTCACCCTGGTGTTACATCTCCCTACAGCCTGCCTGGTATGTGTCCTCTAGCCACTGTGTCCACCCCTCACCCTGGTGTTACATCTCCCTACAGCCTGCCTGGTATGTGTCCTCTAGCCACTGTGTCCACCCCTCACCCTGGTGTTATATCTCCTCCCTACAGCCTACCTGGTATGTGTCCTCCAGCCACTGTGTCCACCCCTCACCCTGGTGTTACATCTCCCTACAGCCTACCTGGTATGTGTCCTCTAGCCACTGTGTCCACCTCTCACCCTGGTGTTACATCTCCTCCCTACAGCCTACCTGGTATGTGTCCTCTAGCCACTGTGTCCACCCCTCACCCTGGTGTTATATCTCCTCCCTACAGCCTACCTGGTATGTGTCCTCTAGCCACTGTGTCCACCCCTCACCCTGGTGTTACATCTCCCTACAGCCTGCCTGGTATGTGTCCTCTAGCCACTGTGTCCACCTCTCACCCTGGTGTTACATCTCCTCCCTACAGCCTACCTGGTATGTGTCCTCTAGCCACTGTGTCCACCCCTCACCCTGGTGTTATATCTCCTCCCTACAGCCTACCTGGTATGTGTCCTCTAGCCACTGTGTCCACCCCTCACCCTGGTGTTACATCTCCCTACAGCCTGCCTGGTATGTGTCCTCTAGCCACTGTGTCCACCTCTCACCCTGGTGTTACATCTCCTCCCTACAGCCTACCTGGTATGTGTCCTCTAGCCACTGTGTCCACCCCTCACCCTGGTGTTACATCTCCTCCCTACAGCCTACCTGGTATGTGTCCTCTAGCCACTGTGTCCACCCCTCACCCTGGTGTTACATCTCCCTACAGCCTACCTGGTATGTGTCCTCTAGCCACTGTGTCCACCCCTCACCCTGGTGTTACATCTCCTCCCTACAGCCTGCCTGGTATGTGTCCTCTAGCCACTGTGTCCACCCCCCACCCTGGTGTTACATCTCCTCCCTACAGCCTGCCTGGTATGTGTCCTCTAGCCACTGTGTCCACCCCTCACCCTGGTGTTACATCTCCTCCCTACAGCCTGCCTGGTATGTGTCCTCTAGCCACTGTGTCCACCCCCCACCCTGGTGTTACATCTCCTCCCTACAGCCTGCCTGGTATGTGTCCTCTAGCCACTGTGTCCACCCCTCACCCTGGTGTTACATCTCCTCCCTACAGCCTGCCTGGTATGTGTCCTCTAGCCACTGTGTCCACCCCTCACCCTGGTGTTACATCTCCCTACAGCCTGCCTGGTATGTGTCCTCTAGCCACTGTGTCCACCCCTCACCCTGGTGTTACATCTCCTCCCTACAGCCTGCCTGGTATGTGTCCTCTAGCCACTGTGTCCACCCCTCACCCTGGTGTTACATCTCCTCCCTACAGCCTACCTGGTATGTGTCCTCTAGCCACTGTGTCCACCCCTCACCCTGGTGTTACATCTCCTCCCTACAGCCTGCCTGGTATGTGTCCTCTAGCCACTGTGTCCACCCCTCACCCTGGTGTTACATCTCCCTACAGCCTGCCTGGTATGTGTCCTCTAGCCACTGTGTCCACCCCTCACCCTGGTGTTACATCTCCTCCCTACAGCCTGCCTGGTATGTGTCCTCTAGCCACTGTGTCCACCCCTCACCCTGGTGTTACATCTCCTCCCTACAGCCTACCTGGTATGTGTCCTCTAGCCACTGTGTCCACCCCTCACCCTGGTGTTACATCTCCCTACAGCCTGCCTGGTATGTGTCCTCTAGCCACTGTGTCCACCTCTCACCCTTGTGTTACATCTCCTCCCTACAGCCTACCTGGTATGTGTCCTCTAGCCACTGTGTCCACCTCTCACCCTGGTGTTATATCTCCTCCCTACAGCCTACCTGGTATGTGTCCTCTAGCCACTGTGTCCACCCCTCACCCTGGTGTTACATCTCCCTACAGCCTACCTGGTATGTGTCCTCTAGCCACTGTGTCCACCCCTCACCCTGGTGTTACATCTCCTCCCTACAGCCTACCTGGTATGTGTCCTCTAGCCACTGTGTCCACCCCTCACCCTGGTGTTACATCTCCTCCCTACAGCCTGCCTGGTATGTGTCCTCTAGCCACTGTGTCCACCCCTCACCCTGGTGTTACATCTCCCTACAGCCTGCCTGGTATGTGTCCTCTAGCCACTGTGTCCACCCCTCACCCTGGTGTTACATCTCCTCCCTACAGCCTGCCTGGTATGTGTCCTCTAGCCACTGTGTCCACCCCTCACCCTGGTGTTACATCTCCTCCCTACAGCCTACCTGGTATGTGTCCTCTAGCCACTGTGTCCACCCCTCACCCTGGTGTTACATCTCCCTACAGCCTGCCTGGTATGTGTCCTCTAGCCACTGTGTCCACCTCTCACCCTTGTGTTACATCTCCTCCCTACAGCCTACCTGGTATGTGTCCTCTAGCCACTGTGTCCACCTCTCACCCTGGTGTTATATCTCCTCCCTACAGCCTACCTGGTATGTGTCCTCTAGCCACTGTGTCCACCCCTCACCCTGGTGTTACATCTCCCTACAGCCTACCTGGTATGTGTCCTCTAGCCACTGTGTCCACCCCTCACCCTGGTGTTACATCTCCTCCCTACAGCCTGCCTGGTATGTGTCCTCCAGCCACTGTGTCCACCCCCCACCCTGGTGTTACATCTCCTCCCTACAGCCTACCTGGTATGTGTCCTCTAGCCACTGTGTCCACCCCTCACCCTGGTGTTACATCTCCTCCCTACAGCCTGCCTGGTATGTGTCCTCCAGCCACTGTGTCCACCCCCCACCCTGGTGTTACATCTCCTCCCTACAGCCTACCTGGTATGTGTCCTCTAGCCACTGTGTCCACCCCTCACCCTGGTGTTACATCTCCTCCCTACAGCCTGCCTGGTATGTGTCCTCTAGCCACTGTGTCCACCCCTCACCCTGGTGTTACATCTCCTCCCTACAGCCTGCCTGGTATGTGTCCTCTAGCCACTGTGTCCACCCCTCACCCTGGTGTTACATCTCCTCCCTACAGCCTACCTGGTATGTGTCCTCTAGCCACTGTGTCCACCCCTCACCCTGGTGTTACATCTCCCTACAGCCTACCTGGTATGTGTCCTCTAGCCACTGTGTCCACCTCTCACCCTGGTGTTATATCTCCTCCCTACAGCCTACCTGGTATGTGTCCTCTAGCCACTGTGTCCACCCCTCACCCTGGTGTTACATCTCCCTACAGCCTACCTGGTATGTGTCCTCTAGCCACTGTGTCCACCCCTCACCCTGGTGTTACATCTCCTCCCTACAGCCTACCTGGTATGTGTCCTCTAGCCACTGTGTCCACCCCTCACCCTGGTGTTACATCTCCTCCCTACAGCCTGCCTGGTATGTGTCCTCTAGCCACTGTGTCCACCCCTCACCCTGGTGTTACATCTCCTCCCTACAGCCTGCCTGGTATGTGTCCTCTAGCCACTGTGTCCACCCCTCACCCTGGTGTTACATCTCCTCCCTACAGCCTACCTGGTATGTGTCCTCTAGCCACTGTGTCCACCCCCCACCCTGGTGTTACATCTCCTCCCTACAGCCTGCCTGGTATGTGTCCTCTAGCCACTGTGTCCACCCCTCACCCTGGTGTTACATCTCCTCCCTACAGCCTGCCTGGTATGTGTCCTCTAGCCACTGTGTCCACCCCTCACCCTGGTGTTACATCTCCCTACAGCCTGCCTGGTATGTGTCCTCTAGCCACTGTGTCCACCCCTCACCCTGGTGTTACATCTCCACCCTACAGCCTACCTGGTATGTGTCCTCTAGCCACTGTGTCCACCCCTCACCCTGGTGTTATATCTCCTCCCTACAGCCTGCCTGGTATGTGTCCTCTAGCCACTGTGTCCACCCCTCACCCTGGTGTTACATCTCCTCCCTACAGCCTGCCTGGTATGTGTCCTCTAGCCACTGTGTCCACCCCTCACCCTGGTGTTACATCTCCTCCCTACAGCCTGCCTGGTATGTGTCCTCTAGCCACTGTGTCCACCCCTCACCCTGGTGTTACATCTCCTCCCTACAGCCTGCCTGGTATGTGTCCTCTAGCCACTGTGTCCACCCCTCACCCTGGTGTTACATCTCCTCCCTACAGCCTGCCTGGTATGTGTCCTCTAGCCACTGTGTCCACCCCTCACCCTGGTGTTACATCTCCTCCCTACAGCCTACCTGGTATGTGTCCTCCAGCTGCTGTGTCATCAGTGGAGTCTGGATGTTGACGAACTCGGATGCCTCCTGCATCTCCATGAGGAATGCCTCCCAAGAAGCCCACACCTGTTCCTCCAGTTTCTCCTCCTCTGGATACAGCTGGCGGTAACTCATCCGGATGACCTGAAAGAGATTCACATAAATTTCCTTCTTCTGACCGGTTGAACAAATCATATAAAAATCAAACAAAAACAATGGGCTTTGCTTTCTTGTCATCTTCAAAGATGACAGCTAAAGATACACATGTGCTTGTTCTACAACATTCATCTAGGGAAACTGACATATGGTACTAGGGACTCCCACATTGTTGTCCTCACAAGTCACGTCAACATGAAGGGTCATTCACCTCTTATACAACTATCCACTACCAATTTTGAAACTGCATCAATAGTGTCTTGATATGTGATGAGGTTTGTATAATGTTCTGGATCGCATTCCAAAAGGTGACCATAGTGCCACACCTTTTGCTGCTCCATGTTATGGAGTCACAGCCGTCAAAGCACAAAGATTCCATAGTGTCCCTTCTCAGACCCTCCTGAAGAGTTTGTCCAGTTTTCATAAGCCTCATGACTGCCTATGTACCAAAGTAACTCCTAATTCACACAACATTTCAAAATGTAAAATGTGTGAGTATGGCTGTCATCTCTTGACCCTTGTGCCCTTTATGAGCCAGGATATCTCCAGTCTGACCTTGCCCTTAATAAATCACCACTCCCTCAGTGACAGTCCCCTCACCTCATAGAGAGACTTGATGTACTCCACCCTCTGCTGGTACGTGATGGTATTCTTCTTGTACTGGGAGAAGTTCTTGGCAAACACAGCGAAAGCATCAACTGTAGACCGCTTGTCTTTCATGTTCTGAAAACCACAAGAAGATAATGTTAGACATAGAGTGTTACAGTTCCTTATTCTCTGATTGCCAGCTTAGCAAAGTGGAAGTGATGCCAGCTGCTTTGGCCCTTCAGCCACACTGATCTCTGCGAGGCAGAACCTACAAGTACAAACAGCTACTAATCCTACCTGAATAACAGTAACCATCTCCTCACAGAATGACCGGGCCAGATTCCTAGCTTCGTCCGACACAAATGTGATGAGTTCCTGGTACACGTCGTCGAGTCTGGGTAGAAGTCCTTCATGTATCGCAGAGCAGTCCACATACAGCAGGCCATTCTCTGTGACGAAGCTCTTGTCAAAGTTGCGCACTTTTTCTGACCACTGGCGTAACTCAGTCAGCTTTTGCTGAAAAAGTGATTGCATGCAATTATTATTTTGTGACAATCTGAAAAATATTGAAGGTGAGGTGAAATGGGGCTTAATGTCACATTGAAGACGTATACATCTATGTGTGTGGCTAGTGCTTGTACTAGTCTGGGGGCCTTTGAGATACACTCCTGCAGTTTAACATAGATACCCTCAGACACATTATACTGACTGCATCAATCAGAAGGGTAACAACAAGCACCATCTTTCACATCTTTTGGTATGTCGCGGCCTGGGATCGAACCACCAACCTAGGCAGGAGCTCCCTAGGTACTCTCTATAATGTTGTTTTATAATATGCCCCAAATCCAAGCACAATGTGATTGTTCATGATGCTATTAAGCATGACCTTGTTGTGTGAAAGAGTGAGGAACCAGAACCAAACAGATCTGCCTGACCCCATGGGTAGACAGGCATGGGGGTACAATAGTCTATTCTGCCCTGACAACTGTGTAGAGGCAAGCAAGCAGCTCAAACAAAGCACACATTACTTGGGGATTATTTTGCTGCTAGTTTGTGTTGTTTAACATTCAAGCAACATAGACTGACAATAATCAGTTTTAGTTTTATAAAATCTTCAGCAATGACCTCACCAGGCAAAAAGCATGAGGCACTAGGGCCTATTCTGCCCTGATCCTTGTTAGGAAACATGCATGAGGCACTAGGGCCTATTCTGCCCTGATCTGTGTTAGGAGACATGCATGAGGCACAAGGGGCCTATTCTGCCCTGATCCTTGTTAGGGGACACGCAAAAGGTACTAGGGGCCTATTCTGCCCTGATCCTTGTTAGGAGACATGCATGAGGCACTAGGGCCTATTCTGCCCTGAACCTTGTTAGAAAACATGCATGAGGCACTAGGGCCTATTCTGCCCTGATCTGTGTTAGGAGACATGCATGAGGCACAAGGGGCCTATTCTGCCCTGATCCTTGTTAGGAGACATGCATGAGGCACTAGAGGCCTATTCTGCCCTGATCCGTGTTAGGAGACACGCAAAAGGTACTAGGGGCCTATTCTGCCCTGATCCTTGTTAGGAAACATGCATGAGGCACTAGAGGCCTATTCTGCCCTGATCCTTGTTATGAGTCACGCAAAAGGTACTAGGGGCCTATTCTGCCCTGATCCTTGTTAGGAAACATGCATGAGGCACTAGAGGCCTATTCTGCCCTGATCCGTGTTAGGAGACACGCAAAAGGTACTAGGGGCCTATTCTGCCCTGATCCTTGTTAGGAGACACGCAAAAGGTACTAGGGGCCTATTCTGCCCTGATCCGTGTTAGGAGTCACGCAAAAGGTACTAGGGGCCTATTCTGCCCTGATCCTTGTTAGGAGACACGCAAAAGGTACTAGGGGCCTATTCTGCCCTGATCCGTGTTAGGAGTCACGCAAAAGGTACTAGGGGCCTATTCTGCCCTGATCCTTGTTAGGAGACACGCAAAAGGTACTAGGGGCCTATTCTGCCCTGATCCTTGTTAGGAGACATGCATGAAGCACAAGGGGCCTAATTTGCCCTGATCTGTGTTAGGAGACACGCAAAAGGTACTAGGGGCCTATTCTGCCCTGATCCTTGTTAGGAAACATGCATGAGGCACAAGGGGCCTATTCTGCCCTGATCCTTGTTAGGAAACATGCATGAGGCACTAGAGGCCTATTCTGCCCTGATCCGTGTTAGGAGTCACGCAAAAGGTACTAGGGGCCTATTCTGCCCTGATCCTTGTTAGGAAACATGCATGAGGCACTAGAGGCCTATTCTGCCCTGATCCGTGTTAGGAGACACGCAAAAGGTACTAGGGGCCTATTCTGCCCTGATCCGTGATAGGAGACACGCAAAAGGTACTAGAGGCCTATTCTGCCCTGATCCGTGTTAGGAGACATGCATGAGGCACTAGAGGCCTATTCTGCCCTGATCCGTGTTAGGAGACACGCAAAAGGTACTAGGGGCCTATTCTGCCCTGATCTGTGTTAGGAAACACGCAAAAGGTACTAGGGGCCTATTCTGCCATGATCCGTGTTAGGAGACACGCAAAAGGTACTAGGGGCCTATTCTGCCCTGATCCTTGTTAGGAAACACGCAAAAGGTACTAGGGGCCTATTCTGCCCTGATCCTTGTTAGGAAACATGCATGAGGCACTAGAGGCCTATTCTGCCCTGATCCGTGTTAGGAGACACGCAAAAGGTACTAGGGGCCTATTCTGCCCTGATCCTTGTTAGGAAACATGCATGAGGCACTAGAGGCCTATTCTGCCCTGATCCGTGTTAGGAGACACGCAAAAGGTACTAGGGGCCTATTCTGCCCTGATCCTTGTTAGGAAACATGCATGAGGCACTAGAGGCCTATTCTGCCCTGATCCGTGTTAGGAGACACGCAAAAGGTACTAGGGGCCTATTCTGCCCTGATCCGTGTTAGGAGACACGCAAAAGGTACTAGGGGCCTATTCTGCCCTGATCCTTGTTAGGAAACATGCAAAAGGTACTAGGGGCCTATTCTGCCCTGATCCTTGTTAGGAAACATGCATGAGGCACTAGAGGCCTATTCTGCCCTGATCCGTGTTAGGAGACACGCAAAAGGTACTAGGGGCCTATTCTGCCCTGATCCTTGTTAGGAAACATGCATGAGGCACTAGAGGCCTATTCTGCCCTGATCCGTGTTAGGAGACACGCAAAAGGTACTAGGGGCCTATTCTGCCCTGATCCTTGTTAGGAAACATGCATGAGGCACTAGAGGCCTATTCTGCCCCGATCCGTGTTAGGAGACATGCAAAAGGTACTAGGGGCCTATTCTGCCCTGATCCTTGTTAGGAAACATGCATGAGGCACTAGAGGCCTATTCTGCCCTGATCCGTGTTAGGAGACACGCAAAAGGTACTAGGGGCCTATTCTGCCCTGATCCATGTTAGGAGACATGAATGAGGTACTTGGGTCCTATTCTGCCCTGATCCGTGTTAGGAGACACGCAAAAGGTACTAGGGGCCTATTCTGCCCTGAACCTTGTGAGGAGACATGCATGAGGTACTTGGGGCCTGTTCTGCCCTGAAACCTGTGAGGATATAAGAGGTAATAGGGGCCTATTCTGCCCTGAACCTTGTGAGGAGACATGCATGGTCACTAGGGGCCTGTTCTGCCCTGAACCTTGTGGGGAGACAAGCATGGTCACTAGGGGCCTGTTCTGCCCTGAACCTTGTGAGGAGACAAGCATGGTCACTAGGGGCCTATTCTGCCCTGAACCTTGTGAGGAGACAAGCATGGTCACTAGGGGCCTGTTCTGCCCTGAACCTTGTGAGGAGACAAGCATGGTCACTAGGGGCCTGTTCTGCCCTGAACCTTGTGAGGAGACAAGCATGGTCACTAGGGGCCTATTCTGCCCCTGAACCTTGTGAGGAGACAAGCATGGTCACTAGGGGCCTGTTCTGCCCTGAACCTTGTGAGGAGACAAGCATGGTCACTAGGGGCCTGTTCTGCCCTGAACCTTGAGAGGAGACAAGCATGGTCACTAGGGGCCTGTTCTGCCCTGAACCTTGTGAGGAGACAAGCATGGTCACTAGGGGCCTATTCTGCCCTGAACCTTGTGAGGAGACAAGCATGGTCACTAGGGGCCTATTCTGCCCTGAACCTTGTGAGGAGACAAGCATGGTCACTAGGGGCCTATTTTGCCCTGAACCTTGTGGGGAGACAAGAGGAGGTACTAGGGACCTATTATTGGACAAGACTCTACCACCCACCTCTATGGCAAATGCGGCTGCACCCTTGAACTCCTTGACAGACATGTTGTTCCACTTGTGGCAGTACTGGTGGATCTCATTGAGCCATTTGTTGAACTCACAGTACTGCTCAACCTCTTCCATAGCCACGCCCATCAACTCTGATTGCCTCTTGAGCACCTCCTGGAACTCTGAGCTGCAACAAAGAATCACCAGTTCAAGTAATTAGAGAATCTGTTTCCTTAGCACCACTGGCATGGCAAATATAACAGTTATTCCTTGGTGATCGGTAATGTTTCACTGTTGAAAAGATTTGTCCATTCATTAGCACAGAAAAATTTCACTTTACCAAGCTGTTTAGTTTGTACACTACAATGATTTCCTTTGAACACTACTGTGTTTCCTTTTAACACTACAGTGTTTCCTTTGTACACTACAGTGTTTCCTTTGAACACTACAGTGTTTCCTCTGTACACTACAATGTTTCCTCTGTACACTACAATGTTTCCTTTGAACACTACAGTGTTTCCTTTGTACACTACAGTGTTTCCTTTGAACACTACAGTGTTTCCTCTGTACACTACAATGTTTCCTCTGTACACTACAATGTTTCCTTTGAACACTACAGTGTTTCCTTTGTACACTACAGTGTTTTCTTTGTACACTGCAGTGTTTCCTTTGTACACTACAGTGTTTTCTTTGTACACTGCAGTGTTTCCTTTGTACACTACAATGTTTCCTTTGTACACTACAATGTTTATTTTGTACACTACAATGTTTCCTCTGTACACTACAGTGTTTCTTTTGTACACTACAATGTTTCTTTTGTACACTACAATGTTTCCTTTGTACACTACAATGTTTTCCTTGTACACTTCAATGATTTCTATGATATGCTACAACACAACCATTCCCTGCACTTACTCCATGGCTAGTTTCTCCTCCAGGCTGGCGCGAGACAGGGGAGAGTACTGCCCCATGAAGCCCTCGCCTTCCACCATTAGCAGCCCTTCATCTGCCTTCATCACTACCAGGTCAGGGGTCGCCACCCCAAGGTCATCATCCTCCTTTTGTGGAATTGCTGTAAAAAGAATCAATAGAATGTTATTTTCATCCAGGAAATAGTTCTTCCAAAGCATTTTCTCAACCACAATCAATCTTCCATCAATGTGATCACAAAAGGTGCAACATCAGCATTGAAGGTCAAAACATTCAGAGTTATTCTTAGGAGTCAACACACTGTATTATAGATAAGGTTCCAGAAATGTTTCCAGCAACTGGTCACATACACTTTTTACTTGTTTCGTGTGTCACTTTTTGTGACTTGATTTTGTATAACTGACTTACAATGTTTAGGAAGATTAGGTAGTGGTTCAGGGTCTTCCAGTAGGTTAGGGTCAAGGCCTGTCTCCTTCTCTGTGACCTCAATCTCTGACCCTTCACCTTGAGAAAACTGACTGCCTTTTGAGCACCTCCTGGAACTCTCTGAGACGGTAGCAAGTGTCTGACTGCGAGTTTCCTGCCTGACGGAGCTGACCTGGGATGTCCCCGCTATGCTCTTGGCACTGATTTTACTCCCATCTGTCACAGAGCTGGGTCTACAACAAATACAAAATCAGGAAATCTTACAGGGCCTGGGAAAGAAAACAGGTAATCATTTTCATAGGTGACTAACAGGATCGGGAGGTCTGGCTCGCTGACTTGGCTGATGCACGTCATCGTATCCTGAGTGATATCAATCACTGTAATATCTGGTTGATTATTTTCAGACAGCTGTCAAAAAGATGGATTACTGCTGAGCGCGTCATTAAACAACAAACAAACAAAATCTTATGTTACTCTTAACAAACCTCAATTTGAAATAGGGTGTCACACTAGTTGCTGGGTATGAGGCATGCAGATTCAGTGAAGCATTGAAAACATTCAACAGATTCATAGAAGGATAGGGCACCCTCTTTTATTCAGCATATTACGAGTCTCGGTTCTACGATGCGCTAAATATCCTGGACCAATTCAGAGAGCCTTATTTGTGAAGCTTCATCAACACCTCTTCTTCCCAAAGGATTTATATCTGACACTGAAGGTTCATGGGAAAAGGATTAGAGTGAAAGGGCCATTTCATGAACAAATTTTGAAAGACAAACCAGCAGGGTCATGGAATCAATTTCAAGTAGTTGGAGAGAGTCACCCAATAAATGACATATATTGCAGGCATTAATAGTTTCTTATGACAATCATGGACAATATCAGTAGAACACTAGTATTCTTATCCTTAATAAAAATATAAAACACTGAATGATCTCTTTCAAAGTGAAAGAAACCAAAGACTGATAATGAGAGCCTCAAGAATATGAGCATGCGAATTGTGGAATCTTGGGTTATTGTAAACATTTTCAACCACTTGCCACTTCCAGGACTTGCCCCTTATTATTACCTTCAAGACGATTCTTCCCCTGCCACTCAACTGTTTCAAAATGCTGTTGTGTGTGTGTGCTCCAACTTGCTCAATATATCCCCCAGGTAATGGCAAGGGTAAGTGCACTTACTTGGCATCGCTGGGTCTGTGGGTGCTGTCGTATGACTTGGCGGCAGGGTCTGCCTCATCTGTGACGTCGTGTTCCGGCACAGAGCCATCCATGGGAACAGCCTTAGCACACAGAACACTTGGGATGCCACGCAGGGTGGATGTGAGAGCCTTCTGGAAACGCTCCTTGGAAGGGGACAAACCCAACACCTCTGGAACACAAACTAAAGGAAATCAGTTACATGAAACGTTTGTTGTCTTACTTGCCTACAAGTTACTTTCAGAACGTTTGGAGTGTTATAATAACTTCATTGATTGCAATACAATATTTAATCATGTATTCATGTTGTCTCCACCATAGGTGTATGACTTCTGTCCAGGTTCTCACCGTGTTTTGTGAAGACGAGGTTGGCCTTGAAGAATCCATCCCTTGGAGCATCACTGATGCACAGCACCTTCTCCACGAAGCTGATGACCTGCGTCTTGGTCACATGAAACATGTGCTCCACGATCAGCTGGTCCACCAGCTTCACAAAGTTCCCCAGGCGCCTGCAACATGCAACACAAGTGAAGGAGAGAGTTAGTGTGGATACAGTCACGCTGCACATACACAGACAACATGACAAGTGAAGGAGAGAGTGGGTGTGGAAACAGTCACGCTGCACATACACAGACAACATGACAAGTGAAGGAGAGAGTTAGTGTGGATACAGTCACGCTGCACATACACAGACAACATGACAAGTGAAGGAGAGAGTTAGTGTGGATACAGTCACGCTGCACATACACAGACAACATGACAAGTGAAGGAGAGAGTTAGTGTGGATACAGTCACGCTGCACATACACAGACAACATGACAAGTGAAGGAGAGAGTTAGTGTGGATACAGTCACGCTGCACATACACAGACAACATGACAAGTGAAGGAGAGAGTAGGTGTGGATACAGTCACGCTGCACATACACAGACAACATGACAAGTGAAGGAGAGAGTTGGTGTGGATACAGTCACGCTGCACATACACAGACAACATGACAAGTGAAGGAGAGAGTTAGTGTGGATACAGTCACGCTGCACATACACAGACAACATGACAAGTGAAGGAGAGAGTTAGTGTGGATACAGTCACGCTGCACATACACAGACAACATGACAAGTGAAGGAGAGAGTGGGTGTGGATACAGTCACGCTGCACATACACAGACAACATGACAAGTGAAGGAGAGAGTTAGTGTGGATACAGTCACGCTGCACATACACAGACAACATGACAAGTGAAGGAGAGAGTGGGTGTGGATACAGTCACGCTGCACATACACAGACAACATGACAAGTGAAGGAGAGAGTTAGTGTGGATACAGTCACGCTGCACATACACAGACAACATGACAAGTGAAGGAGAGAGTTAGTGTGGATACAGTCACGCTGCACATACACAGACAACATGACAAGTGAAGGAGAGAGTGGGTGTGGATACAGTCACGCTGCACATACACAGACAACATGACAAGTGAAGGAGAGAGTGGGTGTGGATACAGTCACGCTGCACATACACAGACAACATGACAAGTGAAGGAGAGAGTGGGTGTGGATACAGTCACGCTGCACATACACAGACAACATGACAAGTGAAGGAGAGAGTTAGTGTGGATACAGTCACGCTGCACATACACAGACAACATGACAAGTGAAGGAGAGAGTGGGTGTTGATACTCTCAGCAACAGTCCAGGTAATCCGTGGTTGCCAGCCCAGGTGGGAAAAAGACAACTAGGTCACACTCTGTATCTTCATTCGTCTGCTGTGACACCATGTGTAGACACCTACGCTGCACTTACAAAGGCTACATGACAACTGTGGACACCCAGGACCTATTCTACCCTGGACATACAAGGCTACATGACAACTGTGGACACCCAGGACCTATTCTACCCTGGACATACACAGGCTACATGACAACTGTGGACACCCTGGACCTATTCTACCCTGGACATACAAGGCTACATGACAACTGTGGACACCCAGGACCTATTCTACCCTGGACATACACAGGCTACATGACAACTGTGGACACCCAGGACCTATTCCACCCTGGACATACACAGGCTACATGACAACTGTGGACACCCTGGACCTATTCTACCCTGGACATACAAGGCTACATGACAACTGTGGACACCCTGGACCTATTTTACCCTGGACATACAAGGCTACATGACAACTGTGGACACCCTGGACCTATTCTACCCTGGACATACACAGGCTACATGACAACTGTGGACACCCAGAACCTATTCCACCCTGGACATACACAGGCTACATGACAAGTGTGGACACCCTGGATCTATTCTACCCTGGACATACACAGGCTACATGACAAGTGTGGACACCCAGGACCTCTTCTACCCTGGACATACAAGGCTACATGACAACTGTGGATACCAAGGACCTATTCTACCCTGGACATACAAGGCTACATGACAAGTGTGGACACCCTGGATCTATTCTACCCTGGACATACACAGGCTACATGACAACTGTGGACACCCTGGACCTATTCCACCCTGGACATACACAGGCTACATGACAACTGTGGACACCCAGGACCTATTCTACCCTGGACATACACAGGCTACATGACAACTGTGGACACCCTGGACCTATTCTACCCTGGACATACACAGGCTACATGACAACTGTGGACACCCAGGACCTATTCTACCCTGGACATACACAGGCTACATGACAACTGTGGACACCCAGGACCTATTCTACCCTGGACATACACAGGCTACATGACAACTGTGGACACCCAGAACCTATTCCACCCTGGACATACACAGGCTACATGACAAGTGTGGACACCCTGGACCTATTCTACCCTGGACATACAAGGCTACATGACAACTGTGGACTCCCAGGACCTATTCTACCCTGGACATACACAGGCTACATGACAACTGTGGACACCCTGGACCTATTCTACCCTGGACATACACAGGCTACATGACAACTGTGGACACCCAGGACCTATTCTTCCCTGGACATACAAGGCTACATGACAAGTGTGGACACCCTGGACCTATTCTACCCTGGACATACACAGGCTACATGACAACTGTGGACACCCTGGACCTATTCTACCCTGGACATACACAGGCTACATGACAACTGTGGACACCCTGGACCTATTCTACCCTGGACATACACAGGCTACATGACAACTGTGGACACCCTGGACCTATTCTACCCTGGACATACAAGGCTACATGACAACTGTGGACACCCTGGACCTATTCTACCCTGGACATACACAGGCTACATGACAAGTGTGGACACCCAGGACCTATTCTACCCTGATCAACAGATGTGCTGGGACAATGTACATGGTATATGTAACAACAAGATTTTGGCAGACTCAATAAGTCTGTCCTGATTTTGCCTGGTCTGTGACTAGATGAAAAGTGGCGGTGATGTGTCCCTGAAGGTGCATCTCTACCTACCCTGTCTCACTCTTGGCGATGCGAAGGTTCTCCTCTCTCTGTTCCTTCTTGGTGCGCTGGAGATGCAGAGAGTCCTTGGAGCTGCATCAGTGAGAGATTTGATGACATTCATGCATTGTGTGGACCAGGGGTCCAGAAACCGTCATATGCGCCGGACATGTCCGATTGGGAATCTCAAATGTCCGGTTTAAAATATTGCTATTTTAGTAGCTAGTCGTATATTGAATCTTGATTGACCGCCATTTTGCTTTCTGTGACGATCGATAACAAAATTTTTTATGGTCAATAATTAAGTACAGATGAAAAAGTATTCAAATAACTATTGCTATCAACGATAGTTTAGGATTTATGATTATATTATCTGTCTTGTTTTTAAATAATCTTTAGTTTAAAAAAACAACTTTTCCCGTGAGGTCACGTGATAACCAAATATGGGATAATAGTCTCGATCCAAATGTTACAACGCGTACACTTGAGCAGACTCATGAATATTAATTGGACCGTTCACAACGTTGACAGATCGTTATTATAACAGAAACAAACGTATGTTTTCCATATATATCTAAAATGATATTATTTGTTATTAATTGTCCGGTGAATTAAACAATTTAAATTGAAACAATTCATAATTCATCATATTATGAATACGTAACAACTTGTAATTTGTGTGTAAAAAGTCGTACTAAAACACGCTGTTTGAAGGGGGCGTGGCATAAATGTAAATGTCCGATTGGGATTTTAAATTTTCCGGACCCCTGGTGTGGACACAACCAAAGTTTCCATGAAATAAATTTTATGTCTATATGTCTTTGATTGAGAAACGATTTCATATTTTCAACCAAACAATTCATTCAACATTTTAACATTTCAATCAGTCGAGCAATACCTTATGACACAATATCCACTGGTATCTTAATGTTTCCTCATATAACAATGCTTTATGAATAACGATGTTTTTGTCTGCCCCTGGCCCGTCAGTGGCTGCAACTACTCACAAGAACGTCTTCTTCTTGACCTGTTCCTCACAATATCGCAGCTTCTTGAACGACTCCTCCGCTGTCACCTCCACCACCACCTTGCAGTAGCTGCAACATCCACAACAAACTCAACAATATGAATATTCTGATGACCCAAAGTTTTCCAAAAGTGGAAAAAATCTAAAAAATGATAAGAATGGCTTTTTTTCTAAGTTCACAGTAGGTGAGGGCGAGGGCCAAACTGTATGAACATCGTCACAAGCTCCGACGTTCATACAGTTTGGCCCTCGCTCTATGAAGGTTCATATTCCAATGAACTCACACAAAGTGAAAGTCAATTCTTATAATTTTTTTATCACAATTTCTAACCTCAAAGGATGGAGGCCAAGATCTAAACACAATTTTATTTAGTACATGTGACTTCATGTTTACACTGACAGCCATACAACAACCAGCTATATCGCGGAGTAAAATAGTTCCTCAAAAAGAGAGGTGACATGAGCGTATGGATGCACAGCTTGCTCTTCAGAAACATCTTACGCGGCACATGTGTTCAAATCTTATCCTCATTAGATGAGAAAGTTCAGCGGGTCGTAATACATTTACATCAAGTACAAGACATAAAATGGCCGACACAATAAACGTGACAGGAGAGATTTCTGAAGTTGTTAATGAACCTGTGGCGGTTACATGTGTTAGTCATCATTGATCAACTGGCCGATCATTGAAAGGTGAATAAAGATGCGTCAAACAGACACTAAGGTAAATTCATAGATTGCTGGAGACTGTCAGTGTCAGCCTAGACACGAATTGAGTCGATACGATAGTTTAGATGTGCATTTCTTCGTTTGTTCATTAGGATAGGCTGTAGCGAGGATATTCGTGAACAATCATGCAGTCACGCTCTCTGACATTTCTCAATGTATACTGAAATGCTGAGACCAAGAATAAAGGTTCTAAATGATCAGAAAGAACGCTTATGTATGTTTTCGTGCTAGGGAATTCCCAGGGGTTTCCCCAGGAATGTGGAAGTAGTCCGTCAGTGTTTACGTCATTTCAAGAACACGGTCTTGTGAAAAACGTATGAACGTCAAATTGGGTCGTTCATACACTTATGAACGTCAATTTCGCGGTCATGGGACCGACCTCTGGTCTAATGGAAAAGCCGTATATCGTGTAAACTTCAAATTAAAAAATTATTCATGGATGATAATTCTAAAAACTAGCCTTCCATTGTATTCACCAGCAGCCTTCATTCATAGATCCTATATGTATCCCAAGATGTTATATTAACATGGTGAAGATACCGTCACATAGGAAATACTTCTAAGAAGAGAATTGGGAATTTCTGAGAGGTAAAATCCCACAGATCTTGTGCCAATTACTGTCCCCGACTTCCAGCTCACCTGAAGAATCTTTCCAAGAGTTTATCTGCCTGGATGTTCTTGTAGTTGATGCTGTTCTCATATTCCCCCAGCTGGTAGGTTTTGCTGAAGCAAAGGATCAAGTGTTCATCATTACTGAGACTGGCCACTCTGTTATCATCACAGGAAAAGATTGCTTGCTGATATACTTATAAAGTGCTTTTTCTCTTTGGATCTTCTTTTAAATTTTTTGACAACTGATGAATAGGGAAATTCTTTATTGTGGAAAGGCACACCTGGATTGTTGTATGTTATAACTCTTCATTCACATGAAACCTGGTTCTGACGTACACGTCTTTCAAATGCCTATATATCATTCAACATAGTTTAAGTTTTTGTGTTTTCATATTCCAATGAAATATTCGTAAAATCTAAATATATTTTACATTTGGATACTTATCCTGCGTTAGTAGCTTCATGCTTTTACTGCTGTTTCTGACTAGAAAAAGATGGAGCTAGATACAGAAGTTGTTGCTCCAACAAGTTGTGTGGCATATGCTCTCCCACAGCTACCACATGACCGGAAGTGGTAAAGTCATGTGTTGCCACATTACTGCTTGTACGGAAACCTGGAAACTTTGCAGGGAGATAGCCAAGCGATGGGCAGGCACTTTTGACATAGTAATGCAGGATAAGTATCCAAATGTAAAAATATTTTAGATTTTATTAAATGTTTTTATCTTATCCTGCATTACTACCTCAATGCATTTTTATCAGACGAAATGGAGGGAGGCATACCTTTCAGATGGAACTTCAGGAGAGACCCTCTGACAAGTCAGGTCACCAGATAGCATCCTGTGCCGAAAAACAGGAAACCACAGACCTTTCCTGTCTGATAGAGCCACATGAGAGAGAGTAAGAGGTGTGAAATCCAGTCGTGGAAAAAGGAAAAGCAGAAAAGTGCGTCGGCCACGTTCTAAATTCCAATTCAAGCAGCTGGAATAAACGGAAACATGAAACCCTCTAGTCAGGGGTAATTAACACCAGAGACGTTGCAGGGTTAGTTCCGGAGTGTAAAAGCCAAGACCATCTTGAGACTGTGACCTGCTGCACCACCACCAGGGGACCAAGGCTAAGAACACCCTGCTGCACCACCACCAGGGGACCAAGGCTAAGAACACCCTGCTGCACCACCACCAGGGGACCAAGGCTAAGAACACCCTGCTGCACCACCACCAGGGGACCAAGGCTAAGAACACCTTGCAGCACCACCACCAGGGGACCAAGGCTAAGAACACCCTGCTGCACCACCACCAGGGGACCAAGGCTAAGAACACCCTGCTGTGCCACCACCAGGGGACCAAGGCTAAGAACACCCTGCTGTACCACCACCAGGGGACCAAGGCTAAGAACACCCTGCTGCACCACCACCAGGGGACCAAGGCTAAGAACACCTTGCAGCACCACCACCAGGGGACCAAGGCTAAGAACACCTTGCACATAGTCAAGAGCCATATCTCGGAGATAATGACTGGCCAAGACAGTATCCGAGCACCAAAAGCAACCCTCCATGATGGATTTAATGGAGCAATTGCTGTGGAGAGCCATTGTCGAAGCGACAGCCCGAATCTCAAGGGGGTTGTTGGTTCTGGGCGGGCCCAAACCGGCAAGGTCGTAAGCTTGTAGGATGATGGAGCGCAGCCACACTGATATGACTTCCAACTGGGATGTAGGTGAAACTGGAATGAACAGTCATTTCCGAGATTCATTTTGTGTCTTGGATCAATGAAGGAAAACCTGTAAGGCCCAAACTGGGCACAGAAGTAGTTCATCCTCGTCCAGTGCCTCAGAAATCCACTATAAACGATAAGGGAGGAACAGTGAAAGATATGTCTGGCTGTCCTGTGTGTTGATTATTAGCAATCAAATCCCAGCACAACCCAAGATGGACAGCACCATGTGCTCTACGCTTGAATCGTATTCAAGTTCCAAACTGTTGATGTGCCTCCATTGCTCATTGTTTGACCACAGCAGTCTGGTCCCCCAGATGAGACCCCAAATCCTGTCGTGAGGCATCGACGAACAGGTGAGTGTGGGCTTGAGCGTAGTCAAGGAGACACCTTCGCAGAATTTGATCTCACTGTCCACCAACAAAGATACGGGCAGAAGTGAGTTGGGAGCGGCCAGAGGATTCTGACGATGAATAACGGAGCCAGAAACTGTTGTGGTGCGCAAAGTTGGAGTCAGCCTCTGGGCATCAGATCCTGAGCTGATGTGAGAAGGCCCATTAATACCTGCCATTGACGAAGTGTGCAAGCTTCATGAAGGGCGGAAGCAGGTGGTGCTGTATTTTGTGCCACCTGTCATTGGGTACCAGGAGGAGATACTGGTCGGTGCGAAACAGGTCGCCTATGAATTTGAGCTTGAAGGATGGAGTGAGTTCCAACTTGAGCTTGTTGATGATCCATCCAAGTTGAGTGAAATACTTGTGAAGGAGGCTTTCTGGGTCCTGATGGTTCAGTAGACAGTCGTTGATGTAAGACTTGAACTGAACATTCCTCGGGTGCAGGTATACAGTAACTGGCTTGGTAATCCGGGTAAATAACCACGGGGCCATGGAAATGCCAGTGGGCCTATTATAAGCAGGAACCGGTACCCCTGACGAAGGATGCTGGTGACAAACAGATTTTGAAGAATTGTCCAATTGGCCCAAAACCTGACCAATCTCTCTTCTGAGTGTCTCTGACTGGGACCACATGGATCGGGAGAACCCAGGCACCATGCTCCAGGGCCTGCCTCCGCGATCACCACCACTGGACTTGGTTTGGCGACGATGAGGTAGATCATTTCTTTGTGGCTTTAGAAGATCCTGACCCTTGCCACAAAAGGAAGAAGACTGGGGGGGAAGCCGTCTGGGCTGATAATTGCCTGTTTTAGATGGTTTGAATTTGGATTGATTTGAGACAATGCTCCAGTGCCTTAAGCGCCATTTCATCAAGGTAAAGCTGGAGACAAGTGCATGGGTTTCAGAGATGGTGCAATTAAAGAACGAGGATGCACTCCAAGGCTGTTGTAGGAGTTGCCTCTTGAACTCAGAATCCCAATAAGTTAAGGCAAGATAACCAAGGTGCCTGGTTGTAGTGATCTCTGTCAAGGCCACCCAGAGATGATTACATAGATGGTCGATTTGACGTTGTTGAAAAGACATAGCACGCAAGTGATCGAGCCAATAAGGACTGTCCTCGGTGAGGTCCTGATCAGTGGCTCTGGCAGAAGAGGCCAAGACAGATAAGGGCTTGCGAGACCACCGAATCTCAGTCTCAATGAAGGTGAGCCGAGTGTTGGGCATAAGCAGAGTGGTTGGCCTAGAGAAACCAGTTATACGATGTAAATCATCATCAAGACAGTGCGCGTTATCTGTGGCTTGATCGCATGAATGAGTAAATCTTGTTTCCGGTAACGAGGTGCCTCAAATGCAGGAGTGAGGAACGGCTTGTAGAAAACATCATCCAAAGCCGATATCAAATCTGTGAGCATGGCATCCGGCGGGAAGGACCAAATTGAGCAAGCAGAGAGGATACATATGTCACCAAAGTGAGACGGGCATGTAATTATTACACAACTTTTACAAGAGATGTTTACAAGAGAAAATTACGAAATAAAGAGTATAGTTATACACTTAAAAAGCCCAGAATAGGAACGTATATAGCACATGAACAAGAGCTAAGATAGGAATTTTGACATATCAAAGCACAAGACCTGTAAACATGGCTACATGGCAAAACAAGATGGTGACAGGTACAACACACATGCGAAGTTAGTGTGGGAAGGACCACCCCAGTACACCAGACTATAATAGGTACAATTGAGAGCGTATTGGTTATCAAAGGATAAGCAAAAGGATAGGCAAAGAATGCTATCTGGTTGTTGAAAACTGGATAGCTTTATTCACAAACATCTGTACAGTCCGATGACTTGCAGTAATGTGTTTATACGTGACTTCACTACTTCCGGTCATGTGTTAGCTGTGGGAGGATATATGCCACACAACTGCTTGGGACACAACTTCTGCAGCCAGGATCTCTCACAGCTCCATCTTCCCAGTCAGAAACAGCCGTAAAAGCATCAAGGTAGTAATGCAGGATAAGATATAAAATTACCCATGTATAGCTTTAAGTAATAATATTTAGTCAGTTATCTCCAATCCCTCAGGTTAGAATCTGAAGGCACTCACTCAGTTTCAAAAGGTAAGAAGTTTATAGTGATCACTTCCTTCAGCAGTCTGCAAAAAAATAATTCAGGTTAGATTTCATAATTCTGTGTGTGTGATGTCATGACTGCAAATACAAATTGTAAAGAATAGTTCATCCAATGCTGTGCCCAATCTCTGTCACGGTTCCTAAATAGTATCTCTGTATTTTGTGGCTCTTCTGGACTCACAAACAGAATATGTTACTGGTACCCAATGCTTGTATTTATAGCATATATAAGGGTATTAGGTGGACACAATGCTTGTATTAATAGCATATATAAGTGTATTAGGTGGACCCAATGCTTGTATCAATAGCATATATAAGGGTATGAGGTGGACACAAGGCTTGTATCAATAGCATATATAAGGGTATGAGGTGGACACAATGCTTGTATCAATAGCATATATAAGGGTATTAGGTGGACCCAATGCTTATATCAATAGCATATATAAGGGTATGAGGTGGACACAATGTTTGTATTAATAGCATATATAAGGGTATTAGGTGCACGCAATGTTTGTATTAATAGCATATATAAGGGTATTAGGTGGACACAATGCTTGTATTTATAGCATATATAAGGGTAATAGGTGGACGCAATGTTTGTATTAATAGCATATATAAGGGTATGAGGTGGACACAATGCTTGTATTAATAGCATATATAAGGGTATTAGGTGGACACAATGCTTGTATTAATAGCATATATAAGGGTATTAGGCGGACCCAATGCTTGTATCAATAGCATATATAAGGGTATTAGGCGGACACAATGCTTGTATTAATAGCATATATAAGGCTATTAGGTGGACACAATGCTTGTATCAATAGCATATATAAGGGTATGAGGTGGACCCAATGCTTGTATTAATAGCTTATATAAGGGTATTAGGTGGACACAATGCTTGTATTAATAGCTTATATAAGGGTATGAGGTGGACACAATGCTTGTATTAATAGCATATATAAGGGTATGAGGTGGACACAATGCTTGTATTAATAGCTTATATAAGGGTATTAGGTGGACACAATGCTTGTATCAATAGCTTATATAAGGGTATTAGGTGGACACAATGCTTGTATTAATAGCTTATATAAGGGTATTAGGTGGACACAATGCTTGTATCAATAGCTTATATAAGGGTATTAGGTGGACCCAATGCTTGTATTAATAGCATATATAAGGGTATTAGGTGGACCCAATGCTTGTATTAATAGCATATATAAGGCTATTAGGTGGACACAATGCTTGTATTAAAAGCTTATATAAGTGTATTAGGTGGACACAATGCTTGTATTAATAGCATATATAAGGGTATTAGGTGGACACAATGCTTGTATTAATAGCATATATAAGGGTATGAGGTGGACACAATGCTTGTATTAATAGCATATATAAGGGTATTAGGTGGACACAATGCTTGTATCAATAGCTTATATAAGGGTATGAGGTGGACACAATGCTTGTATCAATAGCTTATATAAGGGTATTAGGTGGACACAATGCTTGTATTAATAGCATATATAAGGGTATGAGGTGGACACAATGCTTGTATTAATAGCATATATAAGGGTATTAGGTGGACACAATGCTTGTATCAATAGCTTATATAAGGGTATGAGGTGGACACAATGCTTGTATTAATAGCATATATAAGGGTATTAGGTGGACACAATGCTTGTATTAATAGCATATATAAGGGTATGAGGTGGACACAATGCTTGTATTAATAGCATATATAAGGGTATTAGGTGGACACAATGCTTGTATTAATAGCTTATATAAGGGTATGAGGTGGACACAATGCTTGTATTAATAGCATATATAAGGGTATGAGGTGGACACAATGCTTGTATTAATAGCATATATAAGGGTATTAGGTGGACACAATGCTTGTATTAATAGCATATATAAGGCTATTAGGTGGACACAATGCTTGTATTAATAGCTTATATAAGGGTATGAGGTGGACACAATGCTTGTATCAATAGCTTATATAAGGGTATGAGGTGGACACAATGCTTGTATTAATAGCATATATAAGGGTATTAGGTGGACCCAATGCTTGTATCAATAGCTTATATAAGGGTATGAGGTGGACACAATGCTTGTATTAATAGCATATATAAGGGTATGAGTAGGACACAATGCTTGTATTAATAGCATATATAAGGGTATTAGGTGGACCCAATGCTTGTATTAATAGCATATATAAGGGTATTAGGTGGACACAATGCTTGTATTAATTGCATATATAAGGGTATTAGGTGGACCCAATGCTTGTATTAATAGCATATATAAGGGTATTAGGTGGACCCAATGCTTGTATTAATAGCATATATAAGGGTATTAGGTGGACACAATGCTTGTATTAATAGCATATATAAGGCTATTAGGTGGACACAATGCTTGTATTCATAGCATAAAAACATATATAAGGGTATTAGGTGGACACAATGCTTGTATTAATAGCATATAGAAGGGTATAAGGTGGACACAATGCTTGTATTGATAGCATATATAAGGGTATTAGGTGGACACAATGCTTGTATTAATAGCATATATAAGGGTATTAGGTGGACCCAATGCTTGTAATAATAGCATAAAAACATATTTAAGGGTATTAGGTGGACACAATGCTTGTATTAATAGCATATATAAGGGTATAAGGTTGACCCAATGCTTGTATTAATAGCATATATAAGGGTATTAGGTGGACACAATGCTTGTAGAATGTCAAATGTAAAGGATTGAATTTTCCAGTTGAGGAAGGTGAAAGCTGTGACCTGGCCAATTAAGTGCACAATCACACCAAAATGGCAGGTGTGTTGATGGATGTTGCATGGGATTTGGCCTAATCAGGTGGGCTTCTATAACAGACAATCATCCAGGTTAAACATGGCAGTCATTACAAGCATGGGGTCCTGGGACATACATATCCCGACCAAGGGTCACTACTGCCGTGATTATACCCCACTTCCAACCTTATATTTTCACCAAATGTGCAATGGATATATACAATACACCATGCAATACATATGCAACACACCAACACAGCAAAACAGGAAGGCGCCAAAAGTTATCACGACTCTAAATTACCTGTCCCTTATAGATTTATAGATGATGTGCATCACACTTTTCTCATGTTGCCATTCCAATAGTTACGTAAATGATTTCTTACAGTTCCAGACATGAAACTTAGATTTACCTTGACACCTGGAGAAGGCCTGCCCCAAATGCTGGGATGTTATGAAGGAGGCCGTTGGCAATCATCTCCTGTCTCCGCAGGTAGTCAAGGTACAACTTGTTGGTGCGCCATCTATAGTTTACAGAGAGCAGAAACAAAATAAAAACAGTTTCATCCTAAAATACTGATTGACAAAAACAAGGAAACTTTTTTCATATTTCAGACCGCCCCTCTTAAAATCCAGGAACATGTATGAATACTGAAAAAACATGTTTCCCATCAACAACACATGCTTCCCAACAACAAAACATGCTAACCAGTGACAAAACATGCTTCCCATAAACAAAACATGCTTCCCATAAACAAAACATGCTTCCCAACAACAAAACATGCTATCCAGTGACAAAACATGCTACCCATCAACAAAACATGCTATCCAGTGACAAAACATGCTTCCCATCAACAAAACATGCTATCCAGTGACAAAACATGCTTCTCATCAACAAAACATGCTATCCAGTGACAAAAAATTCTTCCCATCAACAAAACATGCTATCCAGTGACAAAACATGCTTCCTATCAACAAGACATGCCTCCCACGAACAAAACATGCTTTCAAACAACAAAACATGCTTCCCAACAACAAAACATGCTATTCAGTGACAAAACATGCTTCCCATCAACTAGACATGCCTCCCACGAACAAAACATGCTTTCAAACAACAAAACATGCTTCCCAACAACAAAACATGCTATTCAGTGACAAAACATGCTTCCCATCAACAAAACATGCCTCCCAACAACAAGACATGCCTCCCACGAACAAAACATGCTTTCAAACAACAAAACATGCTATCCAACAACAAAACATGCTTCCCTCCAACAAATATGCTTTCCAACAACAAAACATGCTTGCTTCCCACCAACAAAACCTTTTTAACTATTCTTTTATTTTTTTCCATCAGTATTTATCTTTTACTCAGAAGATGAACAGAGAAGCATCTACTTACCTATCAAACATTTTCTTGATGAGATAGTTCTTGAAGAAGGGTATTGATGAAAGGGCCTTCCATAACACAGCCTCTCTCTGCCACTCCCCCAGGGTCAGGCTCTCATTGGGCAGGTGTTCATACACATGGAGAACACCGAATGTGGAGAACACATAGTGTTCACTGTTGGCCTGCAATCACCACTCTTTGTCTTACAACACAGTATCAACCTATATCTAGTTATCTGTAGCTTGATGGTGGTTGTATAACCACGGTGCCAAGAAACATGCTGCTGGGACCATGAAGTTATCAGGATATATTGAGTTAAAGGACCATGTTAATGAGGTTTACAAGGTTTAAATATTCAGTTTAAAATCATCTTGTTCATGAGGATTGTTAAATCTATGAGGACATATTGAGTTGAAGGATTTTGTTAATGAGGTTTCACTTTATTTATGACACAGTATGTGGACAAGACTAAAAGTGCAATCTTATGTTCTCTTTGAAAATACATATAGAATATACTCATATATGATATATTTTTCCAGAAGCATGTGAAGGAATGAGTGAGCATTAAATGCATCGTAGAGCAGTATTTCAGTTATATCACTGCACATCAACTCAATGTGGAGGACAAATCTGAAGGGATGCAGGGTATGAAACTGACAACCAAGGATCATAATCGATACTAGGATTTGAACAAAGGATCATGATCAATACTGGAATTTGAACCAAGGATCATAATTGATACTGGAAATTTCAAACAAGGATCATAATTGATACTGGGATTTGAACCAAGGATCATGATCGATACTGGAATTTGAACCAAGAATCATAATCAATATTGGGATTTGAACCAAAGATTATAATCGATACTGGAATTTTCAAACAAGGATCATAATTGATACTGGGATTTGAACCAAGGATCATAATCGATATTGGGATGATATTGGGATTAGAACCAAGGATCATAATCAATACTGACAGGCCCCATGGACTCTGCAAATCGACAAAAATTGTAAAACAAGATGATTAGTTTCTCTGATTAAGGACTGAAAATCACATAACATTGTAACATGGCTCACAAAGCCTAAATGTCACTGAGCACTAGTCTCCTCTCACCTTGTTTTTCTGTACAGAGATGAGGTCGTAGGGCCTGTAGTGCCTGCTAGGTGACAGGTTGAAGTGGATGGACTTGATCTGGCCAATATGATGACATCTTGCAAAATATTCCACCGCCTCTCGCCCATTCATGGTTGGGATATATTCTTCCTGGAAGGACAATGACAACATGCACGACTGAACTGAAAACTGATTGAACACAATGATTTTGTGTAAGTTGGGATTGTTCCATGATGGACATATACCAGTTGACATGTCTGTGTCAATACATAAGTGTGTCTATCTTACTCATTCAGCATCTTGTATTTGACTTGAAGCATTCGGGATGTACACAGTACGGAAACAGTTATCTGTATGATTCTGTGTATGCTGCCCTGCTCACTGTCATCTCCTCATGGTACACTGTATACGTGGGTGTGGTTTCCAGTACCAAGTAAAGGATCCAGCTGAAGGGAAGTATTGTAACAAACATGTTTACTTTGCGTGCGTGAGTGAGTTGGGTATAATGCTGCTTTTAACAGTATTACAGTTATACCATGTTGTGTCAGCTTAATGTTGGAGGAAAGCAGGTCTCAGACGTTACCACTTTGGTGAAACCCACGAGCATGAGTATGGTGCTGACAAACCTAGAAACATTATCGGGGTGAACCGGGATTCGAATCCACAATCATAGGTTTCTGGTGTGCCCAAGAGACGCAACTCTGCACAGTGAATCGCAGCACCTTAGATGACTGTGCCACTCATGCCCCCTTACCTTGCATGAAGGTGCAGAAAAGACATGTATTCAATCCTACCATCACACACCTTGCAGCTGAGTAGGTATTCTAACCTGTATTGACTGGATGACATCTTTACGTGGCGTCTTCTTCTCACTATCCCGCGGTGAGGTCACACTCTGGGACACTGACCTTGACCTGAAGCTACTCGGTGGTGATGGTGATTTGGGCTGCAAATATTTGACGACATTTGACTTATTGGTTGTTTCATCAAGTTACTTGACCATGTTTTTTTTTCAGGTCACTAGATGAGACAAAATTCTTTCTTGACAAAATATGCCGTATATTTTATTTATCATGTATTATCTTACCATACCTTGTCTGAAATTTATCATGCCATTTTGGCAGACTTGAGTAGACAAAGATTTTCTTTTTGTTGACAAACATAATATTACCAAATACATAACAAAACCACTTATTTACCATAATAAATGAAAACTCAAAACATGAACATTATTTGCAAAGATATTAATAACTATTTTAAGTATATCAAAATTTGGTACCTACAATGAATATCACAAATTTCCAAAAGAATATATCATTATTTCTATATTAATAAATTCTAACATGTACATCTAAATAGAGCCTAACACACAATTGCACAATTCTCTTTAATAAATAAACTGTGTGAATGCTATGGGAGGTGTCTGAAGACAGTACCTGCTGTGGTATGTGGGTGCTGAGTGCAAGTGCTGTGGTCCCCAGACAGTGGCTCCAGATGGACTCGCCTGTGTGTTGTAGCAGAGGTGACACAGAGCAACACAACACAATACATAGCAATGCCAGTACGAGGCAACACTGAAACCTTGTTAATCTGGACTACGTCAGTGGAGCTGTTCACATTACCAATCTCATAACTATGAGTACTGTCCCTTTAGTTGCAGATAGATCTTCCCATAGTCATACCACATTGTACCCATGTGGGAAATCAATCCCACGGCTTCAGCATGATGAGCAAACACTTTAACCACTAGGCTACCCCCCCCCTCCCTAATACCATGGAAGGCAAGGTTTCTTGACTTAAGACTAGACTGAGTCCACACTAACAAGGTTTTATTGTATACAGCATTAAACATAATATAAACAAGGCAAATGCAGATAAATTAAATAAACTAAAACAAATCAATCTTGTATGAAGTATCACAGATCCGCTGTTTCTGGCATCTGTGTAGTTACAACCCAAATCACACACTAACGTGACTGAAAATGTGTGACTTTTAACCAGTGACATGACTAACAATCAGTGACAGTGACATAATTGCATTGAAAAGAAATGAAAACATTGTGGATAATAACATGTAGAAAATAAATAGCATGAAAATGAGTGAGTGACGTTTTTACAATGCCTATTCCAGGGAAATCAGGTCAGGTAATGCCAAGAATGAACTTTGAACCCATGTACCTGAACGCACTGGGTCTTCAACGTGAGGGCAATGTTTTATTGGAAAATGAAGTAATTTTTATGAATTTTTCAATCCTATACTAATTTCCTATAACGCCCAACAATGCTGAGACTTACGTGCCGCCATCTCCAGGGCCACATCCCCCAGCGAGTGCCCGAGGTCTCCAATAGTCAGCTTCTGTGAGGGCATCATCTCCTCCTCATTCTGAAGACATTCCACATTCAACATATGTTATAACAGCTGAATTCAAGGAATCCATATTCAACATATGTTATAACAGCTGAATTCAAGGAATCCATATTCAACATATGTTATAACAGCTGAATTCAAGGAATCCACATTCAACATATGTTATAACAGCTGAATTCAAGGAATCCACATACAGCATATGTTATAACAGCTGAATTCAAGGAATCCACATTCAACATATGTTATAACAGCTGAATTCAAGGAATCCACATTCAACATATGTTATAACAGCTGTATTCAAGGAATCCACATTCAACATATGTTATAACAGCTGAATTCAAGGAATCCACATACAGCATATGTTATAACAGCTGAATTCAAGGAATCCACATATGCTATAACAGCCACATTTAAGGAATCCATGTATGTTATAACAGATCAATTCAAGGAATCCACATATGCTATAACAGCTCAATTCAAGTAATCCACATATGTTATAACAGCTTAATTCAAGGAATCCACGTACGTTATAACAGCTCAATTCAAGGAATCCATGTATGTGACAACAGCTCAATTCAAGGAATCCACATATGCTATAACAGCTCAATTCAAGGAATCCACATATATTATAACAGATTAATTCAAGGAATCCACGTATGTTATAATGGATCAATTCAAGGAATCCACATATGTTATAAGAGATCAATTCAAGGAATCCACATATGTTATAACAGATCAATTCAAGGAATCCACATAATTTATAACAGATCAATTCAAGGAATCCACATATGTTATAATAAATCGATTCAAGGAATCCACATATGTTATAACAGATCAATTCAAGGAATTGACATATGCTATAACAACTCAATTCAAGGAATCCACATATGTAATAACAGCCACATTCAAGTATGGTAAGATCTTGTGCAATGTTATTATTATTCTTTTATGTCATATTTTATTATGCAAGGTACATTATTTGTAGAGAATGATACAGAAAGTATCTGTTATGTCCAACAGCAATCAGTTTGTTTGACACATTGTGATGCTTGCCAACAAACAGGGGAACAGTCCTTGCTTATTTCAACGGGTATATGAAGCAGTCATAAAACAAAACATCTTTTATGCAATTGTTTTATTTACGTCGCACTCAGCAATATTCCAGCTATATGATGGCAGTCTGGACCAGACAATCAAGTGACTGAGATTATGAGCATCAATCCAGGCAAATGAGATGCGATGAGCCTGACCATGCAATCCCAACGAGAGTTCCTAACGACCTTACTGCATCCTGACTTTCTGTATGTTATTGTAGTTTTTGTCCTGTCTGTCTCAAGGCTCTCCCTATCCATGGAATAAACTACTGTACACTGATCTACTGACCCAACCCTCAAACAGTCAACAATGCACATAAAACTAAATCAAAAGTAATTTTATTTTATTTTCTTATTGTTGTTTTTGGTTCTGATCAGTTGAATCATGAAAACAAAAATGTGTTGTTCACACAAACAACCGTCTATGAATCACTCACAAGCACATGTGCTGAATATGGGTTAGTGCCGTCCGGCAGTCTCAGTTTGACAACGCTGCTTGATGACTTCCTGGGTGAGTGAGGGACAGACTTGACACCAGGACTACAGTATAGCTTGGCTGGGAAGGCGCCGCGGCGACGAAGTAGCTCAAGTTCCTGTCATACAACATACATTGTATAACAAAAGGTGCGAATTTTGCTGCATCCAACATAGATTAATGAAGTACAATAATACATCCAACTCAAATATCCCTAATCAATGAAATAAGGTAATTTGAAGGTTATAACATTTAATGTCTGATATTTCGTAGGTTCTTGAAAAAGTATTAAGCTACCAGAAAATAACATTTGGGAACAAACAAAAAGTATGATCTGCAGAAGACTCTGGACAGATGTTTCAACAAATACTACCCAGCACTCTCAACAGAGCCTTACCTGACGACTTTCTCAAGGCACATTTTCAACAGATAATGCATTAAAGGACCTACCTCAGAAAAAAACCATTGACAGATCATGCGATAGAAGATCTATCTTAGTGACAAGTATGCATGTGCAACAGAGGGCCTACCTCAGGGAAGACCTTGGACAGAGCATCAACCAGCTGCAGATCAAAGAACCTCTCTTTGTGGGACTCAACATGGCTGACAATACGCTCCAGATAGTGGTGGAACTGTATATAGAAATCTTGTTGTAGACAAAACAAAGTCTCACAGTCAGTGTTAAATTTCAGAAATGTGTATGTCATTTGCATCAATACATGATATCATAATGATTCTCACATCATGGCACAAAGTTATCTGAAGCACTTAACTCTTGTTGAATAGCTACAGCCCAATACACCTTCTTTAAACATCTTGTGTTATTTTACAGGCCACAAAATACCAGCTGTATCATGGCTGCCTGTCAATAGTGAGGTCTAGGCCAGGAAAAGCCAGTGGTTGACAGCATGAACTGCATCCCATATATATAGGAATTATTTGCCACACATTCAGCTAGACCATACATCATGATCACCTGATTCTAGTTAGTTGTCTCTAACGACAAGCATAAGATACTCAATATATATTCTGCCATAAATCACCAGGTATACAATCCTATACGACACTCAGTGATTGTTCTGTGTGTAGCGTAGCGACAGTGAAAGCAAGACCTCTGACTGCACCTCCCAGTAGCGGAGACATTCCCTATACGACACTCAGTGATTGCTCTGTGTGTAATGTAGCGACAGTGAAAGCAAGACCTCTGACTGCGCCTCCCAGTAGCGGAGACATTCCCTATACAACACTCAGTGATTGTTCTGTGTGTAGCGTAGCAACAGTGAAAGCAAGACCTCTAACTGCGCCTCCCAGTAGCGGAGACATTCCCTATACAACACTCAGTGATTGTTCTGTGTGTAGCGTAGCAACAGTGAAAGCAAGACCTCTGACTGCGCCTCCCAGTAGCGGAGACATTCCCTATACGACACTCAGTGATTGCTCTGTGTGTAATGTAGCGACAGTTAAAGTGAGACCTCTGACTGCGCCTCCCAGTAGCGGAGACATTCCCTATACGACACTCAGTGATTGCTCTGTGTGTAGTGTAGCGGCAGTGAAAGTGAGACCTCTGACTGCGCCTCCCAGTAGCAGAGACATTCTCTATACGACAGTCAGTGATTGTTCTGTATGTGCAGTGTAGGGACAGAGAAAGCGAGACCTCTGACTGCGCCTCCCAGTAGCGGAGACGTTCCCTATATGACAGTCAGTGATTGTTCTGTGTGTAGCGTAGCAACAGTGAAAGCAAGACCTCTGACTGCGCCTCCCAGTAGCGGAGACATTCCCTATACGACACTCAGTGATTGTTCTGTATGTGCAGTGTAGGGACAGAGAAAGCGAGACCTCTGACTGTGCCTCCCAGTAGCGGAGACGTTCCCTATATGACAGTCAGTGATTGTTCTGTGTGTAATGTAGCGACAGTGAAAGCAAGACCTCTGACTGCGCCTCCCAGTAGCGGAGACGTTCCCTATACGACAGTCAGTGATTGTTCTGTATGTGCAGTGTAGGGACAGAGAAAGCGAGACCTCTGACTGCGCCTCCCAGTAGCGGAGACGTTCCCTATATGACAGTCAGTGATTGTTCTGTGTGTAGCGTAGCAACAGTGAAAGCAAGACCTCTGACTGCGCCTCCCAGTAGCGGAGACATTCCCTATACGACACTCAGTGATTGTTCTGTATGTGCAGTGTAGGGACAGAGAAAGCGAGACCTCTGACTGTGCCGCCCAGTAGCGGAGACATTCCCTGTATGGTGGTAATAGTTCCAGCACCTCCTGCAGGAAGATCCAGGACATCCGACTGAAACAAACAAGGACTCATTAAACATATGTCCTGAAGAAATATCTAGGTATTCAGCAGATATATCTAATATAATATCCATGGCCTTGGGTGTCATGATACACTGATGTATCAATGTATTGATGTATCAATGTATCAATGTATCAATGTATGATTAATTTAACCTGATGATATGATACATGATATACGAACCCATATATCGATTCATGTTTTTCTTCGGAAGTGGTTTTCAGAAATCAATATTTACCAGCACTGTAATAACTAGACCCAGGTTAGCACTACCTTACTGCTTATCACAAAACAAAATGCTAATTCTGATTGCCTGATACCACTACAAGCCTCTATTAACCAGTGATGCAAATAAAATACAAACCGGTTGACAGCAAAGAAGGGGTCAACTGCAGTATTTGGGGTCCCCACTTTCCCCGAGGAAACTGCTGCCTTTCACAGACTTGCTTATATACAAGTGAGCACACGCTAGCTGGCATGCCAAATCCGTTAGAAGGCATTTTTGAGCAAAAAGGGCCCAAAAAAATGAGCTGGACATGCAAAGCATGGTCTAAAACTCTGCCCCTATGGGAGTCGAGAGTTTTACGATAGAAAATAAAGCCGTATTCTCATGGTGTCAACTTTGTGTTGTTTATGGGCGTGACATGAATGACGAATGACGTCACATGTCTGTTCATGTCTTATATGGACTCGTTGAAAGCAACTAGGGTCATAACTTGTAAATTCATAAACTGTGGCTTGTACAAATAGAACAGAATCTACTTTGAGAGCAGTGAAGGCATCTTTGCATAGGCATGGGACGAATAAGGGAATGCATGACAGTTATTTTGTTGAATACATTATCAGAACATAAGTTGTTCAGCTTATCATTTTATTCAGTTTCTCAGTTCATCAGCTGTGTTTACAATGTTTAGAACTTTGAAGCAAAATGATCGTTTAAGAAAATGATGAAAATGAAGCAGAAAAAGGAATTGAACTTGGTCTAGATGGATCCACAGACTTATTTGACAGTCAAGATGAATTCAACGTCTGAAGTTATTTGTTTGAATGTGTATCTTTGGATAATCGTTTTTCCTGTGAATATATGAATAAACTTATACCATAGTGCAATTTATTTAAAAAAAGGGGGGTCCGCACCCTTTTATCCCCTCTATTTTACTTTTAAAATTTCCTAAAGGTGGGGTTGTACCCGCCTTGAACCCTTTTGTGTTGTCCACCTAACAAAATATATTGTTCTTGAAACAGAATGAACTAACCGTTGTGAGATATATTAGATAAAACAGAGGGGTTTCACCCCCCTTTACCTCCCCATTTTCTACTTTAATATTTCAACAAGGGGGGGTACTATATATGATGTATGTGTGAACCACAACAATGTCCAACATCTGCACGGAACATACCATCAATCATGACACCTGTTGTTCATCTTGACACCATTAACTACAGGGATATGTACCTGTCATGCAGGAAACCTGGTGTTTAAACAAGGACACTATTAACTCCAGGGACAGTCACCTTGTCTGCTGGACATATTGTGTCTCTACCAGAACATTCATCTTGTCTGGCAGACACCTGGTGTCTATACCAGGACACCAGTAACTCCTGGGACACACACCTCGTCTGGCAGACACCTGGTGTCTATACCAGGATGATCACCTTGTCTGGCAGACACCTGGAATCTATACCAGAACATTCACCTTGTCTGGCAGACACATGGTGTCTATACCAGAACATTCACCTTGTCTGGCAGACACCTGGTGTCTATACCAGGACAATCACCTTATCTGGCAGACACCTGGTGTCTATACCAGAACATTCACCTTGTATGGCAGACACCTGGTGTCTATACCAGAACATTCACCTTGCCTGGCAGACACCTGGTGTCTTTACCAGGACAATCACCTTATCTGGCAGACACCTGGTGTCTATACCAGAACATTCACCTTGTCTGGCAGACACCTTGTGTCTATACCAGAACATTCACCTTATCTGACAGACACCTGGTGTCTATACCAGAACATTCACCTTGTCTGGCAGACAGCTGGTTTCTATACCACGACATCAGTAACTCCAGGGACACTGCTTGACTGCTGGACACCTGGTGTCTATACCAGGACATTCACATTGTCTGATGGACACCTGGTGTCTATACCAGGACACCAGTAACTCCAGGGACACACGTTGACTGCTGGACACCTGGTGTCTATACCAGGACATTCACATTGTCTGCTGGACACATGGTGTCTATACCAGGACAATCACCTTGTCTGGCAGACACCTGGTGTCTATACCAGGACACCAGTAACTCCAGGGACACACCTTGCCTGCTGGACACCTGGAGTCTATACCAGGACACTCACATTGTCTGCTGGACAGCTGGTGTCTATACAAGAACATTCACCTTGTCTGAGAGACACCTGGTGTCTATACAAGAACATTCACCTTGTCTGGCAGACACCTGGTGTCTATACCAGGACAATCACCTTATCTGACAGACACCTGGTGTCTATACCAGAACATTCATCTTGCCACCTGGCAGACACCTGGTGTCTATACCAGGACACCAGTAACTCCAGGGACACACGTTGACTGCTGGACACCTGGTGTCTATACCAGGACATTCACATTGTCTCCTGGACACCTGGTGTCTATACCAGGACAATCACCTTGTCTGGCAGACACCTGGTGTCTATACAAGAACATTCACCTTGCCTGGCAGACACCTGGTGTCTATACCAGGACACTCACATTGTCTGCTGGACACCTGGTGTCTATACAAGAACATTCACCTTGTCTGGCAGACACCTGGGCCTACTTGCACAGAACAATCTAAGTTACAATCGATCTTAGGCGGCTACAATCAACTTTACAATCACCATACAATTGTCATATTCCAATTGCACAAACCGATCTTATCGCGATTGTAAGACGACTTGGATTTAAGATCGCAATCATAACTAAGATTGAAATCTTCAATGGTGGACGTACGAATATCTTAAACTAGACTCCTGTCTACGGTTGTCTGCAAACGCGCAAATCTTGCTTCGCATACAACGTGTGGAACCGGTTACGACATACAACACGTACCTCCCTCCATCGCACCTTGCACAGCTGAAAGGTCCCAATTATTTGAAGGAAACTATAACTAGAATGTTGGCATATAGATTTAGTGACATTCTTATTATGAAAATAAAAATAGAAAATAATAATATGTCCAAATAACATAACAGGTAAATGTATCGTCATCTATTTGGGGGATCTTTCCGTAAAATCCTAAATACATGTATATCCTTCATGTTTTTGTTTCGCTGCTATTACAAAGGATGTTATGACAACCTTTTCAAAACACAGAAGGACGGGAGATTTCAAGAATGCATGTACAGGAAATAAGAATAATGAATAATGTTTCAAGAAAGCAGTTGTTTAATATATATTCACTTGGTATTAATTATATTTTTTAAAAAGTGTGAATTTTACTTTTGCTATTAATGGGATATTTTACACAAATTTCAAATGTCTCATCATGTGTATTTGCTTGTTTGATGAATATTTGTATTAGTTTCTTATAAATTCAGATATTACAACCGCTCGTGCCCGTCCCACTCAATTTTAGATATAAACGTATGAATTTGCACTTCAACTTCTGTTTACTTGTAGATTAATTTAATGATGAACTAAAGACAAAATAACTGACATGAATGTGACCCAAAAGAGATACAGGGGGAGCTTGGCGGTTCTACAACATTAATACACTGGGCAAGGTAGATTCTAACATACTTATACAAAGGGAAACAACTCCCATCTAGAGTATAAACTATGATTAGCTGCCCTTGATTTATCTAAACGGTCACGGACGTTACAAATCGCTTGCAGACGACTTAGGTTTTATCCTTCCCTTGATAAGGTATGTTGTTTCACACTTCCTTCAGCATTGAGACGTGTGGGAATAGTACTTTTAGCTATCGACTCGATAGTTATGTGGTTCACTATCGCAATTAACGATATTTCTGACGTTAAATCTGTGGTGCAGTCTTCGTATTGTTGAAGTGTCGATTCGAATCATACAATTAAACAAAATAAAGAGGCAGTGTTTAAACGTAAAGCAGATTATTAATGTGAAACAAGCCCTGTCTTGCACGCCATTTTGTCAGGGACAACAACGATCTTAGCTACTTAAGATTGGTTCGGACCAGTTGTAAGTTTTGATTGTAGCTTACAATGATCTTAGCCTACAATCGCTTTGTGCAAGTGGATGGCGATTGTAGCCGAAGCCTAAGATCCCGATCTTAAGGATCTACAATAATTGTAGTGCTAAGATCGCTTTGTGCAAGAGGACCCTGGTGTCTATACCAGAACATTCACCTTGTCTTGCAGACACCTGGTGTCTATACCAGGACACCAGTAACTCCAGGGACACACACCTTGACTGTTGGACACCTGGTGTCTATAACAGGACACCTGTAACTTCAGGGACACTCACTTTGTCTGTTGGACACCTGGTGTCCAATAACAGGACACCTGTAACTTCAGGGACACACACCTTGACTGCTGGACACCTGGTGTCTATAACAGGACACCAGTTACTTCATGGACACACACCTTGACTGCTGGACACCTGGTGTCTATAACAGGACGCCTGTCACTTCAGGGACACACACCTTGACTGCTGGACACCTGGTGTCTATAACAGGACACCTGCAACTTCAGGAACACTCAGCTATCAAGCAACACCTTATTTCTTATGTCAGCACATCATTAACTACAGGGATATGTACCTGTCATGCAGGAAACCTGGTGTTCAAATTAGGACGCTATTAACTACAGGGACACTCACCTTACCTGTTGGACACCGGGTGTCCTATGCAGTACACCAGTAACTGCATGTACATAACTTTCCGGTCAAAACCAAGTGTCCTATGTCAACATACCGTTAACAACAGAAACCCTCACCTTTCCAGTATGACCCCTGGTGTCATATATCAAAACAGTATCAACTAGGGGCACTAACCTTTCCAGCAGGACACATGGTGTCTGATGTCGACACATTATTAATAAGGGACAAAGACATTAATGGTTGGACACCTGGTGCCACATGTAAGCACAATATTAACTTAAGGGACACTCGCCTGTCCTGCTGGAGGGAGCATATGAAGACTTGGATAAGTTCATGTTTTAAAGATGCAACATCCTCTTCTCCTACTTCATCTTTCTCCTCTTTACTAGCATCAATTCTGAAATAAGTTCATCAAGTTAGCATTGCAATAAAAATTGAAGATAATCACTTACATACACTATCACCTTCTGCTTGAATACCTGGGCACTCATATATATGGTCTGTAGAAACAGACATTCTTCACAAAGCTTCTATCCATAACTTGCAAGAAATACAAACATACATTAATCAACAAAAAGAAAATAGTTCATAAAAAAAAAGAAGAGAAATTGCAGAGCACTCAAATCTTGAGCTTTTTCCACATCCTATTTTGTCAAACATGCAGGATTCCTGTGCCAGGAAAATCATTGTGGCGTTACCTGTTCCTGATATCTGCTGCCCATCCCAGCGCTCGCTCCCTGGGGGATGGGGCCTGTCCTGTTTGCACCCCTGACACCAGGCTGCACCGGCCCTCATGCAATGCCGGCAACTTGGCAGAAGAGGTAGAGGAGGATAATGGATCAGCACACAACTCTACTTTTGCCATTTTTTTATTGCTGCTGTCCACTGTTACCTATTGTTGCAACAGTGTTCCTTTCATTATCTGTAAGAGAATAACAGGTGCTAATGTCAAGTTAGAAACAGCTGTTCTGAAATTTTTACATATTCTAAAAAACGAGGGTTGAAATAATTCTAGATGCATAAACATAGTTTATACATAATTACTGCTGATTAACAGCAACAATAATGTCATATCAAAGATGAACCATGATGCAGTCTTGTAGAAAATCAAATCTATTGAAACAATTCATATAGGCCTATTCATAAACATCTGCAATAAATTCATTTTTATAAGTTGTCCACTGGTCTCGACTGGCACATCAACCAATGTCTCGCGAGGGACTGGTGGACAATGAAATTGTTTTACCGCACACCTACTTATATTGCAGGTATGTCTAATATATGCATGCTTTGGTCAAAATTGATAAAAATGCCACAGTTGAGCATTTATCCAATTTGTTCATTTTTCACATTCATCCTAAAATAGCAGACCACAGAAAACAAACTTCGAGTTAATCACCCTCGATCTATTTGATTCAGAAAGAAATGTACCATCTGTGCAAGATTAATATTTAAAAAAGTGCAACTTTGCCAAAATATTGTTTTTACCTTGGGTATGTCCATAACTTAGAGGAAAACTTTCAGCAATATGTTGATAAATTAATTAGTTTTTCATCGATTACAAGAAGAATATAACATAGAAAGAGATATAACCGGACATTCATATGTCTTATTGCATATTTTCAATTCTATAATTAAGAGAAACAGATGCTTGTGCGCGAAAATTGAGGCACTGTCACTATCTATCCATAAACAGAAGCAAGTTAATCCTTTAGAACATGACATAGATTGACTCGTGAACATTATCTTCTTTTCATTTACATGTGATAATGGAAAGTAAGCTTTGATATTCTAACATTCACCTTTCCTTGATTTCGTTGAATATTAATTCCTCATGATAGGTATCCAGAACTCGGTTGCCAAGTTGCCATCTTGGTCACTCCAAACATTGTAGGCGTGCAGTAAATAATGTTATTACTGGGTTTGGTTATATATAATTCACAACGAGCATAGTGACCGACTAGCTTGAGATCAATAATTTTTCAATGTTTCTGATTGAAATTTTTGTTTGCGAATATTAATGTTAGTTCAATTATTATATATTTATCCAAACACATTCGCGATACAACTTTTGTCCGGAGCAAAGCGCCATATTGGAACTTTGTTTTGACTTGACTATTTCTTTTTGCTGAACTTTCCTGTGTGGTGTTTAGCCGTTATCTTTATTAATGTAAGTAATTCTGGCAGAAGCTCTTAGATACACTTCAGATCAAACCTTTCTGGAATATTTTAGCAGTTGACTGAAAGAGGTATGTGTCATACTTTCTTTTCGATTTCAGTTTGGAAGCTTGCGGTTTTCGTGCATGTTCAACCCATTTTCGATCACCTGTTTACTTATCAGAATTTGTTCTCTAGATCTGATGTATGAAGCAATCAATGACATTGATAAAACAAAATGGTGTAATGTCACTGATTTTCAATGGGCATTTTTGTTGCCGCAATTTGAAAAAAAGGAGTGATACCATATGTTTTGCATGATATCATTTATCATGTTTTAAATGCTGTCATCTTTTGATGAAACGTTAACATTTGACTATTACATTCTGCTGATAACTTCAAACCTTTTGTTTACAGTGCTTTAAGATGTGTACAATAGCAAACCATAGTGATGTCATAAGTTTATTTGATAAACATCTACATACAGGTGAAATTTTTCATGTTCTTGCATATTTCTAATCATTTTCTAAACTTTGATTGATGTTTATGCAGGCAATCTTTTTACCATCAAAGTATTGATATCAGCCTTTAAATACTTCATTGCAAAGCTCGACATCACTCAGATTGTTGTTTTTATACATCATATGTAAACTGACTATGATGAGTTGCGAATATACCTCTGTAACCTTTCGAGTATTGAGGCGTATGTTATAACACTGCAAACTATGCGTTTGAATTAGAAAACGGAGTCAGAAATTATTAAAGTGTGAAATCTTTATTGTCTTAGAATGTTGAGAAGAGTAGTTCCTCACAAGACAGTTAAGTAATATATGAACAACAATCCATCCTAGTGCATGCATATTGAACAATTCTGTTATCTTATGCAGTGATATTGTAAGTTTAATGATGCTTGACACATTGATTGCTGCATGTAAGGGTGTAAAAAAGCATAATGGTTGGGGTGAGCCTAACCAACCTGTCATTTCTAATCTGTCAATTAGCATGATGACCTGTGCAATATACCCTCCCTCACCCCATTTGCCAATGTGCCAATTAGTATCGCACAGCCATAAAGTATATGCAGTCTGTGTATTCAGCAAGTTTGTTGTAGATATAGTATCTCACATACCTGCAAAAGTGAATTGCTTACTTACTTACTTATGTTGGAAATTTTACATGCGCTTTCCGACTGAAGCGTATATCGCACATGGAAGCGAATTGCCACTTGTGTGTACTTAAATAGCAGATCAACATTATCAATAGCAAGATGCCCTTTCACAAGTTGCTTTGCATTTACCAAAGTTATCATCCATGTAATAAAGGTCTAAAGGTGGTTACATTTTATAGAAATAATTTCTCTCGAATATGATCTGTACTCCAGACCTGGTAAAATAAATGTAGCCTTTCGCAGTATGGACGCTTATATTCATAATGATCATTGAGTGGAACTGCATGACTGGTGGCCTTGTCAGAAATGTGCTGACTCAGTTTTCTTGTCTTCTTATTGGTACTACAAGGAGTCTTCTGTCTTATCCCCAATTACTGGTATGGTTCACATATATACAACAATGGGACATCTGATTCCGTCAGCAATGTAGAAATTGGAGCAAAATGAAAAATCACTTTTCTTTTCCTACAATGATACATTCTAATATTAAATTTCTGTTTTACACAAACTATTTTCTAAAACAATATTTCACCAATTTATGACTCAGTTGTTAAATATATCTTGACTCCCCTCAGGTTCTCGTTGCACAATCCACCCCTGTTCACCTGTACAATGAATGTGGCACTCCAGCTTGGTGTCACATTTGGAATCAATGTCATTAGCTTACCAAGGCACTTAATTACTCTTTTGGTTAATTGGGTCTTCTTTCGCAGGAAATCTCTATTGACATAAAAGTGGGCAAACTGTAAATGAAATATGTTGGCCAACTCAACATGTTTAATGACCTGTACTGGGGTAACTTTTCTCAGACACAACATTCAAGAGATAGATACTTATCAGGGGTGTTCAATTTGTATGCCCGACTTGTACAAAAAAGGTGCCAGGCACGTGGGAAAATGTGTGCTTTGAATATAATTTGTAATTACCTCCATTTACACAAGTCGTGGCTGGATGAGACGTATTCCCTGCCCCAATGCTTCCATTGGCTGTTGCTTCAGGTAATAAAGTTGTGCTGTTACAATTAAAGTTTTCTCCTTTTATCTGATTTAGCAAGGCATGCTGAAACTCAGGCTGGACAAGTGGGACATTTTGGGATTTGAACACCCTGTCACTCTCCTCATTGTGGGTCCTACATTTGTATCTACATTTACTCATCTACCAGTTGTCTGTGTCGCTCAATCTACAAAATCATACACCTGATCCTTTTTGTAACAACTCCTTCACAATAGTTTCATTCTGAAATAGCAAATCATTATTAATTTATGAAGATGCACTCTCCTGAGAGGGGTTATATAATATGTTTATGGCTTCAACGTGTTCAAGTGGTTCATGATTTTAAGATGTCAGAAAAAATGTATGGGCAGTTTTATTTCATTCATTTACTAACAAGACCATTACTTTGAGCTTGAAAATGAAATTCCTACCCATGCTGACAAGTGGATTTTGTGCTGTTTACAAGTACAAGATGAAATGATTCCAGTGGAATCTGCCAGGGAAAAGGTCGAGGATTAGAGGTGCATTCACCCATCACCTGTGTTGTTTTAAGGTGTGTAAGAAATGGCATGTGTATCTAATTAACGAGAGGATACCAACACAACAAGGCTAATAGATGGACACAAGGCTAATTGATGGATACAAGGCTAATTAAGTTTTCAAACCAACAACATTAATAGATGCAACACATACTACCCGAATTGGCTAGGACCTCATTAGGACTGGTATAACCCACAGTATCAAGGTTTTCATTTGCAGTATCCCAGGGTTGACAGTCTACTTGGGTCAGGTGAACATTTACTGTCCATTTTGTCATGTACGTCAAGGTATGAATTGAAGGACACAGTCAGCGACTATAGCTGCTTGTCCAAAGACCGAGTAAAGCATAGTTGTGTTTGTCGGGTTACTACAGCAAAATAATCATCCATACAGTGTGTACAGTGAAACTCCTGCTGAAATCATCTGGGGTAACATATTTCTGGTCCAATGTATCATGGCTACAGAGTACTGTAACACTATGCACATGTAAGCGGCAGTAATTATCTGTTACATGGGTTCGGATTAAGTCCAGGGCAAACAAGGATTCACTGTATACAGAGTACAACTAAAATCTGAAGTTGGTGGCAAGATACTGGTCTGGGCTAATTACAGACCCTGACTCAAATATATCCAATACAGCCCATGCAAGTCTATAAGAGTGGGCAAGTCTAGATTACAACAGTCTCTGAAAATGAAGAGTCTCTCAGCTTCTTTTTATTATTTTTTTTTCGGATAATTTAACGACAGTTACTGTTTTTTCTGTAAGACATATTCATTTCAGTGACTAGATGTTAGTCAAGACAAGTAGATTTAAGATATTTAGCACACGTTATGTTCATCATAGGGGCAGTCAGGTAGCCTAGTGGTTCGATTCCTGACATGGGTACAATGTGTGAAGCCCATTTCTGGTGTCCCCCGCCGTGATATTGCTGGAATATTGCTAAAAGCGGTGTAAAATTAAACTCATAGAGTCTAGTTCCTGTTATTTTCACCTGTTGGAACAACTTGTTTGTTATGAAATCAAATCCCTGGATATGATTTACAAATTAGACAAACATCTGGTCTCTGAAATGAACATATTTTACAGATAAAAACAGTTCTTAAATTTATTTATTAAAAAGGAACCCAGAGACTCTTCATTTTCAGAATGAAACTGCAGTAATCTAGACTTGCCCACTATTTTGGACTTGCATGGGCTGTATTGGATATATTTGTTTCAGGGTCTGTATGACAGACAGGGGACAGATATGCCTATTGCCCTGATTCTAGCAACGATGTGTTGGCACCGTACCCATGCTGGTGGTTGTACCGATGGTCAGTCACATATATGACATGCATCACTTTGTGCAGTTATGTTACTGAAGAACTGTCCACGTGGTAGCAGACAAATCGCAACAGTTTCTTTTTATCTTGATGTAGTACAGTCGTACGTCCTCTATGAGCAGAAACAATGGTCTGTGCTGTGAGGTATAATCAAACACATGAGTCCCAGGAATAGCAAGCACATGTATGAAGTGACTTTTCACTTCCAACTCCAGGCCCATGAATCCACTGCCCAGCCAGTTAGCTGCATAAATCTCCGTGCAGCTCGAGCAGAAGTTAGCATGCAAAATTTAATGTATCTTTCATGTTTCTAGGTTTGTCAGCACCATACCCGTACTCGTGGGTTTCACCGAAGTGGTAAACGTCTGAGACGTGCATTACTTTGGGCTTTCCTCCCACATTAAGCTCACACGCCGCGGTATGAATGTAATACTGTTAAAAGGGGCGTTAAACCCAACTCACTCACTTACTCACTGTTGTATCTTATTTAAAAATGGGTATTTGCAGTCTACAAAATAACATCTAAATTGAGCTCAGAACAATGCTTATTTGCAGGGCTCAGGCAATCAACACTTGCCCACTCATTCTAGACTTGAGTTCATTTTTTAATTTATTCTGCAGGTTCTGGGAGACATAAGCCCCTAATGACTGACTGATCACACCCACAGCTGTGGAACACTACTAATTACTAGCCTTACTAGGAGGTTCACTTGTCTCACAACAATATACAATGATAGAAGATAATCTCATTAAGGTGTCTGTTTTAGTTGAAGGATTTAATTAATAGTAATTGTGTGTCAATGTTTAATTTAAATAGCAGTGTTATAAGGATTAGACTGAGAGTGTACATAAGCTACAGGTTAATTTAGATAGAACAAGTAGCAAGTGGTGATGCGACACAAAGCGCTGTCTACAGCTGTCCTGTTTCTACATTACTGCCATAAGTCTCACAGGATAACCAGCACAATCCACCAGAAGACTGTTCTGTCAATACACACTACATAACAATATAGCGGTCGGTTAAAACAGCATTATCTTTATCAAAACTTGTGTTTTCCAGTCGGAAGATGAGCACGCGTCCCCGCCCTGTAACTGCCACAGTGACCAAGCCGAGATGGATGTCGATGCCAGATGCGGATTCGATTGCTCGGGCACGGAGACATTCCCTCGGCTCCACAGGTTCCACGGCATCTCTGGTGTCGGTCCTGGACCACGACAGCTATATAAGTGTACCTAGTGACTCAGAGCTGGAGGCACCAAAAGTTCAACTTCGTAAACGTTCATCAAGAAAGACAAAGGGGGCCAATGAGGTTATAGTGAGGTAAGAACAACTTGGTCTTGTTCCTTCCCACCAAAAACACAATTGGGCCCAGAGTTAGACTAGATCCCTGGCACTATTGTTTGAGGACTTGATGCATTGGTTGATTGCATGTCACCAAAGTGACGTGGCTCATAATATCAGCCACTGGTTTGTCTCACTCAGACTTGATTATTTACGTCATATAGCTGGAATATTGCTTACTGATATATAACAACAAAGTAAACATTATTTATTAATATATTATATGTGGACTGCCAGTGGTAGAGCCTCTGCTCAAAGAGTGCAAGGTCAGGAGTTCAATCCCTGGCCGCGTCAAACCAAAAGGTGTTAAACGATGGTACTTGTTATTACCCTGCCTGGCACTCAGCATTAAGGGACCAAAAGAGGGACTGGTTGGCTGGGAGTCAAGTGTACTGTGTCTGAGTGAGGTATTCATGTCAAACTGTGGCATGGTATCTCAGTGGGCTCACGCTATGAAATTGGCATAAGTCCAGACTAGTACAAGCAGCCACGCACACAGCCACGTACGCACAATTTACCCTATTTCACATAATACCACAGTGGTGTAGATCCAGCCATCCACCACGAGTACTTCTGGCTCAGACTGCAGTATTGCTGACTGCAGTGGGAAGCAACATTCACTCACTCACTTTAGTTTCCGTGTCATCGGATGTATCTTAATAATCATGTTTGTTTTTGTTGCAAGCTATATGACATCAAGTTATCATGGCATGCAAAAAGCCTGGATGTATTAATTTGTGTTTTCAACAATAATTCTTTTGGTTTTTGACAGTAAGCCAGCAGGGGAAGATGGGAGAAGAAAGTCATCAAATTCCATGGAAAAAGGCCTATCCCCATGGGAAATTTGGCTGATAGCCAAGACACAGGAGGAGAGACAACATCGACAGCAGGAAATACAAAGGAAGAAAGAAGACAAAATAAAAAAAAGAGAGGAAGAAAAAGAAAAGGAAAGGAAGCTAATGAAAGCTGAAGATGTCCGTAAAGAATGGATGGAAAGAAAGAAGAACGAAGAAATGCTAAAAAGGAGAACGGAAAAGCTGCAAACTCGCAATGAGAAACAAGCGAAAGAAGAAACACAGACAAGCATCCAACAGAAATCAGCTAACAATTTTAAGTTGTGGAAGAAACATAAGTATGAAGAGGAACGAGAGAGAAAAAGAAGTGATAAACAGAAAACAATACAAGAGGAAGAAGAGAAGAAAAAGAAGGCTGAAATATCAGAGAGGAAGTATCAGGAATGGTGCAAGAATGCTGATAAAAGACCCAAGTCTGCACCCAACAGCTTCGGATACATGGAAGGAAAGCTTAAAGGTAAGGAATTTGGATTATTGGTGGCATGGAAAATAGTAGTGGGACGATACACCCATGCATCTGTGGATTGCGATTTTTTACTTTTTGCTTTAATAACTGTTCCACCAAACATTAATTAGTAGTAAATTTAGTTGTGAAAACACAAATATTTTCATCCAATGAGACGGTGACATGAGATGGCTTACACACCACAGATAACAGCACATAGTATCGTCATACGTATCAGATCGTGTACAAGGTACAGTCAAGTCCCGTTAATCCGTCATAGTTAGTTGCATATGATTATGTCGGATTAACGATTATGTTGGATAACCGAAATTAAGTAGTATCAACGTTCGTGATAAAAAATCGGACAACTACACGGTAGATAACAATACAAACATGTAATCATGGTAATAAAAAAATAAAAATGAAATATTCATATTGTTATGTTACATTGTTAGCGGAATATGTTTTCTAATCATGCAATCTCTAAAGCTCAACGCAAAGCTTAAGAAAGCTGCTTACTAAGTGGCTAACGTTGACTTCCTGTTAGTAATTTCATTGGTCGGTCATATTTCGCGAAAGGTTGTCCTGACGTGACCTGTAATGGGATGTCCTCGGCGATGGCGAGAACTTGTATCTGATTTTAATGAGATTGAAGTAATCTTAGCATATGATTAAACCTGTTTTATTTATTTAAAGCATTAATTGTTTATTGTTAAGCAAGTTTATCTCTGCAGCCGTTGAATATGCAGCTACCAGCCGACTCGTCTCACATCAAAACACAGGCTGTGTACTCGCGGGCAGATGACCACGGAGAACGCTGATCACTGTGTAGGATTAACGAGACTGATTAATGAGTGATTTCGGTAATTCGTTGCAAATTAAGTGTGTCGGAGACGGGGTGCAAGACTGTCAGATTAACGGGTCTAAGTAGCACAGATTTAATCGGTTTCCAACATTAGTGTCAGATAAAGCCGATTGTCAGATTAATGAGTGTCGGATTAACGAGACTTGACTGTATTGTGATACATATCGGATTGCACAGTTGGCGTATCGTCTCAGGGTTAATGTAAAGAGAGTGTGTTGGTGATGTTATCATGGTTATTGTTGTATTCATAAAGGTTGGAATTCATCATGTGATTTAGCTTTACCCTTTGAAATTGCCGACCTTCATGATTTCATCTTCCCAAGGCACTCCCTTGTCCTGGGAAGATGTCATGTTTTTGGTGATTGCTGATCATAGCTACTGTTTTGTGATAAAACAGCTCTGCCTAGTTACAGTGCCATTATTCTGTAGTGGCATAGATCAAGGACTGACTCTGATCAAGGTTCAGGGTGGGACATTGACGGTCCCATGTTTCATGACAGCCATGTCAAAGGCGGATCCAGAATTTTGTAAAGGGGGGTGCACATAATACCTCAGTGACTTGACTGAGGGTGCAGTTAACATGTAAGGTGTTTGAAAAAAAGTGGGAGGCGTCTGCCAGTGCAATATTAATATTGCACTGTGTATGAGCGACACATTTTGATGTTCATACATTTTTGACGAGACTGTATCCTTGACATGACATACACACAGATGGACTAATCCCTGGCACGAATATACAGAAGCGTTGTTTCTGATCATTTCAACACTTAAGTCTTGAACTCACCATAATTGCATACACTGGAAATGGTCAGAATGTTTGACTGCGTTCTTGCTACGACCCATCTAAGTGAACAAACAACAATGCAATGCATACCAAATCTATACCCACCGCCAAAAGAAACATGAATACCATCAGAGATAATTCTAGGGTGGGACCTTGTGCTTTTAGCCTAATATGTGAAGACTTTCATATTCAATAGATATTGGATTGGTTCAATGCACTAACGAACATACTGGTATGTTGTTTGAACTGATGCTCATGAACACATCACATGTGATGTCATAGATCCATGACTCGAGATGCACCATTTGTCTCATGCAGGATTGGTGAGTCAAGTTTGGAAATTATCATGATAAGAAAAGACACTCTGTGGTAACACTTGACTGATTGTTCATTTTGTCATTAATTGGCACACATTGGAAACATCTCTTCTTAACATCCAACTTCTCTATATGTTTCTATGGGGGCACGGGTGGCCTAGTCATCAAAGGCGAAGCGATTCGCTGTGCAGAGTTGCGTCCCTTGGTCGCGCCAGAAACCTATGGTTCGCCCCGATTATGTTTCTAGGTTTGTCAGCACCATACCCGTGCTCGTGGGTTTCACCGAAGTGGTAAACGTCTGAGACCTGCATCACCTCGGGCTTTCCTCCCACATTAAGCTGACACGCCGTGATGTAACTGGAATACTGTTAAAAGCGGCGTTAAACCCAACTCACCCACTCACTCACTATATGTTTCTCTGGTTCGCGTTTCTTTTGGCTGTGAGTATATTACCCTGGATATTCCCGGATATATATAGTATATATACTATCCTAGACTGACAGTGACAGGCAACAACATTCCACAGCAATATATGAATTTACTTCAGTATCTATTTGACACATCTTTATAATGACTTTTGAATTATCAGAAATTTGATCAATGATGAGCTGCACCTAAGCATGCTAAGCGCCACAGCAATTTGAGTATACATACTCTCATGTCATCTCTTGTTTTTAGATCCATTTTCTTATGCCATACAGTTGTTTTCGTGTGTTTATCAGTGCAAACATGATGAAGTCACACATACTAAATAAAATTGTGTTTACATCCTTTGCAGTATGAAATAGGGTGGCCAAACAATTTATGAACATCATTGTAAACTCTAACATTCATACAGTTTTGTCCTCACTCTATGAACATGATGAAGGTTTATACTCCAATAAACTATACCTGTCAGTGATTGGGCCAGGGGAATTGGACAAAGAGACAATTAAGTAAGACCATGTCAAATATTTTTCCATAGCTTTTTGGTTTTACATCATCTCTGTGATAACATGTATCTTCAGTTTAAAGGGTAGATATCTTTATTACTCACCCATGAAAAGATCACCTGTTTAATAACAATATACTGTTATTACACATTCTGAAATAACATCGCACTTTTGTATTGTGATGGTTCAAGCATCATGGCATTAAAAAGATTCAGAGCATCTCTAATAACAAAGTATCATGTCAAAAGATCATCACAACATTGATCACCGTGTCTACTTATGACTTTGAACTTCATATTGTAAATGACCTGGATCAAGTGGACAGTCGTTAGAAATGTTGTCCTTGTGTCAACAGATGTAATTTTGTGTCGTGAATCCATGTGCTCGGATATTGAAAAGATGGTGTAAACTACAACAAATTTCGTAGCAGGTAAACCATCTGTAGACTTGTATGATGTCACACAGCTATGTGGGGTGTTCATTAAAGATTTCCCCTGACCCACTTCCGATGGACCTAGTTGAATGAAACTTGGCATAGGTATTAGTCTTTCTCCACATAGGAACCACCAAGAGTTACACACTTCTCCCATCGTTTTATGCAACTATGGAGACCTCACTTGTAAAAGCCGTCATTTTGCGTCTCAAACCAGGACTTGACTTCAGAAATAAGTGTTTCATGGTTGGAAAGAGGTGGAAGTCAGATGGTGCAAGGTCAGGAGAGTAAGGAGGATGTGGAAGGACTTCATAGCCACAGGACCGCGCTTCTGTCAGGGCAACATGAGAGTTGTGTACTGGAGCATTGTCTTGCAGGAGACGGACACCCATGGTCAGCATGCCACGCCTCTTAAGCTTGATAGCGTCCCACAATTTCCGCAGCAGTGAAGCACAACAAGCTCCTGTAATTGTGGTACCCTTTGCCAAGAAATCCATCATCACTACTCCGTGCTGGTCCCAAAACACTGTGAGCATGACCTTGCCGGCAGAGGGTTGGACATGTGCCTTCTTTGGGGGTGGTGACTCCACATGCTTCCATTGCATCAACTGAACTTTAGTCTCAGGATCATAGTGATGGACCCATGTTTCATCCTGTGTGATAAGTCTGTCAAAAAAGTTTGCCTGTTTTTTTTGGCACATGTCCAAAAGATCCTTTGAGCAATTGACTCGTTCCTGCTTTTGGAAAGGTGTGAGCAACCTGGGAATCCATCGTGCAGACACCTTATGCATGTTCAAATTGTCATGGATGATTTTTTCCACAGACCCTACACTGATCTTGACATCTTGTACTAACTGGCGAACAGTTATACGTCGGTCTGCCAAAATGGCGGTCTCCACTTGATGGGTAGTGTCCTCATCAATGGCTGAATGGGGGCGACCAGGAACGGCAGCTGTTTCCACAGATGTCCGACCACACTTGAACTGGCGATGCCAGTGTTTAACAACGTCATATGATGGGGCATCTTCCCCATAAGTTGCTTTCATTTCATCAAAAGTTTCTTTTGGTGTGCGACCTTTCAAATATAAAAACCTAATCACTGCTCGGTATTCTACTGGCTCCATTGTCAAACCCTACTCGATCATAACACCTGTAAAAGTGGTAAGATTAATAGTTCGGTGCTGCAAATTCAGACATAACCCATAGATACATGTATCATTACACATGTGAATTTTTAAACCAAATAAGATAACCCTAAGTGGTTTAGGGGAAATCTTTAATGAACACCCCTCGTAACATGGCATGGCTCGATGAGTTGGTCGTCTCACAAGCTCTCCTCATATACACTTGACCAAGTTGGAAGCTAGATTTACAGTTGAATGCAGATGTTTCTGACTTGGTGATGTTTGAGTATTTTAATGTGATAAGGAACTGAAAATCGGCATCTTATTGTTTCTAGTAATAGATGTTGGAGAAAGCTGCACAATGTATTGCCAGTTTCACCTGGAGTCAGCAGTCCGTGATCAAATCATCAGCTCCACATTTTGTATTCATATGCTACCCTTGTTTCAATGTCTTGTTTTCAACGACTTTCGATAATGTGTAAAGCATTATTGAGAAATAAATAAATTACTACATTCGTCTCTGTTAGGTACAGTTTTTCAGCAGTAGAAACTAACAGTTTTACTCCACTAGTCCTTATAATGATAACATATAGCAAAACCTTAAAAAGGGCAAATTTCTACTAGTCCTTAGGATACCTTAACTATTGGGCAGTTTGGCAAGGACTACAGGACTAGTGCCAATTTCTAACGCTGTTTTTATTACATCTCATGCTTAGTGTTGTAATCTATATTAATGAGTTATGACATAACAATTTGTTGATGTTCAAGCATACAGAGATGAGGCTCGTGAGTACAGTACTAGTTCAGTCTGTATCATTTCACGTCATGCAGTCACCCGGCTCACTTTTTCACATCAGATAAAAAACAACACAGTTTTGTTTTAACCTTTTTATGTATAGATATGTATAGTAAAAACAGTTTGGGTTCTAAACATAACATGAACATGATAAATATCACAGAAAAATGTCCACAGTCCAACCCCAGTCTCCATGGTAGCAGAATGTAACATGGAGTGTAACAGCCCCAGTCTCCCTGATAGATGAATGTAACATGGAGTGTAACAACCCCAGTCTCCCTGGTAGCAGAATGTAACATGGAGTGTAACAACCCCAGTCTCCCTGGTAGCAGAATGTAACATGGAGTGTAACAGCCCCAGTCTCCATGGTAGCAGAATGTAACATGGAGTGTAACAACCCCAGTCTCCATGGTAGCAGAATGTAACATGGAGTGTAACAACCCCAGTCTCCCTGGTAGCAGAATGTAACATGGAGTGTAACAGCCCCAGTCTCCATGGTAGCAGAATGTAACATGGAGTGTAACAACCCCAGTCTCCATGGTAGCAGAATGTAACATGGAGTGTAACAACCCCAGTCTCCATGGTAGCAGAATGTAACATGGAGTGTAACAACCCCAGTCTCCATGGTAGCAGAATGTAACATGGAGTGTAACAACCCCAGTCTCCCTGGTAGCAGAATGTAACATGGAGTGTAACAGCCCCAGTCTCCATGGTAGCAGAATGTAACATGGAGTGTAACAACCCCAGTCTCCATGGTAGCAGAATGTAACATGGAGTGTAACAACCCCAGTCTCCATGGTAGCAGAATGTAACATGGAGTGTAACAACCCCAGTCTCCATGGTAGCAGAATGTAACATGGAGTGTAACAACCCCAGTCTCCATGGTAGCAGAATGTAACATGGAGTGTAACAACCCCAGTCTCCATGGTAGCAGAATGTAACATGGAGTGTAACAGCCCCAGTCTCCATGGTAGCAGAATGTAACATGGAGTGTAACAACCCCAGTCTCCATGGTAGCAGAATGTAACATGGAGTGTAACAACCCCAGTCTCCATGGTAGCAGAATGTAACATGGAGTGTAACAACCCCAGTCTCCATGGTAGCAGAATGTAACATGGAGTGTAACAGCCCCAGTCTCCATGGTAGCAGAATGTAACATGGAGTGTAACAACCCCAGTCTCCATGGTAGCAGAATGTAACATGGAGTGTAACAGCCCCAGTCTCCATGGTAGCAGAATGTAACATGGAGTGTAACAACCCCAGTCTCCATGGTAGCAGAATGTAACATGGAGTGTAACAGCCCCAGTCTCCATGGTAGCAGAATGTAACATGGAGTGTAACAGCCCCAGTCTCCATGGTAGCAGAATGTAACATGGAGTGTAACAACCCCAGTCTCCATGGTAGCAGAATGTAACATGGAGTGTAACAACCCCAGTCTCCATGGTAGCAGAATGTAACATGGAGTGTAACAACCCCAGTCTCCATGGTAGCAGAATGTAACATGGAGTGTAACAGCCATTGCTCTAGAACGGACAGTGGGGCAGGCATGCGACAAGCTGGATCAGACATTATATGCACATCTTACCACTGATGAAACCATACAGTAACAATCATATATATTTGAGATAATAAGAGGCCGCTAAAAAGTAAAAGATGCATATATCATCACAAAAGAAAAGTTTGGTTTAATAGCCTTGGTATTTTAGAAGTAGTTTTTATTAGTATCTTCAGCTTTGACAGTCTAAATATTCCTCCTGTGATAGTATGGATATTTGAAGAATTTTGTCTTTTACCATGTTTGCCCTTTTGTGAAAATATTGCCTGTGCTGACATGAATATTTGTCAGAATTCCTTTTACCATGTTAACCTACAAATATATTGGTTCATGATTCATACAACATGTACAAGGAATACCGGGCTAGATAGTATTTTGTGTAAATGTATGCCGAGAAGAGTGTTAGAAGAAATACTGAACAGCTATTGTATAGATCTTTAAGTTGATTTCCTAGAAGTGTTCTGTGAAGTACAGTCACAAGAGGAATAAGAAGAATATGTTTACATCTGTTATGTTTGGTAACTTGAAGTGATTATTAAACATATAATGCCAAGAGAAATGCAGATCTCTGCCTCAGCACTTGGTGAGAATCAGCTGCAAACACAAGCTGATAAAACCGTAGATAATCTGTAAATGTTGTTAAACCTCACTGGACAGCACCTACCAGCTCTGCTGTAGTCCCTCCTTAAACATCCTCAACCAAAAACATCCTCGTCCAGATTAATGAGCTTGGATGAGTAACCAGGTTTACACATTATTGCGTAGATCTCTTACCATGGCACATACAAAACTCATTCAGTGTTGGTTACTGTAGCCCGTGATCTGCCGGTTTTGTTTTGTTTATATGATCTTGTTGATACATTTGTATTTCATAATCTTTGGTTAATACGAGGAATATGGACAGAAACAAGTAAAATGACAATATGTTGATAATCCTTCTCTTCCCCCAAAGATTGATTTGTTTATTCTTGTTTGAATGAATTGTAAAAAGATTTGTTGTCTTGGGCATATAAAAACTATTATCAAAACAACATCAGTGATAACATGGATACTTCTTGGCATAGAAAATACTTATATCATACATTAATACTGGTGAAATAACACAGCCTTTGGTGCCACATTTGACAGTGTGTCTATTTGTTGAGAGAGGCTATCACTGTATATACAATAATGAGTGTTCATCCTCAGTGACCAAATGACAACAATTTGTATTTGTTTGCGAAAATGTCTTCACAAAGAGTCCGTTGTTCTGTTATTTGACCCACTAGTGCCACTCGCACTATTATCATGTTGATGGTGTATCCATTTTCACTCAGTTGTCTCCCCTTTCTCTGTGTCGTCTGCTTCCTGTGAGCTTTCTCCTGACTCAAGTGTGTCTTTCAAGGCCAATATGTCAGCCTTCTCATCTTTGTAATAAGATGGTGTTCGTTGTTTCTGAAGTCACAAGGGTAGATGTGACAGAGTATGAAGGAAAAACATTTTGTCAAAGCAGAGAAAGTAACCATGGTTACTATTGATTTCTTATGCTAATAGTGTTCAAAGTAAGTGATTCAGGCAAGTAGTTTCTTTCAGGCTAGTATAATATATTTCATGTCTGTAGTTGATACTGATCCAAGTTTAACCCCTGTTTTTAATAGGAAAATCCTTTTCATAATGTGCTTTATGTATTTCAACATCATCATAAGGGAAATGGTGCTCTTGTCCCATGTCATAATTTGTACTAATTTCATCTACCAGAGAAATACATTTTCTTTTTACTTACAACATCTTTGGCTTGTGCGTCTGCTCCACTTTCCTGCAAGAGCTCAGCGACCTCATCTGATATTGCCATAGCATAGTGTAGAGGTGTTCTGTTCAACTGGAAGGAAGTAATCTCGTTAGTTTTATTCAAATAATCATTAAACGAATCATCTAGTATGATATTGAAAGATCTTAATCAAAAAGGTGAGTCGGTCATCTGGCCACAGCTGGATCTTTGAGGGCATTTTGTCACAAACATGTAAAACATGCATCACCAACATATTTCCACATCATAACTGGAATACTGTTCAACAGCTTCATGTATAATAATGACTACGGTTATGTCGTAGCTAATCATACCAAGATATTTGTTGTGAAACAAGTAGAACTTACATTGTCTCTGCACCTGACTGAGATGGGGAAGTTGGAGAGGATGTGTTTGATGATGTCCATGTGCTGAGATAGCACAGCTATGTGTAGAGGTGATCTCCCATACTTGTCTTTAGCTGTGGCTAGCTTCTTACGCTCCAGAGCTTGAATCACCTCTCGCAGCACACCAGAATGTACTGCTTTGAATACTAGGGAGATCTTTTCCTGAAATGTGGATATTTATTCTGCATATCAAGTGTATTTAAAATTTTGTGTTTCCATACAAAGATGTAGAGAGTGTATCATGGTGTATTGTAGCATTCTCAATATATGTTTGAAAATGTCTCCAATTTTGTATGTAATCTTCCAGTTGGAAAATCTGGAAAAGATTTAAATCGTAAGTATTTGTATTTCTTTGCGTTCATATTTTGGTTTTCCAACTGTACATGTTTACAATGTTTATCATTGTTGTGCAGGTTTGTTACTTTTGTTTATCGTTGAGCATGTTGAGTGTTGTGTGAAAAGTTAAAAAAAGTTGTATTTTGTTGATACAATTTCCATTCATTGGAAATAGAAAAGCTTTTAAGTGTTCAGGCATGTTTAGTTATTATAAAAAAACACTCTTCTGAAATGTATGCCAAAGGACATTTATATTCAGGCTGGTCAACTCTAACTATTTTGTCATGTGACGTCCACAGAGGTTCATTCTGAATCTTCATTTCAGATCATTGATAAATTATGAAAATGTTTTATGCAAGGGAATCAAACAGTAATATTGTTACTTACATTGAAGTCTGGCATAGCCTTGACAAAGTCAGTGACATCCTCAGGCAGACCGTCGGTGCTGACTCTGTCAATGACGTCGGTGAGTTGGTCGTAGCCGTCCAGCAGGAGCTGCTGTAGACTGTCCAGATTCTCCTGCTCCAGCAGATTGGTCACATAAGAGTCTGCAGGCAGATGGGGTTAACCATTTTCTAGTGCTCATGAAATGTAATACTGACAGGTAGGGCAAGTCATGACATGGTCTGGTGATCTGTGCTTTTAGTAAAGTATTAATAGGGAAAACACTTCATTTCGTTGAGATATGATAAATAAGTGTAATTTTGATGTCTGGGGTACTGAAAATCTGTAGAACAGGATGTTTTCGGACAGTTAAATGATACTGTCCTATGTGTAGTTACTTACCAAGAGACTCAGTGTTTTCTGTGATGCCATTTTCTTCAGCGACATCTCTGGCAGTGCGGTTGTTGGCATCCCGATCTGCAAGGCTGTAGCCCATGTTGAGAAGGGCAATGAGGTCAGCTCCTGTGTAGAACAACAATGCTATATCAAGGTCACATAGAGGAATAGGTTCCAATTGATCAGTGACAAACATGGTATGTCCTGTGTTGTAAACCACATGTGTAGTTTTGTACCCACCTTGCTGGGCTGCCAATTTGTGAAGTTCAGTCTGCCCATCCTCATCTCGGTCCTTGTTCATGGTGTCTTCTTCTCCCTCCTCTGTCACTGTGGGAAGCTGGGGCTTCTGTAAGAGAGCTGCTTCCTTTGCCCTGCAAGAATAGAAGCAGGTGATATTTGCCAGACCTGTTTTTCCAATAGCCCTGCAATCTGGGATTTGATAACATCAAATAATAGCTAACAACTGCTGAATCCTCACAACATGCTGTTGTGTGATCAGATACATTAAGCTCATTCCAACACAGATCGACATAACCAGTAACTTTACATCAGCTTCTATGTCCGTCATTCATTTACAGAAGCCTGACTGGGTTTCTCCCACAATGGGCTCCGTGGCTATCCTTTTTACCCAACATCTCTCTGCCCATTAGGACATATGCCAGTCATCTCTTCTCTGCTTTACTTTGAGAATGTGGGTAACTAGACAAGGAAATGCCTTTGTCAAGTTGTACATACAGGTTCAGTGAGTAAAGGGATTCTAATGATGGGTGACCCTTGAGATATAAGCAGGGAATCCCACAATGGTGAAAGCAGCGTTACAAATTGGCACTAGTCCTGTCGTCCTTGCCAAACTGCCCAATAGTTAAGGTATCATAAGGACCAGTAGAAAATTTCCATTTTTAAGGGTTTTGCTGTATGTTATCATTATAAGGACTAGTGAACTAAAAATGTTAGTTTCTACCGCTGTGAAAGGCCATCTGTCACACAGTGTACTCACTTTCTCTGCAGCTCTTCCTGCTCTTTCTTCTTCCTCTCATCCTCTTCCTCCTGTTTACGGCGTGCCTCTTCCTCCTCCTGCAGCCGCATCTGCTCCTCCTTCCTCCTGGCCTGCTGCTGCTCCTCCACCTCCAGGTCTGCCTCCTCCTCCCGGATCTCCTTCATCAGCTGCTCTTGCTGCAACAGACAGTCCTTGGATCAGTGTACTTATCTACTCATAAACCAGGGCTTGCCAAGCGCCCTACGACGGCAGTTTTCTTTGCAAGAGTTGTATACCTTAGTCATGTCAGGTTCCACAAACAAGAACTGATTCTTATATTAATCCAGGATTCAACCCGTTTATGATCCTTGGATTATCAGCACCATGCTTGTGGGTTTCCTCCCACAATAATGTGACACTCTGAAATAGCTAAAAACTCTTCACAGCAGCATTAAGATTTAAATCCAACTCACAAGAAGATGCCAGAAGGCTACATTCAACTATTACATAAAATGTCCTTGGCAAAGTCTAAAGTGTGTCTATTCACTTGGATACATCACTGTTCACATTGTAGAATTGATGCACAGAAAATGGTTGTATAGCCTTACCATGCTACTGTGTTGCAAAGTAATATTCACCTTTTTGTTGAAGTCTATATTCTCCCTGTACTTGTACAGCCAGTGAGCTAGGTACTCAATGGGGTCCCAGGGGCGCCTCTCAGCGATCTCGGCCAGTGCCAGTGTAAGAGCTGAGCCCAGGTTGTACGACACATACTTTCCATCTACCGTACTTGGTGCCGGGACATCCTTCTTCTCGTAGATGTCAGAAGAGATGTACATTCTGATTGGCTGACTCTTATCTGATTTCAGTGGTGTGGTGATTTGGTCTGGTTCCTCAGTTGCTAGTTCTGGGAGACATATGGAAGCAAATAACAAATAGATAGAAGTTGGAATTCTCTTCATATAACCATGATAACAATACAGTGAAACCTCATCCAGAACCAACTTGCACAAAGCATCTTACCACTACCATGACTACCACATACTGGGTATGTTAGGCTATAGGCATGATAGGAATTACAACAGTCTAAGCTCAAAGATCTGTGATAGCAAGTTAGCCCAATGGTCCATAGACGTATTATTTTGAGTTATTAGTATTTCAGGACAATTGGATTCTATGCAATAGTGCAGATAAGGAGTTTCAGGTAGAATTATGTAGGATAATCAGTGCACCGACAGCATGCCCTGTTGATAATGGAATACACACCTGGTGTCTGAGGTGCAGCTGAGGTGGACTGGTCAGCTGTTTGAGCAGACTGACCACTGTCTGTCTTAGGTGGTGTGCCCAGAACCAACAGCAGACGGCTCTTCACTGTCTCTGCCAACACTTCCTTGGGGTCCGTCTGGTAGTCTGCTGCAGTCTTTCCAGTCTTTTGGGATGGAACAATGCATTATTTCACATACACAAGGAAAGGTCAAAGGTGGTATATTGAGCTCCAAGGGCAGTAACATCATCAGGCTACAGGATTCATCAATAACAAGGAGACACAACTCTAGCACAGTGTTCAACTGAGATTGAAACAGATACTTTTTATCTAATATCTAGGGGGCTACTTCACATTCAAAGCAAAAGGTAATGATTTGAGAATCCATTTGGAACATGTTGAACCAAGAATGATTTGAATCTCAACTCATCATCAGTGAACTTACGAGATCCTTCAGAGTGTCGTCTGCTCCTGCCTCCTTCAGTGTTTGATAGAGATTCCCCGAGTCTGAGCATCCTGCTGCATAATGCAGAGCTGTTCTTCCCATCTGGAGGACACAACACACATGGAATCCAGGTCAATAATTTCGTAATGTTTTGGGCTGAGGTATAAGTGTCTATTGTCAATATATTTACTGACATATACTTACATTATCTGTAAGGTTGAGTGAGTCCTTAAACTCGGACACAATAAACTTTGCAATTTCATCTTGTTGGAATACAACAGCTTTCTGTAATGGCAGAAGTCCACTTTTGTCTGCTGCCTTCACCAACAACTTCCTGTCAAGCAAATTCTTGACATCACGTGTGCGGCCATCACATATTGCCTCATGGAGCCTGGTTACCTTGTCCTGTCAGAGAAACACCCTTGTTACGTTTAGGACATCTTGCATCGTATAAATTGATGGAAAAAAAGCAAAAATAAAGATCTCACAACTGTCATAAGTTAGGAGATGTTAATCAAGATCCCCTTCAAATCAAAGGAAGTTAGGGCATTGGGGTTGCCTTGTGATAAAAGTATTTGCTTATCAAGCCAAAGGCCCAGATTCAATTCCCGACATGGGTACCCCGCAATGATATTGCTGGAATATTTCGAAAAGGTGCGTTAAACTATGATGAAAAAAAGCTCACTCAAACAAAGATGATATGCTGGAGCAGTATGGAGTCCTGTATTTAAGGGATCATGTTTGATTAATGATCCTACTTATTATATACACCTATATATATATATTTATATTTTATTTACATATACAGAGAACACAAACTCTGTTAAGTCGAGAAATCATTCAAGACTATGTGAGGGGTTGGTATGTGCTTGTCTATGGAATGAATCTGACTGAAGAGTGTAGTCACCTGAACCTCCTCCAGTTTGTCAAAGAATTCCCCCATATCCTCAGACTTCTCCCGTGCCTCCTGAGGTGTGAGTGCCCATGTGTCCCAGCCGGACAGTACCAGAGCCTGCAGCGCCTCAGTGCTTCCCTTCTCCACCATCGTAGTCATCCACATTTTCACAAGTGAGTCGACATTCTCGGCAGTCTCTTTAGCTCTCAGAATGTCCACAAAACTCTGGCTGTTGACATCACGGACACTTGCGTCGACTTTTGCCACTAGTGCATTGAGAATCTCTCTGTTTGTGTTTCCCTCTGCAGCAATGTGGAGAAGGGTTTTGCCGTCGTTGGTACGGATGCTGATGTCTTCATCGGTGTTGAGGAGGTTAATGACGTCCTCGGTGTTGTCTGACTGTATGGCCTGGAACAGCTTGCTTTCCTCCATCATGAAATCTGCTCCAAGAAAAGTAACCATGTATTTAAGAAATTTACTATAGGATCATGATCGTGATTTTGATAGCAACAAGTGGTATAGGGACATTCTGGAACATGTTCAATAATTTTCACTTTTTGATGGCATTTTCCTATAGCCTACATCATAATTAATTTGACAAGAATGTTAAGGACATAACAAATACTTTTAGTCAGTGTCCTAGAATAAGAAGCGATCTGAGACCAAAGCCTCCCCATGGTGTGTCCATAGTGCATGTCAACTGTAAATAACACAGTTTTCTATCAACTAAGACGGTTTCAAAATAAGTGATATGGAGAGAATCAAGTTCCAGTTCAGAGATACATAGTTAACAACATGAATAAGTTAATATGCATCTATGTTCTGGTTGTATTAATTTGTATGCTAAAGTTGAGTAGACTGAATTTATATCTTATGATACATCATTAAACATGGAACAAGTATTGTTCAGGACATGATCATTGATTTCATTAAAGTCACACTGTTACATGACTACTAATATTTCTAATGATATAAAATCATTTTGCCTATAGCTTGGTTTCTTATTTCAAATAATATGACCTGTTATAAATACTGCAAGTCATGAAATATAACCCTGTAATCTCTGGAATACATAATGTGATTATAAGGATTATAGCCTGACAGTGAGAGTACTTGTGCTGTCCTGTCCTGCCTGCAGCCAGCCCGCGCCGTCATATAGCAACCCACCCAACCATACCCCACTGAAAGTGACAGGCACCATCCCCCATCTTAGTTCACCCCCTGAACCCCCTAAGCCACCCCTCGAGATGCTTACCTGGCTCTAGAGTACAGCTGATCCCGACCCTTGTAAAGAGAGTATTGTTTTTGCAGATACCTGTGTTTACCGATGTTACTCTCTGTAAAACTCCCCGTTTAAGCTGTACAAGCGAGAGGCCATTGAATTTACCGCAGTCGCTGTTACTATGGAGCTGTTTACCGTAGTGACAGGCAAGGCACAACAGGCTATTAATAGCAACTCCATGCGGTAGGCTGGACCAGGGGAAGTGATAGTGAGATACTGTTGTCTGTTGTTATCCTAATTCAGATCTCGTAAGCAATGGCTCCATGCATGATTGATCGTGTGTGAGTGTTGGAGCAGGGAGAGGTGTCGGAGTCAACAGGAGTATGATATATGCATTCAGCAGTGGTATCGCTAATCAGCCAGATCCATCAGTGTTAAATGACTCCCTGACACTGTAGATACATACCAGTTCTTCTCAATATGTAATAATATGAGAAGCAGTCATAAGCCCTGGCAACAGATTGTAACCATGATTTTGTGATAATAATATCAATTCTCACGCAGTTCTTTATTTTTACATTGAAGTCTAAAGATACATCTTTCAGCCATGAATCAGATATTTTTGTGTAGGAATATTACAGATGCTAATCTCCTATTAGTGTACTGTTAGACCTACACAACACATGCATTCCCTGCTATTTCAGAACCTCCTCCAGAAACCACTTCATGTACTCTTGAACATATTAATTTAATCAGGACATTTCCTTGGGACCAGTACTGTTCGAAGTAATGTTGTGTTACTTTGTAAGACTTGGCAGTTAACTATTGTTTGTTCTCAAGCCTCAGCAAGTACACTGAGAATAAAGAACATATTCTTGTTTATCTTCTTCAAAACGATACGATTCTGACCAATTCTGATACAATCCCCCCTCCCCCCCTACAAATAGAATTATTTTTTTCTTTAAAGCCTATCAACGAATGAATACAGTACTGTCAAGTTTGTAAAGTCAGTTGAAGCATGATAAGCCAGCCTTCAGTCAAACTGACCTGTTGTTGCACTATCGGTACAGCAAGCTTCAGCAAGCCCCACCCCCTGGGGCCAACAGGGGACAACACATGGAGCTACCTGAACTATAGACTTACCAGGAATCTCAAATGTCCTGGGATCTGTAGTTGTTGAGACAATCCCGATAATTTGATAAAGTAAACAGTATACAAGTATGTTCGATTGTCTTGATTGTGCCCAAACAAGCTGGCAGCCTATAGTAGATTTGACAGGTCTATTTGATAAGAGTCAGGCGCACCCGGGGGGGGGGGGGGGGGGGGGGGACTCGGACTCCATTGTTCCCCAGGGACTGAGTCGGTCGGGGTAACATGTCACCATTACCTCTGCATTCGTCTTATGTCAAGTGTTGTTCAGAGATATCTAGCTACAGTAGTAAAGTTACATTCTAGTTACACCTGATTGGGGGAGGACTATAGGGTGGTGTATGGAGGGAAGAAGGATTTTATGAGCAGTGTGTGAGTGTGAAGTACACAATTTGTTTGGCACTATTAAATAATACCCAGTGTTCCCATTTACCCGTAACTACCAGTTTTTAACCGGTGTAATATTAGGCTTGGACCAGTAATTCATGTGACTGCCACTCCCTGTGGACCGGCAAATAAAGTAACTTTTACATATTTGTTGTTGAACAAAAAAAATGACAATATTCAAATAAGTATATACTTTTTAACAAAGTCAGCTTGTCAGTTACCATCAGGGTTTCCCATTGACCATTTTCTGTGCAAGGAAATAACATTTAGCTTTTGTTTGAGGTTAACTAAATATTTGAAGTGACATAGTCCCGAAATATTTTGTAAAAAAACAGTTAATTGTGACTGAACTTTGTCTGAATAACAGGTAGATCTAACTAAGTTACTTCAGAGATGATGTCATTGCAATCGAACATGATGTTGAAAGAATTAAAACCAGGTAATTTTCATATGTTTATTTATTTGTTGAAAGTTGGGACTGACAAAAATTAGTGGGGACTGGTATTTTTTAAGTTGCCAGTCCACCAGGACTGTCAGTTTCAAACGCCAGAGGGAACACTGATTGGGAGAAGAAAATACTAATACTAAACAAAATATTTACAGCTATATCTGCAAACTTTGGTGAGGTCAAAAATAGTCCACATGAAATGTCACTTATTCGTCAAATACATGTAGGACATAATTTTACTTAATACCAATGTCATTAGACTTTATTTTTTTTGTGGCAATTTATTTTTAAAACATATGCTTATGTCAGTGTGTGACTTTAATCAATAGGCAGCCAATTGAAAGTTAGTCTATATTTATTTGAATGAAGAAAAAAATGACCAAATTCTATAATACCAGTTGTATTCTAACACATGGCACTAATAGTTGAAATAAGGCTAACTCTTGTGCATAATAACAGTCTTTGATTGTTTCTTTCTTTCTTTCTTTCACCTCGCACTCAGCAATATTGCCACTATATGACAGCAGTCTGTAAATAAATGGGTCTGGACCAGACAATTCAGTGATCGATATCATGAGCATCAATCTACGCAATAGGGATACGATAACATGCATCAACCAAGTCAGTGAGCCTTGCCACCCGATCCGGTTAATCACATTGTATGACAAGCATGGGTTGCTGAAGACCTATTCTGGTCCGGATGTTCATGTGTCCATAATAACAATGCTATATGCTATTACACCTCACATTGTACATCTTACCGAGGCAAGGGAGTTAACTGACTTTAAAAGTCCAGTTTCCACCCTTGCCGAACTAGGCTGGAATAACTGGGCTTGATCGAAGCGCCACCAGTGGCTATTACAAGTTATGTCCCTTTTTAAGCCTCTCTTATGGACCAATCAGATTCCACCTCTTGTATCACTTGCATTTGCTTCACACAAAATGATGGCGCCGAGTCAGGACGATCTGATTGATAATCAAGATCTATATTGTGATAAAACGGGTCTTACATCACGAAATGCATCGAATCACGTGAGCACTTTGATTAAAAACACGAAACGATTTGGAAGAAATCTGATGACAACGAGTTGGCGGTGCAAATGCTTTGCAAATCCTGCAATGGACCGAAATCTGCACGACAGTTTACGAACCGGATTTCGATTTCGGTGCACGATTTTGATTGGACTATGCATAGACTCGTAAGTCCAGTCAAAATGTAACTCCATAATACCAGCCATGAGCATCGATCCACGCATTTGGGATCGATGACATGCATCTGCCAAGTCAGCGAGCCTGTCCACCCGATCCCTTTTGAAGCCTACCTACCTCTGTGACTGCGATGGTGGGGGAATGGAGACTTGTTCTATGATCCACCTACCTCTGTGGTGGAAGGTCCACAACAGTGACTGCGATGGTGGGGGAATGGAGACTTGTTCTATGATCCACCTACCTCTGTGATGGAAGGTCCACGACAGTGACTGCGATGGTGGGGGAATGGAGACTTGTTCTATAATCCACCTACCTCTGTGATGGAAGGTCCACGACAGTGACTGCGATAGTGGGGGAATGGAGACTTGTTCTATAATCCACCTACCTCTGTGATGGAAGGTTCACAACAGTGACTGCGATAGTGGGGGAATGGAGACTTGTTCTATAATCCACCTACCTCTGTGATGGAAGGTCCACGACAGTGACTGCGATGGTGGGGGAATGGAGACTTGTTCTATAATCAACCTACCTCTGTGATGGAAGGTTCACAACAGTGACTGCGATGGTGGGGGAATGGAGACTTGTTCTATAATCCACCTACCTCTGTGATGGAAGGTCCACAACAGTGACTGCGATGGTGGGGGAATGGAGACTTGTTCTATAATCAACCTACCTCTGTGATGGAAGGTTCACAACAGTGACTGCGATGGTGGGGGAATGGAGACTTGTTCTATAATCCACCTACCTCTGTGATGGAAGGTCCACAACAGTGACTGCGATGGTGGGGGAATGGAGACTTGTTCTATGATCCACCTACCTCTGTGATGGAAGGTCCACAACAGTGACTGCGATGGTGGGGGAATGGAGACTTGTTCTATAATCCACCTACCTCTGTGATGGAAGGTCCACGACAGTGTCTGTGATGGTAGGGGAATGGAGACTTGTTCTATGATCCACCTACCTCTGTGATGGAAGGTCCACAACAGTGACTGCGATGGTGGGGGAATGGAGACTTGTTCTATAATCCACCTACCTCTGTGATGGAAGGTCCACGACAGTGTCTGTGATGGTAGGGGAATGGAGACTTGTTCTATGATCCACCTACCTCTGTGATGGAAGGTCCACGACAGTGACTGCGATGGTGGGGGTATGGAGACCAGCTTGAGGATGTTTTCGCGGATGTTTTCTATGTTGATGAGATGGGGCATCTGATGGTATTCCACAGCTGTAAAACCCCACTGAAAAGTACACAGTTTGACATGTCAGTTAAATTGATTTGAAAAAGTTGGACTTCAAGACCTTGTATCTTGTTGCCAATAGTATAACAAATACCCTGAAGGAGTTGATGAGACCTCTTTGTGTTTGTACTATGTTGGAGCATGTAATGATCAGAGCAGGTCAGACCTCTTCACAGAATAATTATCCCCCGCCCCAACGAGGTTGGCGGGGGATATAAAAATGGGTTCAGAAATGGGTTGTGTTCGTGTGTGTGTGTGTGTGTGTGTGTGTGCGTCCCAAAGTCGTTTCCGGAGCATAACTCAGAAACCGTTAAATAATTTCTTACAAAACTTTGCATGTTTACCAGACACATACTGAACTGGTGCCTTTTGCTATTTAGGAGTTATATAATTTTTTATTTTTTACGTTTCCATGGCAACAAGTTGGACTTAGGTTCTATAAGAGTGGTGTTCGTTTCCGGAGTGTAACTCAAAAACCATTAAATTCTTTCTTACAAAACTTTGCATGTCTACAAGGCACATACTGAACTGGTGCCTTTTGCTATTTAGGAGTTTTATAAATTTGTATTTTTTACGTTTCCATGGCAACAAGGTTGGACTTAGGTTCTATAAGGGTGCTGTTCGTTACCGGAGCGTAACTCAAAAACCGTTAAATAATTTCTTACAAAACTTTGCATGTTTACCAGACACATACTGAACTGGTGCCTTTTGCTATTTAGGAGTTAAATTTTTAAGTTTTTACGATTCCATGGCAACAAGTTGGAATTAGGTTCTATAGGGTAGAGTTTGTTTCTGGAGTATAACTCAAAACCCATTCAATACTTTCCAACAAAAACTTTGCATGTTTACCAGGCACATACTGAACTGGTGCCTTTTGAAATATAGCACTTTTAGAAATTTTTATTGTTTATGTTTGCATGACAACGAGTTGGATTTAAGTTTTAATATAGGATTGGTTTACTTAAGGAGTATAACAAATAAACTGTTAAATATTTCCTTGCCAAACATTGCATGTCTATATATAAAGCGCATACTGAACTAGTGCCATTTGATATTAAGGAGTTTTAGAAATGTTTATTTTAGAATTTCCATTGCAGCTATTTTGACATGGGCTAAGAGAAATGTTGGGTCAGTTACCTGGTTTGGGACCATAACGTGTTAAAATGGGCGGGGGATATAGATGACTTTGTCAACTATACGCTTGTTTACTTAGGAAGGCATGAAACATGCAGGATTCCTAGGTATGGTATGTTACATTGTGGCCTCACCAGATCAGGGATGGTGGGCTCGGCGCCCAGGTCTTGTAGTGTTGTGTACATCTGACCATTGTCATCTACACATGCGGCGTAGTGCAAGGCTGTGCGCTGCATCTGGAATTAAAGAGGATGGTACTTCTTTTTTCTTGAAAAATTGATGATGTATGAAAGTTGGTGGCCATATGTGTCAGACTAGAGATATGAAAGTTGAATAATTTAAAATTTGATCATGTTTTTGAATACTAACACGTGCTGCCAATTCCATAATCGGTAACTAACGCGATTTGGTTGTCAGACTGTCTGACGTGTCGATGAATGTCATCATATCCCAATTGTGTAGATCAATGCTCATTATCTCAATCACTGGATTGTCTAGTCCAGACACAATTATTTACAGACCGCCATCATATAGCTGGAATATTGCTGAGTATGGTGTTAAACAACAAACAAACAAACAGAAGATCATGAGTAGTTAGTTTTTAGACTATTTGTCAAGTCAAACATTTTATCATAGATAACAGTTCTTTTCTGAATAATGGTTTAGAATCGTTAAGATTTTGTTTCCTAGGTTCTAGCTTTGGCAGCAGTGGTATATACTAGAAAGCATGTTAAGGTAATAAGGTAATATCATCACATATCTCATACATCAAATGATGAATTTACATAATCATATGTGGATGAGATCAAATACAGGATCACATATATTAGATTATAGATCAACTTACGTGATCACATATATGGATGAGACAAACTGTTGTTAATACAGATGTGAATGAGATTAACTTACGTGATCACATATATGGATGAGACAAACTGTTGTTACTACAGATGTGAATGAGATTAACTTACGTGATCACATATATGGATGAGACAAACTGTTGTTACTACAGATTTGAATGAGATTAACTTACGTGATCACATATATGGATGAGACAAACTGTTGTTACTACAGATTTGAATGAGATTAACTTACATAATCACATATATGGATGAGACAAACTGTTGTTACTACAGATGTGAATGTGATTAACTTACGTGATCACATATATGGATGAGACAAACTGTTGTTACTACAGATGTGAATGAGATTAACTTACGTGATCACATATATGGATGAGACAAACTGTTGTTACTACAGATGTGAATGAGATTAACTTACATGATCACATATATGGATGAGACAAACTGTTGTTACTACAGATGTGAATGAGATTAACTTACGTGATCACATATATGGATGAGACAAACTGTTGTTACTACAGATGTGAATGAGATTAACTTACGTGATCACATATGTCTATGGCATGAATAAAGGTGTTGAGGAGGAGAGTGACAGCTCTACTGCAGCGGAAGATGACAGCTTTGTGAAGCGGTGGAAGACCTGTCTGGTCACATGACTCCAGGAGCTGCACGTTTGTTATTTCTGGTTTTTCATTGGTAAAATGTTGATGAATGCGACCGATGTCCGAAACTATCACAGATCTGTGAAATGCTGCAATTGTATCCTGAAGACATCAAAGTTACTGTTACAACAAGAGGACATTTGTATGTTTCAGAGTCATAAGTAGTTTACTGTATTCCAGATATGTCATGGCTTGTCAGCTTAATGTTGGTCTTAGACATTACGATATTGGTAAAACCATGAGGTGGTCATGGTGCTGACAAACCCTGAAACAGTATGAGTTTGAACTGGCATTTGAACCCTTGATCCTAGGTTTCTGGCATGACTAAGGTATGCAACTCTGCACACAAATAGTGGCACCCGAGGCCAACCGTGTCTCCTTCAAATTGTGTTGATAATTTACCTGATGGTGATCGAAAGAAAACATATTTTACCTGTATATCATTAACAGCATACAGAAAGTCTTTTGATTCCTGTGGCAATTCTGAAGTAAATGTTGTGTCAAGCATTTCATGCGGCCAAGCACACCAACCATTGACTGCTAATGTCCGCACCAGAGTTATCTCCCCTGAGATGAGTGGCCGCAGGATATATTTTTGTATCTCCCTGATGATGTCATGAGGAGCAGATGAGACAACAGCCAGATCCAGAGCAGTAAGCCCATCAGCGTCACGCACTGTGATGTCTATATGACCTAGCAACAGCCTGATGATGACTGCATGGGAGCTGTGCGCAACAGCCAGATGGAGATAACTCCATCCTTCCAGACTCCTCAGCTGGGTGTTGATATTACTCTGAAGTAAATGTGTAACCTCCTTTTGATCACTCATGATGATAGCTTCATACAGATCAGTGTCTTCAAACACGTCACTGTTCTGATGCTTCCGACTGGACTTGAAGAGGGACTGGATTGGGATTATGTTGACAAGTGTGCGCCATTTGGCCATGAGATCTCGGTTCCGTGATGGCTTCGTTGTGGATGAAGGTGAACAAGCTGGGCTGCTGTTGCGGCGGACCATGGGTGAACGCACGACGCGGACAGAGTCGGGCAGGGAGTTGGTGTCCTTGGCAGCCATCATTACTGAGAGGCTGAAGCAGTTGTTGATCCTCTGACGTTTCTGGAGAACTCGCACATGTCTCTGTACATCCTGGATCTTCAAGACATCCATGTTGTCTTTGTAGAACTGTGGGGACAGGTCGTGCTGTAAAGATGTGTTTGGAAGCTGTTATACATACCAGGGGTATTCTGCTGCAAAGTATGCAACAGCAACTCGAGTAAAACTCCTGGAACCTGTCATGTCACTGGCACGGAACAAGCAATTTATTCACTGATAACGCAAGTTTTTGTAGTGCAAGCTACTTACCTCTCAATAACAGTTTAATACATATCCTTTTACATCTATTAACAGGCTGTAGATGTGATGTTAGCATGTTTCCAGTCATAACAATGGGTATTACTTGACAATGGCTCTCATTTTGATTAACTAGACAATAGACACATTGAAAATGGTCAAATAAGGGGGATAGGGAAACCCAAAGAAATCTAAATACTGACAATATGTATGTTGTCCATCTCGTGTCAATATCATATCACTTATCAATCATTAATTTCTTGTTGGATTGCAATGTATATTGCATAATATATTATGAATAGATCTTATTACTTGGTCAGTTCTCATCAGCTCTCTGGGGAGTACACAACCCAAGCTAATGTTAACAGTCGCATTAGCGTCTCCTCCTACCTGGTACCATTTCACTGCAGGGTGAACAGAGGCATATTTCGAACAAAGCCACATGCCTAAAGAGACCACATGTATGCCACCTCCAGTAACCATGCTGCCATTTCATCTTACCCCCATTCAACATCTCAGCCTGTAATGACAGTGGAAGTATGCTATGGGAGATGACCTGCACACATAGGAATGGATAGACTTGGAGGGCTTTCATGGGTATCTGGAGCACCTGCTCACAATGGCCATGAAACAAGGATCAGGTGGCCATGTAAAATAACCAATTAAGAGTTCTTGAAGATGGGAATGGGAGATTTATGTTTATTGCAACTGGCCAAAAAGCTTCTGGAATGAAATGTTGTCCATCAGTGTTGGTTCCGACATTAACGTCCAAAGCCTTGTCAAAGTTTGAACTGCTTCTTGGATGGAGCTGAAACGTTTGCAGGTGTTAAAGACCATAGCAAAAGGCATATGTATCTGTTCTGTAAAAAAAATATCTCAAAACCTAGATACATATTTGGCTGAAAATTTATTAGTGAGTTGAACACATGTGGTCTTGAACATGCATATTTATGAGTAAGATGAGTGATACATGTGGTGGTAGAGCCGTGCAGCCCACTGTCACCAGTACTCACAAGATCAGGGACCTGGTCATCTGCCCCAGCCTCACGCAGCACGGAGTACAGGTAGCCATCGGGAATACAGGCTGCATAGTGAAGGGCAGTTCGGCCCGTCTGGAATACACACAATGTATTCATATTATTTGTGTGTGCATAGTTATGTAATGTTACATAGAGCTAAAGTTGGTCAGTACATGATCAGTGACAGTGTGGTGGTGGGGACATACATGATCAGTGACAGTGTGGTGGTGGGTACATACATGATCAGTGACAGTGTGGTGGTGGGTACATACATGATTAGTGACAGTGTGGTGGGTACATACATGATCAGTGACAGTGTGGTGGGTACATACATGATTAGTGTCAGTGTGGTGGTGGGTACATTCATGATCAGTGACAGTGTGGTGGGTACATACATGATCAGTGACAGTGTGGTGGTGGGTACATACATGATCAGTGACAGTGTCGTGGTGGGTACATTCATGATCAGTGACAGTGTGGTGGTGGGTACATACATGATCAGTGACAGTGTCGTGGTGGGTACATACATGATCAGTGACAGTGTGGTGGTGGGTACATACATGATCAGTGACAGTGTGGTGGTGGGTACATTCATGATCAGTGACAGTGTCGTGGTGGGTACATACATGATCAGTGACAGTGTGGTGGTGGGTACATACATGATCAGTGACAGTGTGGTGGGAACATACATGATCAGTGACAGTGTGGTGGTGGGTACATACATGATCAGTGACAGTGGGGGGTGGGAACATACATGATTAGTGACAGTGTGGTGGGTACATGCATGATCAGTGACAGTGTGGTGGTGGGTACATTCATGATCCATGACAGTGTGGTGGGTACATACATGATCAGTGACAGTGTGGTGGTGGGTACATTCATGATCAGTGACAGTGTGGTGGTGGGTACATACATGATCAGTGACAGTGTGGTGGTGGGTACATTCATGATCCGTGACAGTGTGGTGGGTACATACATGATCAGTGACAGTGTGGTGGTGGGTACATTCATGATCAGTGACAGTGTGGTGGGTACATACATGATCAGTGACGGTGTGGTGGGTACATACATGATCAGTGACAGTGTGGTGGGTACATACATGATCAGTGACAGTGTGGTGGGTACATACATGATCAGTGACAGTGTGGTGGGGACATACATGATCTGTGACAGTGTGGTGGTGGGTACATACATGATTAGTGACAGTGTGGTGGGTACATACATGATTAGTGACAGTGTGGTGGGGACATACATGATCCGTGACAGTGTGGTGGTGGGTACATACATGATCAGTGACAGTGTGGTGGTGGGTACATACATGATCAGTGACAGTGTGGTGGTGGGTACATACATGATCAGTGACAGTGTGGTGGTGGGTACATACATGATCAGTGACAGTGTGGTGGTGGGTACATACATGATCAGTGACAGTGTCGTGGTGGGTACATACATGATCAGTGACAGTGTCTGGGTGGGTACAAACATGATCAGTGACAGTGTGGTGGGTACATACATGATCAGTGACAGTGTGGTGGTGGGTACATACATGATCAGTGACAGTGTGGTGGTGGGTACATACATGATCAGTGAGAGTGTGGTGGTGGGTACATACATGATCAGTGACAGTGTGGTGGTGGGTACATACATGATCAGTGACAGTGTGGTGGTGGGTACATACATGATCAGTGACAGTGTCGTGGTGGGTACATACATGATCAGTGACAGTGTGGTGGTGGGTACATACATGATCAGTGACAGTGTGGTGGTGGGTACATACATGATCAGTGACAGTGTCGTGGTGGGTACATACATGATCAGTGACAGTGTCTGGGTGGGTACAAACATGATCAGTGACAGTGTGGTGGGGACATACATGATTAGTGACAGTGTGGTGGGTACAAACATGATCAGTGACAGTGTGGTGGGTACATACATGATCCGTGACAGTGTGGTGGGTACATTCATGATCCGTGACAGTGTGGTGGGTACATACATGATCAGTGACAGTGTGGTGGGGACATACATGATCAGTGACAGTGTGGTGGGGACATACATGATCAGTGACAGTGTGGTGGTGGGTACATACATGATCAGTGACAGTGTGGTGGGGACATACATGATTAGTGACAGTGTGGTGGTGGGTACATACATGATCAGTGACAGTGTGGTGGTGGGTACATACATGATCAGTGACAGTGTGGTGGGGACATACATGATCAGTGACAGTGTGGTGGGGACATACACGATCAGTGACAGTGTGGTGGGTACATACATGATCAGTGACAGTGTGGTGGTGGGTACATTCATGATCAGTGACAGTGTGGTGGGTACATACATGATCAGTGACAGTGTCGTGGTGGGTACATTCATGATCAGTGACAGTGTGGTGGGTACATACATGATCAGTGACAGTGTGGTGGGGACATACATGATCAGTGACAGTGTGGTGGGTACATACATGATCAGTGACAGTGTGGTGGGTACATACATGATTAGTGACAGTGTGGTGGGTACATACATGATCAGTGACAGTGTGGTGGGGACATACATGATCCGTGACAGTGTGGTGGGTACATACATGATCAGTGACAGTGTGGTGGGTACATACATGATTAGTGACAGTGTGGTGGTGGGTACATACATGATCAGTGACAGTGTCGTGGTGGGTACATTCATGATCAGTGACAGTGTGGTGGGGACATACATGATCCGTGACAGTGTGGTGGGTACATACATGATCCGTGACAGTGTGGTGGGTACATACATGATTAGTGACAGTGTAGTGGTGGGTACATACATGATCAGTGACAGTGTGGTGGTGGGTACATACATGATCCGTGACAGTGTGGTGGTGGGTACATACATGATTAGTGTCAGTGTGGTGGTGGGTACATACATGATTAGTGACAGTGTGGTGGTGGGGACATACATGATCCGTGACAGTGTGGTGGTGGGTACATACATGATCAGTGACAGTGTGGTGGGGACATACATGATCAGTGACAGTGTGGTGGGTACATACATGATCAGTGACAGTGTGGTGGGGACATACATGATCAGTGACAGTGTGGTGGTGGGTACATACATGATCCGTGACAGTGTGGTGGGTACATACATGATCAGTGACAGTGTCGTGGTGGGTACAAACATGATCAGTGACAGTGTGGTGGGTACATACATGATCAGTGACAGTGTGGTGGGGACATACATGATCAGTGACAGTGTGGTGGGGACATACATGATCTGTGACAGTGTGGTGGTGGGTACATACATGATTAGTGACAGTGTGGTGGGTACATACATGATTAGTGACAGTGTGGTGGGGACATACATGATCCGTGACAGTGTGGTGGTGGGTACATACATGATCAGTGACAGTGTGGTGGTGGGTACATACATGATCAGTGAGAGTGTGGTGGTGGGTACATACATGATCAGTGACAGTGTGGTGGTGGGTACATACATGATCAGTGACAGTGTGGTGGTGGGTACATACATGATCAGTGACAGTGTGGTGGTGGGTACATACATGATCAGTGACAGTGTCGTGGTGGGTACATACATGATCAGTGACAGTGTCTGGGTGGGTACAAACATGATCAGTGACAGTGTGGTGGGTACATACATGATCAGTGACAGTGTGGTGGTGGGTACATACATGATCAGTGACAGTGTGGTGGTGGGTACATACATGATCAGTGAGAGTGTGGTGGTGGGTACATACATGATCAATGCAGTGTGGTGGTGGGTACATACATGATCAGTGACAGTGTGGTGGTGGGTACATACATGATCAGTGACAGTGTCGTGGTGGGTACATACATGATCAGTGACAGTGTCTGGGTGGGTACAAACATGATCAGTGACAGTGTGGTGGGGACATACATGATTAGTGACAGTGTGGTGGGTACATACATGATCCGTGACAGTGTGGTGGTGGGTACATATATGATCCGTGACAGTGTGGTGGTGGGTACATACATGATCCGTGACAGTGTGGTGGTTGGTACATACGTGATCAGTGACTGTGTGGTGGTGGGTACATACATGATCAGTGACAGTGTCGTGGTGGGTACATACGTGATCAGTGACAGTGTGGTGGTGGGTACATACGTGATCAGTGACAGTGTGGTGGTTGGTACATACGTGATCAGTGACTGTGTGGTGGTGGGTACATACATGATCCGTGACAGTGTGGTGGTGGGTACATATATGATCCGTGACAGTGTGGTGGTGGGTACATACGTGATCAGTGACTGTCAGTGTGGTTGGGTATTCCTCCACAAGGTACTCCACAATGACGTTTCTCTGGAAGATGACGGCCTTCTGTAGTGGTGGCTGCCCGGTCCGGTCGCAGGCTGCAGCCAGCTGGTGATGGGTGAGGACATGCTGCAGGTCCTTCAGACTGTTCCGCTGGATGCTGTGGTGGACCCTGTCCACCTTCACCTGGACAGACAGATACATGCAGATCCTATCACGAGGTCAAACATTCAAAGAGTAGTATTCTAAAACAGTAAAACTGATAATTATTAATCATAAGAATTTATTTGAGCATGTGTTACATGTGTCCTCAGCAGGGATTTAATGATTTTACATCCTCAAGGTCAAGGTTGTACGTAAATGAAGGTCAAGGTTATACGTAAATGCCCAACCTATTAAATCCTATTTATTTAGCTAGTTTCTCATCTCCAATTTCAAAGATGTGATTTGTGACCCTCAAAAGGACACTCAGGAATTTTCAGAGAATGAACAGTGACAGTAGTGACATTATAATAAAATCAGTCTGTTTACAATGGTATTTAAGGGGCACTAACTGGCCTGTCCAGCAAGATATTGTGAGGAATTATAAAATGTTGTACCCACCATAAAATCAGGCAGCTGCTTGAAGAACTTTGCTATGTCCAGCTTGACCTCCTGAATGCGGTCCACATCCACTGGCCAGGCATCCCACCCCTGCAGGAGCAGGTGCTCCAGGGGGCGCACATCTTTACCCAGCGCCAGGAAACCAACATGGCGCAGGATCATTTCCTGGATGTGTGTCTTCTCGTATAGACAGGCCATGTCCAGAGCTGTGTCAGCATTTTCATCCCGGAAGCTGATGTCTATGTGCCCCAGGAGTTGTTTTATCAGATCCGACTGAGCTCCTTGGCCCACAGCAGCGTGCAGGTAGGACTGACCATCTCGCCCGCGGAGGTTCACATTCTGCTCCCGGAGAAGTTTCTTCAGAACTTGCAGGTCATTGTCAAGTAGCGCCTGGTATATGTCAGTGTCTTCTATGTCCATGACAGTAGCAGTCTATCTGATACCCATGGGAACAAGATCTGACTGACAATATGATCTCAGTCTTGTTGGTTTTGTCTATTTTCCAGCTCTCTCCAGACTTGAGAGCATTTGTTTATTTAGTTAGTAGTTGTATGTGTACAGTGTACAGGATAGCACTGTCTATGCTTAAATGTTATCCTTGATCCTCAGCCTTGCCTCTAGAGGATTAGCCTCTTGCCTGTAAAGAAGACAAGAGAACAGAATGTTTAGAGGCCCGTGAAGATCCAGGTTAAAATAGGTCTTCAGCAACCCATGATTTTTGTAATAGGTGAATAACGGGATCTGGTGGTCAGGCTTGCTGACCTGGTTGATACATGTCATTGTATCCCAATTGTGTAAATTGATGCTCATTACATCAATCACTAGATTGTCTGGTCCCAACTCAATTATTTACAGACCGCCATCATATAGCTGAAATATTGCTGAGTGCAGCGTTTATAAACAACAAACAAGCTAACAGAAGGTTCAGAAAACATCTGTTAGCCTGGATTTTCATGAAGTTGGCAGTAGGTGAAGTAGGTGGCGCACATAGTAGAGTAGAATGAACAGCATTGTATCATGTTGTAGTTAGAAGTTGGCACCAACAATCAGCGTTAAGCAGGGAGTAAACCTGACATCTGACATATACAATTTCAGTCTCATGTGGACTTAACACAGGGATTTTGTGAATAGTGAAGTCCTGAAAAAAACAGGACTAAAGAGATGTTCTTTATGCAACACAGTAGCACGATCACAGGACTGAACGTGGCCTCTGTGTGATGAGACTTCCTCACTGACCCTAGGTTGTATCAGGTACAGTTATTACTCAAGAGACATTGTCACAAGATGCAGGATACATTCTTATGTTACTCAGATCCTTGGATGTCAAGCACATGCCCTGCAAATCAGTGATGACTATATCTGTACAGGTTTTTACACAAAGCAGAAATGTACATCCAGTACGCACAAATGTATAGAATGAACGCAGAACAAGATTTCTATTGTGTCCCAAAGGATGCACAATAATATTAATTGTACCAAATTCTTGACACAGAATAGAATGTTCCTGTAATTAAAGTAATTATTTAGTCTTACAGTACACCATTTCAATTTTTTACGGTACTTTCATAATTTACAGGACCCTGTAACGCCCCTTGAAATAAGTAATTAGGGGTCCAGTATACATATATCTTTAATTACTCACCAAATTAACATTTATCAATAATCCTTTGCTTATTATTACTTATTAATGATGGCAGTTTATTGAAAGCAGTTTCCTGGAAAGAACCCTCACAGATGTTACTCCCTCTCACAGCTGATTGTTGCCACATGGATTTGAACTTTAAGATGAATGTACTCATGTTCACTTCCAGGTAAATGGTGAAGTTGATCCATGGAAGCATTCCTTACTCTAGATAAGATGAATTGTCTGTGAATAGCTGAATGTAATCATTAAAAGCAGACGAGGCATGGCCAATTAGCATGGTTGATTCAAACTATTCATTACCCTCTTTGTCTGTTTCTTAACATTGTGTGATGTACCTCGTGTGAGCCCGATTACCCTAATCACACACAGACAGTGTCTCAGTGAGACATAAATCACTACCAACAAGCTTGAGGTGGAGCCGTTTGTGGGCTCCAAAGTGTGGAGCATCGCCCCCTTTTCGTGTATGTGAGGAGTATATAGCATATCTGGGCTGTGAAATCTGCAATTACCATTCTAGCCGTCACCCACAGCCCAGCCCAGCCCCTCAATGTGATCACAACACAGACTGGCGTGTCGAGGACCCCGTACAACTTGCGTAGTTACCAGGTACCTGTGAAACTGTTGTCCCTGTTGCTGTCCTGGGGGGATGGACCGGACAGCACACACTGTGAAGAGGAATCCGAACTCACTGACAGCGATATAAATCTGGTATTGATCTGCAACTAAGTGACGCCCTGTCAATCCCGTCATGACAGTGTTAAGCAGATCAGAGTTCGAACAACAAGTAATTAATTACCTGCTGGTTGTGCTGAATACCTTATCCGATTATTGGGATTAATTCCAACTGGGAAAGATTATGATGCAACTGCTTCCAGGCATATGCAGTATGCTGAGTTATCAGTGCTGTGGCAGGAGTCAATGCACTTTATCAGTGTCCTAACACCTGCATGACATTGCTATCATTAAACTGTCATTGCTGCCTCCTCAGGGGGATCATCTTCCTTCTGACTCAGCAATTAGACCTACACAGTGTACTGTTATTTAAGGAAGAGCTCCATAGACACAGAGTAGATCTCAATCAGGAAACTTGATGAGAATTCATTCAGTGTGTCAACTGGGTTAGCAATGACTTGAAAAAGCATTCAATTGACATGATTAAGGTCCTTTTTTTAAAAGGTCTTGAAAATGATTAATGTGGATTGAAAAAGCCTTGAAGTTTCTTAGCCAGACCCTATCTCAGGGAAATTATTTAAAAAATTAATACATCTTTCCATTCTTCAAAGAAGGATCGCTGAACCTTTAAGGAAAGCATTGAAGTTTGATACTGAGATTCTATATGAACCCTTGTTAGATATCAAACAAATTTTCTTGGGGATGTACTGGTTATAACATAACAATTAAAAAATACTGCTCTTTAGGCTGTTTGTTTGGAATACATGATAAATAATCGGATCGTCAACATGTTCACTGTCAGACAGATGACAACAGTTGTTGGATATGTTTGCTTTACTGCCTTAGCAAGATATAATAAGTCAAAAAGGTAGACAATTATACCTGTTCCTATATTTGGGGTGTGCAAAAACTGGTATACCAGTATATTGCAACACGGCTGTGTATCGTTATTTTCCAATACAGTTACAGAAGAATTACTATATAATCACATAAATTCTATCTACTATTTTGAGGTATTGCTCTACCCACTAGACCAAGGAGGTGGTTTGACACAGAGGAAATACGTAGCCCATGCAGTCGCAGTGAGGGACAGCTGCCTGCCACACTTTACACATGGGCACACTGTACATTCAAACTTCACATCACACCATGATGAAAACATACATCCTACATAGGTCATGTCATTATTGTACATTGGATATCAATTTGTAAGGAGAAAATTGAAGTTGTGTTGAAACCCAGTAATACAGATAATAGATAAGTACCATACAAAAGAAAAACTGTACATTTAGCATGTTTAGTGGAAAACAATGTTTGTGCTTAAAAATTTGTTGTGGTCTAAAACAATCAACTCACCGTGATGGTTCAGTCACATAGTAATCACTGATACTTTTTCCCATGATGCTGTCCTCATGTGTGTTGTCATAGAAACATGACAACAAGCTTCTCCTGACCTCACATAAATACTGAACATCACATGCAAGTTAATTATTGAACATGTCTAAACTTTGCTGTCATGGTTGACTCTCAGTTCCCTCAGCAAACCTGCTTTCTCTCTGTGTCAGTGAAGCGTTAGTGATGTTTTTTTCTTATGTGATCAGTTGTTCACACTGCTGAATGAAACAGATTTTGACATTCAATCAGTTAAAACTGCCATGTTAACGTGAATTATTTACTATGCGTTGTCTCACGCTTGAGTTCACCTGAACAAAGGTTTTCATGCTGAAGTACCTCCACTGTCAACTTGAAGTTATACCATTTCTTGCATTGAAGACAGTTAGCACTTTATCGGGGCTATTTAATTGTTTTGACATGTATTTGTATTGCTGGTGTTTCCTAGATACTATTCTATGGCCTTGAATGAGACTATTCTGGTAGATGTCACATCTAGGGGTAGACCAGCTCTGTCTGTATGTTGTCAACCTAGCCAACAAAGCCAATAACAACGTTTGGTGCTGTGTTTACTGTATCAATAAAGTGTTGATTTCCCCACATTGACAGGAAGTCCTGCGAAGGCACAGTAGGTTGACCTAACCTCGCTACATATCAAGCTAATTTCTGGGATGAACTTAAGTAAATTAGGAATCATTCATCTTCGTAAATATTTTGTTCTCACCAAATCTTCTAATATCATATAATAAAATATGATTAATAAAAGGTGACATATTTATCATTCAAACTTCACATCACACCATGATGAAAACATACATCCTACATAGGTCATGTCATTATTGTACATTGGATATCAATTTGTAAGGAGAAAATTGAAGTTGTGTTGAAACCCAGTAATACAGATAATATTCTGGTAGATGTCACATCTAGGGGTAGACCAGCTCTGTCTGTATGTTGTCAACCTAGCCAACAAAGCCAATAACAACGTTTGGTGCTGTGTTTACTGTATCAATAAAGTGTTGATTTCCCCACATTGACAGGAAGTCCTGCGAAGGCACAGTAGGTTGACCTAACCTCGCTACATATCAAGCTAATTTCTGGGATGAACTTAAGTAAATTAGGAATCATTCATCTTCGTAAATATTTTGTTCTCACCAAATCTTCTAATATCATATAATAAAATATGATTAATAAAAGGTGACATATTTACCATTCAAACTTCACATCACACCATGATGAAAACATACATCCTACATAGGTCATGTCATTATTGTACATTGGATATCAATTTGTAAGGAGAAAATTGAAGTTGTGTTGAAACCCAGTAATACAGATAATAGATAAGTACCATACAAAAGAAAAACTGTACATTTAGCATGTTTAGTGGAAAACAATGTTTGTGCTTAAAAATTTGTTGTGGTCTAAAACAATCAACTCACCGTGATGGTTCAGTCACATAGTAATCACTGATACTTTTTCCCATGATGCTGTCCTCATGTGTGTTGTCATAGAAACATGACAACAAGCTTCTCCTGACCTCACATAAATACTGAACATCACATGCAAGTTAATTATTGAACATGTCTAAACTTTGCTGTCATGGTTGACTCTCAGTTCCCTCAGCAAACCTGCTTTCTCTCTGTGTCAGTGAAGCGTTAGTGATGTTTTTTTCTTATGTGATCAGTTGTTCACACTGCTGAATGAAACAGATTTTGACATTCAATCAGTTAAAACTGCCATGTTAACGTGAATTATTTACTATGCGTTGTCTCACGCTTGAGTTCACCTGAACAAAGGTTTTCATGCTGAAGTACCTCCACTGTCAACTTGAAGTTATACCATTTCTTGCATTGAAGACAGTTAGCACTTTATCGGGGCTATTTAATTGTTTTGACATGTATTTGTATTGCTGGTGTTTCCTAGATACTATTCTATGGCCTTGAATGAGACTATTCTGGTAGATGTCACATCTAGGGGTAGACCAGCTCTGTCTGTATGTTGTCAACCTAGCCAACAAAGCCAATAACAACGTTTGGTGCTGTGTTTACTGTATCAATAAAGTGTTGATTTCCCCACATTGACAGGAAGTCCTGCGAAGGCACAGTAGGTTGACCTAACCTCGCTACATATCAAGCTAATTTCTGGGATGAACTTAAGTATATTCATATTTATCTTAAAAAAATCAAAAATTCAGTATGAAATTAAGTGTAGGTATCTCATCTAGGTTCCAAGAATCGAACACAGGGAGTATTCTTGGGCATGCAATGAATGAAGATTATATTCAGTACTCCACCAATCTAGGCAAAACATATGAGTCTGCTAAAAAAATAACCTGAACACCTCATAGATCATTTGCAGTATAATTAGGCCTAACATAAGATAGCTACATGGTAAATCTCAAGAACAATAAAGAACGAAGCATGGTTTTATTTCACGATGAATCATTGTTCTATCATGACGTCATTTCTGGAGATTCCTATATGCGCTTGCAATTTGATGACATCGTATATTGGACGACTTTATGTTTGTGAGGCAAGTGTCTCGTAAGTTGTTACCCATAGATGTAGCTGGACTACAGAGATAAACATTGTGGCCGAACGATCGCATCCAAAAGCTGGCAAGATCTGACAAGCGGTATCAGGAGAAAAGGTACAGATGATCGACTGAGGATTGTGAGAATATACCGACAATACCAAACTTAACCCTTCTGTTCATAAAATTCATTAAAATTTGGGTAAATATTTTTAAAGCATGTACTTTTCATCAACATCCTTAAAAAGGCTGTACATAATGTTGATATTGTTGTTTATCGTACAATAAAACATTGCAGGGATAATAAACCATGAGGGGCTGTCATACTGACTTTACAAACGAGTGTCAGAATTCTTGTCTTTCCCTAGCGAGAGCAAGGGTAATACATGAATTCTTACACAAGTTTTGTAAGTTCAGTTTGACAAACATCTGAGTTTCATCATTTCCGTTTTACCCATCATTTTTTAATCCTTTTAAGCTCCCCTTCACAAAAATACAGTGATCATGACAACCATCTCGGAAAACCACAACTGTCAAATGACCTCAACTATCTTCAGCTGTGATAGTGTTTCTAGTATGACATCATTCCTACATTCACAATGCTGTCTGGATTACGTTAACTTTTCAGTGGTACATGTGAAGTGATATTTGCCCTAGTGCACATATGATTTTTTTTTAACTTAGTTATTTCTAACTCTATGAGTAATAAACAGCAGTATTAAACAACATTCACTGGAATATAACAGTCTTGTTTATACTTACCACGATGATGGTAACAGTTCACTCACTAGGCACCGTGTGTCTCTTGAAGTACTCACAGTATAAAGTGTCGCAACCCTCCCAGATAGATGTCAACTCTCCACGATGATGGTAACAGTTCACTCACTAGGCGCCGTGTGTCTCTTGAACTACTCACAGTATAAAGTGTCACAACCCTCCCATATGATGTCAACTCTCCACGATGATGGTAACAGTTCACTCACTAGGCACCGTGTGTCTCTTGAACTACTCACAGTATAAAGTGTCGCAACCCTCCCATATGATGTCAACTCTCCACGATGATGGTAACAGTTCACTCACTAGGCACCGTGTGTCTCTTGAACTACTCACAGTATAAAGTGTCGCAACCCTCCCATATGATGTCAACTCTCCACGATGATGGTAACAGTTCACTCACTAGGCACCGTGTGTCTCTTGAACTACTCACAGTATAAAGTGTCACAACCCTCCCAGATAGATGCCTGAATGACTGATGGATGTCATCTTTGTTGACTGACAACCATGGTAACAGTTTACTCTACCCAGATATCCCTAGATCACCATAACAACAGCATCTTGAAGCATCCTGTTGACCGTTTCTTTCAGACTGACAATTGCAACAGTGCAATTGTGTGTCAATCAATATGCTTCATTAGCCAAGGAATCTCCTTAGGTGCAGTTGAATCATTAGTGGATGCTTGATTATAACTTAATGAATTTGGTCGACAATGTAATGACCACATGGAACTTATTCATTATATGTGAGTCGGAGTCCTTGGTAATTCAATTGCATTTAGTGTTATCAATGAAATTCTACTAGGAGCTAAATGCTGTTATTTTATTGATAATTCTGACTGTTTAGTGAAAACCTTTATTTCAGATATTGAATTTGCCCTGAGGTGACAACACATTTCCCATGTCAGCATACTAAGGAGATTTCATTGTATCATTGTTCTGAGGCATTGCATATCGTCTCTCTTATTTGCCACAACTGCTGTCAACATTGTAACTAATGACGACAGGCCCAACCTGGCGCTCATCTTGTATATAAGTTGGGTAGATAATGTCTGTATTGCAGCTGTTGCCAGCTGATTCTGTTCTCATGATGACAGGCCCAACTTGGCGCTCATCTCGTATATAAGTTGGGTGGATTCTGTTCTCATGATGGAGCACTTATGAAACAGTGAATTTTGCACCTCACCAGGGTGTCTTTGATGAGAGTCAATAGCAGTTGTTGAACTTTAAGTCTCTGCTGAGGCTACATTTATGAGGAATGTTTCAATACGACTATCTCCCGATATGATTCATATCGTGATACTTTTTACTAATTAGCGACAATTCTGTATGAATTTTTATGTTACAAAGGGCATAAACGCCATTAAAAAGGCTTTAATCAAATTGAATATCTGGTCTATGAAATGAAAATTGCTCATTTTTGTCAAACTATATTTCAGATAAAACTAGAGTGTCAACATAAGTTGGTTTTTTTATCAAATAATACAGCAAATTCCCTGTTTGCTAAATACCCTAGATGTGCACCCTAAATTATATTAATCAAATATGAATGAATGGAATTCGAATTAAAATATGAAGTGGTACAGGTAAGTGTGAATAGTGTATAGTATCGTTTGAGAATTTTATTGATGTATTGTGAATCGTGATATTCTAAAGTAATATCATTATAAGATTCTCTTTGAATCATTGGCAATAATAATTTTCGATTAAGAGACTTATTTCTGATTGAATTAGAAATACATGCATTGTCGGTTTGTTCATTTTTTTTATGTTTTTGTTTAGTGTGAAATATATGGTGATTTCGGAGTCTATTTATGATAAATATCCAGTATTTTTAAAGATGCCTTGGATTATATATCCCTTGACCCAGCTTTTATTCAATTCAAGGAAGGCATTATATTGTATCAAGTTTTCTTTTTCAATATTGTTTCAAATGTCCCTCCTCCATGTCTTGTCTCTGCCATGTCTCATTCAGTTGAACAGGCTGTAGGTTAAAAATTTAAAAATGGCAGGTGTGCTTTGGGACGTAAATGTTAAACCAGTATCATATGCTGAAAGTGCCCTTTGTAAGTCTGGATTTTTAGTTCTTATTTGTTTGCATTTCTTATAAACTGTTCAACATAATTATTATATTTTGTATACACAGACAAGCGCCAAACTGAATCCTTTGTCTCATTAAAGTGAGATCTTTTACTCCCATATGATAGTTCTCTGCATGAAGAACTGATGACACCTCAATAACCGGTCACACCAAGTGAAACCTTTGAAAACATTGAATTGAATGTAAGGATTCATGGTTGTCATCCAATCAGATGTCAGCTTTCTTACCACCTGATTTGGAAATTTCGGTCTTAGCAAATGAAAACCACCACAGAATACCAATATACCCTTGATAGTTCAGCCTTTTGGGTGTAGATGCCATGGCGATCAAAAAGGACCTCGATGTATTAAATACATGTATCCCAAAGCACTTGACACTGATTGACTGATAAACAGTTCACCTGATCTTCAAGCAGTAAGGTAGCATACTGGAGTCAAATATCGGATTCTAGTTTCATGAGACCGACAGGATTTTATGACTGAATATTTTGCTAGCATTTCCAAGATAGTTTTTCGGATGTAGCAAGTTTAGAACAAGCCATGATTCTGTCGCTAATTCCCTTGTCCTGTTATGTAACCCTAACCATCCTTTTCCCATCCATCCTTTCCTTATGCCTGGAATAAAGTTGACCATCTCTGTTTCAGGTTACCATGACTCTGCAGCCTACCCAACGCCATCTTTCTACAATCCACAACCATGGCAACCCATACACATACCTCGAGTGAAGAATGAAAAGCCAAAGAGGCCAAAACCAAAGAAATATGTATGGAATCCGAATAAGTACTATTAAGGGTTGATTTTATTCGGGTGCAGAAGTATTTATTTATGTTAATTTAATTTGTTTAATTGTTAGCGACATGAGACAATACCGGTAGGTATTTATTTGTGATTTGTCAGGTCACTGGGAAAGAATATATTAACCTCTGATCACACAGCTACTGGTTATCATATGATGCAGAAGGGGAGGACTCAAGTAGTAATATCTTAGGAGACCCCATTTCGCCTTTCGGAAATATCATACCAAGAAGCTAATTACATTTTAAGTTTTATTATCAGGGCAGACCAATTAATCTTCATTTTTTTTTTTCTCATTCTCTTTTTTCTCTTCATTTGACAGTAACAAATAATATATAATGTAACTGATTTAAGGTGAAACTGATTTCCACATGGACATTTTTGTGTGGGTGTTACGTGTCTTTAGTTTGTAGCTTGAAACTGGATTGTATTGCAAAAGGAATTTAAACAAACTCTTGAGTAAGCCTTGTGTGGCCTGTTTGTGACTTCATCTTGATTCATATTACAAATCTTACATGAGAAGTATGAGTTATGAGTTGGGAACACTCAAATCAGACACAATGGTGGTGATTGTACACCTCCAAATATGCCACTGGTAATTGTTAAAAGCAGGAATTGGGGCTGGGACGATTCCAAATTTACTACACGGGTACCCACACCTCTATTACCCAACCCTACCCGGGTACCCGCTGTTGGTGTCAAGTGATAGGTACAAAATGTCCGATTTGGAATAGTTTGACAGTAGCCCTGGCAGAATGTATCTAGATATAAAATGATGTGGTCATGCATACACTGAAGTTGACTGAAGTTTTAGCTATATATAAGTCAGAAGGAATGTGTACATAGTCATGAAGAAATCGAACATTAGAGACTCAAAATTGTCATGTAACCATGTAGGTTTATAGTGAATTTTTCTCATGAAACAATATATCACGTGATTAACCACGGGTCCAGGTAGTCCTGTGGGTACCCGGGTCCTTCTCAGCACCCACCCGACCCGAGTACCCGAGTTACCTGTCCCAGCCCAAGCAGGAATATACAAAGCTTTGATGGTATGAGAAGTTAGTCATTATGTGCACTTACTAGATGCTTGTAGTTTGTAGAAAACATGCTCCTGATTACAACTGTTTTGTGTTGAGTCACGACATATGTATGTTGGCATATTCCGTCCATTTTGTTGATATCTTATTGTTCTCAAGATCTGTATATATCACACAGAAAACCCTCCACCCAGCTGCATATATCAGACACACTCTGGCTCTGCCTATGCAATTGCATAGGAAAATGTATGTTAATATTGATCTTAACAGCTATGATGCGTGGGGCATCAGTGACTTCAGTCTTATGTACTTAAAGGGAGATAATTCACATAATTGAAGCCCTCATAAAATATTGCTGATAGTATCAGATTTTGTTTTATTATTTGGGGTGTTATTTTATTTATTTAAGGCTGACAAATTGAAAGAATATATCTTAAATACATGCCATGGTTTAATTAACTTAATTGTTTACTGACATTTTCCAAACTGTAGATAATGGTTAAAATATAGATTTACGCACATTTTCAAGTGCTATGACAGTTGCAATGAGAAGCAAGGCATTTGGCACAAAATTCAAGCAGTGTTCCTAAAAGATGTATTGAGTGATTTGGCATGAGATTACAGTGGAATTGTGTGAGAGCGTGTGTATTGTTGAACAAGCATGAATCTCACTCCAAGTGCTTGAGAGTTGACAGATATGTAGCTCCGTGCAGCTACCTATAGCCAAACCTATGCATGAGCGAACACTGGAACAATGAGGAGAGCTAATGCAGTATGGGATCAGCATCGGGACAATTCTGCATCGGGACAATTCTGCATCAGCTCAAGTCAGACAAATGAGAGAAACATGCAAGTACTATAGGTGTTTACATGTTTCACTGAGTCATCAGCTGGAAATAATCTACATAGCTGCCATGTTTAAATAACTTTCAACCACTGCTTCTGAAAGCTATTATTTAATCGGGCAGAATTTTAATCTTGTGTGTTTCTTGCTTCATCAAGGCAGTCACTGGATTGGTTGGAATTTTGCGATTTGGTTCACATTTTCACTGCAAATGGCCATGAAACATGAAGTATATTCAAAAGGCAGTATGTGTATTATCCTTAATGGAGGTATTATTATCCTTGATGTCTAGAGTCGTAGAAATGTTTTTGGCATGTGTTTTAAAACAGAGAATAAAAAACTTGAATATGTATGCCCATGGTAATTACATGACCAAATTTGAAGTTTATATATAATTTTCTATGGATTATTGTGCCTACAGCAGTGTAGTGTTAGAGAATATAGTACACAAGGGGTACATGTTTTCCATCATGTGTGTGTGTAATTTAGCCTTGTTACAAAGCACTGTCTGTGATATGTGTAATTGTATGTGGTCTGAGGATGAAAAATAAATAGCTAAACAGAAATCGTGTTGTGTTATATATTGGTGATGACATTTTGGGAGTTCTCAAGTGACCACCCCACTACAACATAAGGCTGCGAGGTTAAAATTTGTTGTGCAGAGTTGCATCCCTTAGTTATGCCAGAATCCGATGATCATGAGTTTGAATCCTATATTCAACCTGGACCATGAATTTCAACAAAGTGGCAAACATCTAGGGCCTGCATTACCCTGGGCTTATTACACCCATTAGGCATGTTAAACTGATACTACTTAAATACTTGTCTAAGTGGCTTCACACCCTTGAAGATCTGGGGTAGAATAGGTCTTCAGCAACCCATGCTTGCCTGAGAGGCGACTAACGGGGTAGGGTGGTCAGGCTTGCTGACTAGGTTTATGCATGTCATTGTATCCCAATTGCGTAGATAGATGCTCATGATAACAGTCACTGGATTGTCTGGTCCAGACTCGATTGTTTACAGACCGACATCATTCTGCTGAGTGTGGTGTTAAACAAGAAACAAACAAATCTAAGTGGCATTACAGAGAACAGAGGTATTCCGTCTAGGTTGAAGAACAACGAATACTTGTTGGGGCTTCATTGGATTTATTCCGTTCTCCAATTGGGGATATGAAGATCCCAGCACCAGATATATGTACTGATATACAATGATAAGAATCTATAATGAAACAATCATACCATTACTTTATTACATTTGGCATTTACTGTATACCATGAGCGTCACTTTATCTAAGCATATATTACACAAAACAATCATAGATTTCGGTTGTTAGGCCAGAACAGCCATCAGTATAATATTACATACAAATCCTATTCATATGTTGAAAGATGCATCAAAACATAATGCATTATAAGTTGCTGCAGTCACGGGCAGGATCACAAGGGGTGCATGGGGTAAGGGAGGCATGTAACCCCATGTACCCCTCGTGATACTGCTACAACGAATTTATCTTACCATCTGTTTTTATCTGCTATTGTGAGAGAATTAAAACACATTCAAAATTGATAGAAAACAGCTGTCAAAGTGAGCTGAGGTTCACTTGTGCTATGTTACGTGACTTTCATTGACTCGGAAAAATCCAGGTATAGCCTGTTTTCCTCGTAGCCGAGTATAAGGGATTTATTCTCCCGCTCAGAAATTTATTTCCCTCACAGGCGAGATACATACTATTTTATCAAGATCACACAGACCAATTGGATCTCTTCATTCTGACATGGAGATGTGATAAACATATTTATACTAAACAAATAATTACTCTTGATGAGGCCAATATGTGAAAACAAGGACCCAAGGACATGACACCTGAGGTGGTCTGACCGGACGGAGGCCACAGGCCCTGAGATGAGGTCGTGTGTGTGTTTGTTATAACACTATTAAGAATTCCATTGGTTAATACATACCACGTGACGCAACAATACATTTCAATGTAGACCCCCAAATCGTGTGACTGACCCTGACCTCGAATATTGCCTCATCACATAATCAGTATGGACCTGTCACGTGATGAATATTGACTCTGCTAGTCGCCTCTTAGGACAAGCATGGGTTGCTGAAGACCTATTCTAACCAAGATTTGAACATGTAAAATGCAACATGACAGTCAGTTATGTTCAACTCCTCTTGACCCTTGAAGTCTTCCTCTTTTCCCAGGTTCATCCTATTCTTCAAAATGTGTGCTCATCATCACTTTCCTCCTCTTCCTCTTCTACCCCCTCTTCCTCCTCTACCCCCTCTTCTTCATCTTCCTCTCCCTCCACATATGCTGCACCTCCTGCATCTTCTACTGCCTGTGTGAAGACCACTTTGGGAACCTTGGTACACAGTCTCCGCTTATGGAGGTCAAGGCTGCTCTCACCTCTGAAGATCCCATGTCCGCACTGATCACAGTAAAACAGGTTGGATCGAGTGAGAACAGGACACAGACGGCGCTGATGGAGGTGTAGAGAAGCAAGACCTCGGAGGTATCCTGTGTTACATGCCTCACAGGTGTACAGTCCACTCCTGTTTTGGTTACCTACACTTCCTCCCTTGTTACCACCAGGTGCTTGTTTGCTCTTTCCATCCTTCCTGGACTGGGACTTCTTACTGCTTGTATTAGCTCTACCTCTGTTGGATGACATGGTTGTATACCTTACTGTCAGTCTTATTTTTGACTTCTGGAAGTGTTCTTGTAGGTTTCTGGGCAATTTAACATCAAATGTCATTTGATGACAGACAAAAGCACTCACACACCGTTATGTAGACACTGTTGGAGTTGTTTGATGGAGTGGCTGTGTGATGGCATCTCACCCCACAACAAACTCTTCAACACTGCTAGAGCTGAAGAAAAATAGTACACTTGAATATTTTGGTCATTATATCATGTTAATTTTATGAGACATTTGCAGGGAATATTTCAATCAAAAATTAAGAGAACCACAATGTAAGTCAGGACATTTCATCAAAACAGATGCCAAGTTGGTGTACTTCCTGACGTGTCACTGCCTCGAGACCCTTCTCCAGTGACAATACATTCTGGAAAAGTGTCATTTGGACAACCCAATTTGTATTAAATATCAGTCACATAATCAAATACACCATAACAATATGTCACATTATATCATTCGGTCATCATGTTATACTATGACACTCAATAACATCCCACCTTCACACACAACATAATTCACTGCATCAAACACCATGCAGATCTTATCAACAGTAATTTAACACACCATTACCTGACATGACATATGAACACACCAGACCGTTCATATCCTATACTATCAAGTAACATTATACATACACTGTCCACATCACAACATACACTCACCACATCACAACATACACTCACCACATCACAACATACACTGTCCACATCACAACATACACTCACCACATCACAACATACACTGTCCACATCACAACATACACTCACCACATCACAACATACACTCACCACATCACAACATACACTCACCACATCACAGCATACACTCACCACATCACAACATACACTCACCATACACTCACCACATCACAACATACACTCACCACATCACAACATACACTCACCACATCACAGCATACACTCACCACATCACAACATACACTCACCACATCACAACATACACTCACCACATCACAACATACACTCACCACATCACAACATACACTCACCACATCACAGCATACGCTCATCATATCACAACATACACTCACCACATCACAGCATACACTCACCACATCACAACATACACTCACCACATCACAACATACACTCACCACATCACAACATACACTCACCACATCACAACATACACTGTCCACATCACAACATACACTGTCCACATCACAACATACACTGTCCACATCACAACATACACTGTCCACATCACAACATACACTCACCACATCACAACATACACTCACCACATCACAACATACACTGTCCACATCACAACATACACTGTCCACATCACAACATACACTCACCACATCACAACATACACTGTCCACATCACAACATACACTCACCACATCACAACATACACTGTCCACATCACAACATACACTCACCACATCACAACATACACTCACCACATCACAACATACACTCACCACATCACAACATACACTCACCACATCACAACGTACACTCACCACATCACAGCATACACTCACCACATCACATACACTCACCACATCACAGCATACACTCACCACATCACAACATACACTCACCACATCACAACATACACTCACCACATCACAACATACACTCACCACATCACAGCATACACTCACCACATCACATACCCTCACCACATCACAACGTACACTCACCACATCACAACATACACTCACCACATCACAACATACACTCACCACATCACAACGTACACTCACCACATCACAACATACACTCACCACATCACAGCATACACTCACCACATCACAACATACACTCACCACATCACAACATACACTCACCACATCACAACATACACTCACCACATCACAACATACACTCACCACATCACAGCATACGCTCATCATATCACAACATACACTCACCACATCACAGCATACACTCACCACATCACAACATACACTCACCACATCACAACATACACTCACCACATCACAACATACACTCACCACATCACAACATACACTGTCCACATCACAACATACACTGTCCACATCACAACATACACTGTCCACATCACAACATACACTGTCCACATCACAACATACACTCACCACATCACAACATACACTCACCACATCACAACATACACTGTCCACATCACAACATACACTGTCCACATCACAACATACACTCACCACATCACAACATACACTGTCCACATCACAACATACACTCACCACATCACAACATACACTCACCACATCACAACATACACTGTCCACATCACAACATACACTCACCACATCACAACATACACTCACCACATCACAACATACACTCACCACATCACAACGTACACTCACCACATCACAGCATACACTCACCACATCACATACACTCACCACATCACAGCATACACTCACCACATCACAACATACACTCACCACATCACAACATACACTCACCACATCACAACGTACACTCACCACATCACAACATACACTCACCACATCACAACATACACTCACCACATCACAACATACACTCACCACATCACAGCATACGCTCATCATATCACAACATACACTCACCACATCACAGCATACACTCACCACATCACAACATACACTCACCACATCACAACACAACATACACTCACCACATCACAACATACACTCACCACATCACAACATACACTCACCACATCACAACGTACACTCACCACATCACAACATACACTCACCACATCACAACATACACTTACCACATCACAACATACACTCACCGCATCACAACATACACTCACCACATCACAACATATATGCACCAAATCACAACGTACACTCACCACATCACAACATACACTCACCACATCACAACATACACTCACCACATCACAACATACACTCACCACATCACAACATACACTCACCACATCACAGCATACACTCACCACATCACAACATACACTCACCACATCACAACGTACACTCACCACATCACAACATACACTCACCACATCACAACATACACTCACCACATCACAGCATACACTCACCACATCACAACATACACTCACCACATCACAACATACACTCACCACATCACAACATACACTCACCACATCACAACATACACTCACCACATCACAACATACACTCACCACATCACAACGTACACTCACCACATCACAACATACACTCACCACATCACAACATACACTCACCACATCACAACGTACACTCACCACATCACAACGTACACTCACCACATCACAACGTACACTCACCACATCACAGCATACACTCACCACATCACAACATACACTCACCACATCACAACATACACTCACCACATCACAGCATACACTCACCACATCACAACATACACTCACCACATCACAACGTACACTCACCACATCACAACATACACTCACCACATCACAACGTACACTCACCACATCACAACGTACACTCACATCACAGCATACACTCACCACATCACAACATACACTCACCACATCACAACATACGCTCACCATATCACAACATACACTCACCACATCACAACATACACTTACCACATCACAACATACACTCACCACATCACAACATACACTCACCACATCACAACATATATGCACCAAATCACAACGTACACTCACCACATCACAACATACACTCACCACATCACAACATACACTCACCACATCACAACATACACTTACCACATCACAACATACACTCACCACATCACAATATACACTCACCACATCACAACATACACTCACCACATCACAACATACACTTACCACATCACAACATACACTCACCACATCACAATATACACTTACCACATCACAACATACACTCACCACATCACAATATACACTTACCACATCACAACATACACTCACCACATCACAACATACACTCACCACATCACAATATACACTTACCACATCACAATATACACTTACCACATCACAACATACACTCACCACATCACAGCATACACTCACCACATCACAACGTACACTCACCACATCACAACATACACTCACCACATCACAACATACACTCACCACATCACAATATACACTCACCACATCACAACATACACTCACCACATCACATACACTCACCACATCACAACATACACTCACCACATCACATACACTCACCACATCACAACATACACTCACCACATCACATACACTCACCACATCACAGCATACACTCACCACATCACAACATACACTCACCACATCACAACATACACTCACCACATTACAACATACACTCACCACATCACATACACTCACCACATCACATACACTCACCACATCACAACGTACACTCACCACATCACAACATACACTCACCACATCACATACACTCACCACATCACAACATACACTCACCACATCACAACATACACTCACCACATCACATACACTCACCACATCACAACATACACTCACCACATCACAACATACGCTCACCACATCACATACACTCACCACATCACAACATACACTCACCACATCACATACACTCACCACATCACAACATACACTCACCACATCACATACACTCACCACATCACAACATACACTCACCACATCACAACATACGCTCACCACATCACATACACTCACCACATCACAACATACACTCACCACATCACATACACTCACCACATCACAACATACACTCACCACATCACAACATACACTCACCACATCACATACACTCACCACATCACAACATACACTCACCACATCACATACACTCACCACATCACATACACTCACCACATCACATACACTCACCACATCACAACATACACTCACCACATCACATACACTCACCACATCACAACATACACTCACCACATCACAACATACGCTCACCACATCACATACACTCACCACATCACAACATACACTCACCACATCACAACATACACTCACCACATCACATACACTCACCACATCACAACATACACTCACCACATCACATACACTCACCACATCACATACACTCACCACATCACATACACTCACCACATCACATACACTCACCACATCACATACACTCACCACATCACATACACTCACCACATCACAACATACACTCACCACATCACATACACTCACCACATCACATACACTCACCACATCACATACACTCACCACATCACATACACTCACCACATCACATACACTCACCACATCACATACACTCACCACATCACATACACTCACCACATCACATACACTCACCACATCACAACATACACTCACCACATCACAACATACACTCACCACATCACATACACTCACCACATCACAACATACACTCACCACATCACATACACTCACCACATCACATACACTCACCACATCACATACACTCACCACATCACATACACTCACCACATCACATACACTCACCACATCACATACACTCACCACATCACAACATACACTCACCACATCACAACATACACTCACCATATCACATACACTCACCACATCACATACACTCACCACATCACATACACTCACCACATCACATACACTTACCACATCACAACATACACTCACCACATCACAACATACACTCACCACATCACATACACTCACCACATCACAGCATACACTCACCACATCACAACATACACTCACCACATCACATACACTCACCACATCACAACATACACTCACCACATCACATACACTCACCACATCACAACATACACTCACCACATCACATACACTCACCACATCACATACACTCACCACATCACAGCATACACTCACCACATCACAACATACACTCACCACATCACATACACTCACCACATCACATACACTCACCACATCACATACACTCACCACATCACATACACTCACCACATCACATACACTCACCACATCACAACATACACTCACCACATCACATACACTCACCACATCACATACACTCACCACATCACAGCATACACTCACCACATCACAACATACACTCACCACATCACATACACTCACCACATCACATACACTCACCACATCACATACACTCACCACATCACATACACTCACCACATCACATACACTCACCACATCACATACACTCACCACATCACAACATACACTCACCACATCACATACACTCACCACATCACATACACTCACCACATCACATACACTCACCACATCACATACACTCACCACATCACATACACTCACCACATCACAACATACACTCACCACATCACAACATACACTCACCACATCACATACACTCACCACATCACAACATACACTCACCACATCACAGCATACACTCACCACATCACAACATACACTCACCACATCACATACACTCACCACATCACATACACTCACCACATCACATACACTCACCACATCACATACACTCACCACATCACAACATACACTCACCACATCACATACACTCACCACATCACATACACTCACCACATCACATACACTCACCACATCACATACACTCACCACATCACATACACTCACCACATCACATACACTCACCACATCACAACATACACTCACCACATCACAACATACACTCACCACATCACATACACTCACCACATCACAACATACACTCACCACATCACAGCATACACTCACCACATCACAACATACACTCACCACATCACATACACTCACCACATCACATACACTCACCACATCACATACACTCACCACATCACATACACTCACCACATCACATACACTCACCACATCACATACACTCGAATCAGACCAGGATTCCAAATGATGACGACAAACGTTCACCTGTGCCGCCCCCTCCTTCCGTGTTGACAGTGAGATGTCGTCAGTACCAGACAGTGGTTTACAACACAGTGTACTGACTACACACGCTGTTACTACGAGACGTCATGGTATATACCCCTTCAGTTTCATAGCATGCTGCGCTTTTCTTCAGACAGTTGTCAATTTTACTACTTTCGCTTTCGTTTTTCCGTTTCCGGCGAACAAACGCGAGTGTTTACTTTTTTCCATCTTCCCGATGCAAGTGTGTTTACTAGCTTACATCAAAGTTCAGTAGACGCCCTTGCCCCGCCCGGGAAGATGATTTCCAGGATACAGTGTATTGTTTTTAATTAACATTTAGTTAAAGCTGTAGGTCTAATGTAAGCTATGAAATTTACAAGTACAAACATATTTGTAAATATATACGCGTCAAAATAGATTATTTTGAATTAATAACAAAAAATTTAATTGCGTGTTTCTTAAAAGCAAACGAATCTTAACATTATCCATGTTTGCAGTGAGTATCGGATGCAGCTCACAGTGTTTCTGGTATCACTGACGTTAGTAAGCAGAAACACATGCATAAATAACACTGGTCTCGAAACACTATTCAGCTCACTTACCGCTATACACCCGTGTCAGTGACGAAGCACAAGTATACCTGTACACTCGTCATTTCAACACGTGTATAAAACAACATACCCACTCTATTAGACGTCCAGACGTCCGGGCCTTTATATCGCGCAAGCCGTTGACCTGGCGTCTATTCTATTTAATGCTGGCACTATGGCAACTCACTACCTCATTGAGTTCCAACTTCTACTGTCATACAAAGGGTACATTTGCAAGAAACAGCCATTATTTATCACTAACATATCACAGTACTTGTCTTAGCGATCCGGCATCATGAATCGAATATTCTTTGTGCTATATAATTGATATAAAACACGCCTCGTTACATGCATGCAGTGTGAACGAGTAATTTATTTTTAACAAAGGTTAAATTACCCGAACGAAAAATCAGAAGAAAAATTATGAACAAGTATCAGCACGACAAACGTCGCTCCCACATGCCTTCGTGTTCTTCTAACTTCAAAATGCATATCAAAGACATGATTATTTTAGAATAGGCAACACTAATATTTAATGTTATAACGCTGTTAATATCTGGCATATCATAATACATACACCGTCGCAGTACGATTTACACGAGATTGTCCAAGTCACCGTGCCTGACCACCATAAGTACGGCTCTTCCGAAGGTTGGCTGAACAGTGAACACTGCTAATGTATATATATACTCAACAACAAAAGTTCCTGTGACACCAATATTTTAGTGTATTTTCAAACAAGTAAAGTCTTGTTTTCAATAGTGTAGTACATGTATGGAATCAAGTCACAAAAACGCAACTGCTACAGAAAAGAATGCATTCCATGCAAAAGTTGACTTTTATGCAAGCCCCATGCATTTCACCACCGAAGAATGGGTATAAAAACATGTGCATTAACGGGATTCCATATGCATTGTTTAGCATCGTGCTGACAACAACCACTCAGAAACACAACAAAATTACGCAATTATTCATTACGAAATGCCACGCCTGTCCGAAAATGAGCGTCTGCGAGCCATTGGTATGCTTGAAGCAGGACCAAGTCAACGTGTTGTTGCAAGACAATGTAACGTCCACAGAAACACCATTTGGTATTTATGGCAACGTTGGCAACAGACGAATGCAGTCGAAGACCATCCTCGGAGTGGCAGGCCACGCGTAACAAATAATCGACAAGACAACTGGATTCGAACAACAAACCTACGAAATCGATTCCAGCCAGCAACAGTGACTGAAAGAAGCATCCCTGGCCTTCGACGAATATCTTCACAAACCGTACGTCGTAGCCTCAGATGTGCACGCATTGTCGCCAGAAGACCCGCCAGACGTCCCATTTTGACAGGAAACCACCGTCAAGCACGTCTACAGTGGTGCAGACAGCGTCTACACTGGACGGCCATGCAGTGAGGACATGTTCTATTCACTGACGAGTCTCGTTTTCACCTCAGCCACAGCGATGGACGGATTCGAGTGTACCGACGTCGAGGTGAACGTTACGTCAATCATTGTGTCATGGAAGAAGATCGGTTCGGGGGCGGCAGCGTTATGGTATGGGGTGGGATTACAGCAAGACAGAGGACCCGTTTGATAGTGGTAGAAGGTAATCCCAATGGACAGCGCTACCGCGACGAGATCATCGGCCCTGTTGTTCTACCGTTTTTGCGTCGTCGTGGCCCAGGCATTACCTTTCAACATGGCCCGGCCTCATATTGCTCGACTTGTTCAGGATTCTCTTCAACAAAACAACGAGAATGTCATCCCCTGGCCGGCACGCTCCCCTGATCTCTCACCAATCGAGCACATGTGGGATGAGATGGGTCGGCGCATTCGACGTCAACCACGTGTTCCACAGACACTCCAGGAACTTCGAAACATACTCCAGCAGATATGGACAGATATCCCACAGGACTTTGTGCGACGCATGGTCCATTTCATGAGACGAAGATGTTTTGCTTGTATTGCAACCAGAGGTGGACACACACGCTATTGATTTGTAAATTGACATTTTGGCATGTTCATGTATTGTTATGAACTCACGCATTTTCTTAAGTCAGGATGGCAAACTAAACCATTTGAACACTTACAGGAATCTTGTATTTATTGCAAACCGAAATTGTTTCAGATTTGGTAAAAAACATAAGTTTGTATTAAATCTTATTCAATGGCACAGGAACCTTTGTTGTTCAGTATATTACACCCTTAACAGTTTGCATGTATTGAGTACAATACTTCCAATAATAGATGCAATCAAGTTGTCAATAACACGCTGTTGGATGTGCTGCCATTCATGCTGACGTGCATCAAGAAGCGCCGGAAGTGTTTGGGGCGGTGGATTCCTTCTGCGAACGCGTCGATTCAACTCGTCCCACAGATGCTCAATCGGGGACAGATCTGGTGACGGGGCTGGCCAAGGTTATGTCTGGATGTTGTTGTGCTGTAAGATGTCCTGACAAACACGTGCAATATGCGGTCGAGCGTTGTCCTGCTGGAACTGTCCGCCATGAACGTTGACGTGAGGAAGAACGTAAGGCTGTAGGATCAAGTCTCTGTAACGCACACCTGTCAATGCACCTGCCACATGCACGAGAGGCGTCCTGCCACCGTGATGATTTCCGGCCCATACCATGACACTCCCGACGCCAAATGGGACAACCTGCCGCACATATTTGGGGGCGTAACATTCACCCCGATGTCTGTAGACACGTGCGCGCCCATCAGCACGTGTGAGTAGGAAACGGAACTCGTCAGTAAACAGTACATTTCTCCACCTTGCACGTGTCCATCTAACCCTCTGTTGGCACCAAAGCAGACGGTCCACCAGATGACGTGGGGTCAATACATGACGTCGAACAGGTCTTCGTGCAAAAAGTCCAGCCTCCCTCAGTCTGTTGCGTACCGTTTGATCTGATATTCTGCGTACCCCAGGGATCTGTGTGGTTGTAGACGTGGCTATGGTAGTGCGGTCTCGGGGGTGTCGCAGCCGGATGTATCGATCTTGTGCTCTATAAGCAACGACACAAGGGCCCGTGGGTCAGGCTCGGTGACCTGGTTGATGCACCGGACGGCGGGGATCTTTGCTCATAATATGGTCCCTGGATTGTCTGGTCCAGACTCGGTTATTATCAGACCGCCGTCATTCGGCTGGAATATTGCTACTGTGTGGCCTTAACTAAACAAGAAACCTATACTTACCTCCAGTGCCCACGCGGTATTGCTGGAAATGTGATGAAAAGGATGGGCAACTTACCAGTCCCAGCAAGTTTGATTCACGTCCATAAAAAAACAGTAAATACGACCAAACAAACAAACAACACATGCACAAGTCCACAACAACAATTAGCACAGAAGTCCGTAGGAGTTGTTTTTTAGACAGATTTTGTTTTCAGTCATCGCTGAAAGAGGGAACCAAACATCTTTGGGTACACAAACAACATATCCAGGACATTATTTTGTTATGCCCCGCGGATCAGAGAATGAAGTTTTCCCTTAGGTTTGTCTCGTGGGACAATGGCGTGCCAAATTTATAAAATCGGATGGTACTAATTCTATTTGTTTCATATGGTTAGTATTTGAGACAGCGATTTGGTGATACATTTGCTGGCTAATTTGATTGTCTTCTGGTTTTCGAGTCAAGCCAAAAGTTGACGAATAAAAACCGATCATATTAAAAGAGCATTTTTTTTAGCCATATGTAGTTTCCTTCTTTATTGCTGACAATGCAGTGTATCGGTGTATGCATGGTGGCAGTTACCGAGGATGCCATCACATTGTACTATCCAGTGACATACATACATGCATGAACACTACGCTTATAACCTGAGAGGGGCAAAAGAAAGTATACCGACTTTGTAGTGTTGTTAAATTACGCCTCTTTAACAATCACTTATTCATGAAACAAAATATATTGGTTCAATGAAGACTGGGGCATGAAATGAATTTGCAACCACATGACCTCTACCACTTGAAGTGTAAATGTGTGCCGAAGAAAAGTAAATTGATTGATTTTCAAAGACAAAAGGTCTAAGATACCCGGAAGCAGTTTTGTATAAATCGATTTTGTTTTTAAAAGTTTAAAATCAAATTCTATAAAACAAAATAAAACCATGCATAGAAGTAGTCTTTGACTTCTGACTTAGCCCCAGAACAGTTCATTTTTGGCATATAATATCGCTAACTGAGAGGTATCCTTTCTCTGATTACCAGTTTAGTTATCACAGGACACGTGAAGATCCGGGGTAGAATAGGTCTTCAGCAACCCATGCTTGCCGTAAAAGGCGACGTTTTATATGCTTGCCGTTAGAGGCAACTAACGGGATCGGGTGGTCAGACTCGCTGACTTGGTTGATGCATGTCATCGTATCCTTGATTGTCTGATTTACAGAGCGTCGTCATATAGCTGGAATATTGCTGAGTGCGGCGTAAAACAACAAACAAACAAACCAAGTTACCACAGGATAGAGAGACACAGACTGGCACGTATGGTGTCTGTGAAAGAGTGGGTATGCGCACCTCACACCACCTACCCTATCTGGACCGATCAGTGCCTCGATCAATGTAGGCTGAAGAAACAGTTCAAAAGTACTTAAAGTTATTTCATTTATTAGGTTTTCAGACATACCCCCAAATACCCTTTCACTTTATAAAATCAACTTCAATTTGACTTTTATAACACAAAAGGGGGCGTATTTGTAAGGAAGAGATATTTTTTTCAAGGGGATTTAGATCATGTCACCAGCTAGATTTAAGAAGTGCGGGACATTTTATGGATCAATTCAGCGGGCACTCTTAAACGTTGTTACTGGTTAATATAAAATGACATGAATAACCGGTAGATCGAGCTCCATACCTAATGAAGTGATTAGCTCCATACGTAATGAAGTGATTTTAAAACCATTTTATCAGTTTGGGTTATATGTTGAATTCAGGTAACCTAGCTCTAAATTGAAAACACAGCATGCATGTTTGTCTTCTATTAGGCTAATATCACGTGTGTATACGTGGCATAACAACATGCAGGTTTTGTCGTCGATAATGGAGTTCCCAATAAGCCAATAAATATAACGTTGGCTCGGTCAGGTCCGACCCCTCAGAGGGGATAATGTTAAAAATTAATTATAGCAACGAACTTCGTAAATGCAGTCCATCATAGTAATCGCCTCAGAACTTTAATTTCCAGCCACCCTCGTACTACCAAATCACTGGTCACGGGGAATCGGGAATGTTGGGAAATAAATGTACTAGAGTCAGCCATTAGGTGACTATTGTAAGCCTTTTCTTTGAGTATTTCCTTCAATGACATTTTGTATTGACATCCATATTTAGCAATTTTCCATTCAACGGGTTATATATATCTTTTAAAATTAAGTGAAGGCCTAACAACAGTTACTGCATGATTTTAGACTTTTGGGAAAAACTGTTTGACGATAAACGAAATAATTACTGTGGAAGTTCGCAAGACAAATGAATTTTCTCAACTATTTCACACTGTGCCAATGAGGAACTCAACAAAACTCATATTTTATGCCCCTGCAACGTAGATCTATTTTCATTAGGATTTGCAAAACATGTGCCCTACATTTTAGACTGGAGCTTGTTTATATCACGTGACATGCAGTTTGATTTCTATTGGCTAGCTCAAACACTGTGGGAAATTCAATGTCGAAGGCCGAAGGTAGGCAATCGAAAAGACTACAACATATGATCAATTTCAGAAAATTAAGCGTCTATTTAGTTAATCATGACTTCGTGGTAAAACTTTGAATGTTTTTGGTGTGATAGAACTGTACTACATTGCAATTAGGCCTAAAACTTATTAATATTTGCTCACGACAATCGTAGCCTTGATCAATTTCAAACAGTGTTTCACTGTTGGTGGTTTTAGTGACAGAGTTGAATGAATTTTGCATATTTTCAATATCATAACAACGGAGTAATGATTATTTTAAAGATTTTAAAGATGTAACGTTCCACTGATCACTAATTGCTGCACAAATATGGATGCAAAATGATTTTGGCAGTGTCGTTTGGACACTATGCGGCTATTTCAAAGGGAAGTAACCAGCTGGTAAGACTAGGCCTATCTAGAAAGTACAAAAATGATGAGTCCCCACTAGCTGCGATCGATCACTGTATTATCAGCTGCTTTGTGGGCTACCATCATAATTATTCCTGTTTTAGATCTTGTGTTGACATGAGTGAAGTGTATTTTGTAATGAATATTTTATGATGTGAAAGATGACGTTTGCTCCTCTTTTCAGGTTTGGGTCAAAATGTCATCAACAAAAAATAAAAGTGCTAGAGCAATGAAAACAGCTCAGAAATCTGACAAGGAAAATTGCCAACCCATCAGTCGAAAGAAAAGGTAGGCCTAGTGTGTTTTTTTATGTTTTGTAGTATATCATTTGGAATGTCCTGAGGTTTTCATTTACCTCCACCTTCGTAGGTGCCCAGCAAACAATTCTACGTTGTAACAACGTTGTGACAACGTTGACTTTTCGTTGTTACAACGTTGTGATGTTACGTTGTCACAACGTAAATCTGTAGACTCCCAGATTGGTTGCTACAACGTTGTGCGTAAACCAAAATACAACCAAATCAAGACGTTGTCACAACATCCATTTTTTACGTTGCTACAACGTTTATACAAAACGTCGCGACAACGTAGGTATCATATGGCGACACTACAGCCATTGCAGCACGTTGTTGCAATGTCCATGTAGATTAACGCCTGTATTCCTCAATACCTCCCAGGCAGCCTGAAAAGTTTGTACCAATCTAATTAAGACATCAGGTACCAAGCAATACATTCTGCAAACTGAATTCACTTTATAACCCTATCCATGAAACAGCAAGTCAATGAAATGCACTCTCTTTTGGCTGAGTTTGAAATACGGCCAAGATAAAAATCTAAATATTTTAAATTACATGTACAATTTGGTTATATAATATTTATTTTCCCAAACAATTTTCAAGGCTTAATCTATGTGCAGCGTTAGAAATTGGCGCTAGTCCTGTAGTCCTTGCCAAACTGCCCAATGGTAAAGGTATCATAAGGACTAGTAGAAATTTGCCCTTTTTAGGGGTTTTGCTATCATTATAAGGACTAGTGGACAAAAACTGTTAGTTTCTAACCCTGATGTGCAAATTGTTCACAAATGTTTTAACACAATTAATAGATATTTGATTTTCCCAAGAATTTGCAAATTAAAAACCATCAAACAAAAAGCCCTGCACAAATTGAAACATTTAAATTTTCTTGGCCTTACCCCATACATTCAGCATTGAGAGAAACACTGTGACAAACAGAATAGTCTATCCATCTGATGTCCTAAGATCCATTTCCCAGCAACGAAATGACAATAGAATTCTGGTTGAGGTGACCTTTATTTATTTGTTAAATGACAAGTCAGAACTTGGGCTGAGTGGCTGAGGAGCCTTTTCAGTCCTCGAAAGAAAAGTCACAGGGATGATCTTCAACTGTATCCATAGTCTCTCCTTATGCCTTGGTAACTGAATAAAAAATGACACAAATGTTATAAAATGGCAAGGCAAGGGACATATTTCTGACATAACAAAATAATGGTTGGATTCCCCAAAATAATATTTTGATGTCTGATGTCAGTCATTAAACTGTTAAAAACTGCTGACAGTAATACCATGATGCTCTTGGATCATACATAGGCAGAAAAGCTTTTAGCACTGAATCATTGGTGTAACTTTATACCCCTGCCCTTTTAGATTGTGGGTATAATTAAATAAGAATCATCTAAATTTTAATTCTTGAAGATGTTTGTATATATTATTGCATCATACATACCTTTCTGTCAGTGATGTACTTTAAACAAATATGCTCTCACAATACTGTTTTCTCCACCTGAAAGAAAAACAGAAACCACAAAGTATCACATTTTTAAATAAACCAGTACTGTATAGATAAATCACATTTACTTAGAGTATGATGTAACTGGCGGTAATGTTGGCTAATAGTTTTATCAGTCAATAGATCAACTGTAGTTATTCAAAAGCAGTAACTTTATCTTTCTGCTGTACATCACAAACTAGTGATTCAAGTGAATATGTTGGCCAAGTTTCTAAAACCTTATTTGTAAAATATATACATAAATGAAAAATATATATTGCCAAATATAATAAATAGTTCCCATATTTGAAGCATGAATGTTGAATATGAATTATGAATAGAAGTTAACACTTTAGGGTATTTATCCTGATTAAAATTGTGATTATTTTTTTTAATACTAACCTTAATATTTTCCATATTAATATGCCAGGATATGTATATATGTTCTAACATTTACAAAGATAGAAACATGGGAAAATTCACAAAATGCAATAGCTTCTACAATACCAGACGAAGTTGAAACAGCTCTGTAAATATTTATTGAAATTTATTTGTTACTACGTTTATTAACATAATACAGTTCAATATCGTTAAATATAATTCTGTAGTATGGTAGCCTACGTGGCAACATATGGTGATCGAAAACCGAACGAATATGGTTGCTATCAATTCCATTGTATTTTTCATTGGTACACATTGGCTACACCTATCTCACCTTAATAATCAACAAACGATGACCAACTCACTGACAATATATGGTGATATTTAACTTTTGACTATCGACTAGCTTATCATCACCAATATGACAATACCGCAAACACCCCATTATAGCGCGCGACGAGAGACTCGTTTTATTTTTGCTTGTTTTCATTAGAAGGTAGTCGGACATAGATCTAGATCTAGTTATCAGAAAATGATAAAGTGATTCTTTTTTGGAAATAATAACAATACACTATGGTAAGCACCTTGCTAAAATAAATAAACTTTATAGACAGCACCAACAACCTCATGGTCCACATTTAGGCTACTTCAGTCAGTGCTAATTAGGCCTTTTCGGAAACAACAAGTATGTTTCTGTCTCTTCCCGAAAATACAATTTTTCATAACATCACTGAGCGCATTAGGACTAAGGCTATAACTAGTAGCCTACAAAGAGTCGATCTGAAAATACTTCCATTGTTTTGATTCCCTCTCTTCGCTGTATAAGAGAAATCTACTTAACCTTTCCCATGGCCTGAATGAGCCACAATGTTTCACAAAAATCAAAGTCAGAAGATTAGTAGATTCTACATGTAAACTTTAAATAGTAATGATTTCAGAAATAACACGGAAGAAATGGCGAAAACTGTCAGTGGTCAGTAGGCGATGCATAAGTTAGGCCTATTTACAGACCTACACGTTCTCGATTGAAACCCGAACATAATATGACGGCCACAAAACGCCGCCAGACTGAATTCTGGTCTAACATATACTGCTTGGTAATTACCCTTGGTATCCATGAAATAATAATATGGAAAAAAAAGTCTTGGGCCTCCTTCACCTCTATATACATCATGTTCTGTGTATCAAATATTAATATCAACACTGACGCTCAGTGAAAGTGACCGGCAAACTGCATTCTAGGCTAAACCCTGCCACTGCTGAATAATACGATACATTTAAATCATTTGACGATCTGCATGTACAGAAACATATCAACAAGCGGAGGGTGCTTTTGAAAAATTAACTTACCTCATCCGAATTCACAGATCATCTGTCCAGTTCCAGTTCCTGCACAATCTCTAAATTGGTTGTAGACCTCTCATATGTCTTAGAGTGAGCTTGAACTAAGATGGCTGGTGACAACAAATCTTCCGCGACAATGTGACGTCATTCTGACGTCACTTCACGAGGCAACAGGCTAAACTTTTCGGTCGCTCTCACGCCGCAAAAAATGGGCGCCAATTGTTTTTAACTGTAATATTGCTTGTGACAACATTAAGTAGACAGATAACTTCGTTAATAGATATACATGTATATGTTTAAAAAAAATAAAACTAAGAGATGGTAGATCTACAAGTGGTTTCCTAAACATCATTTACAGAAAGTGTTGTAATGTCCAAAGCACAACGTTATCACAACGTTAATTTGCAACGTTGTTGTTACGTTGTGGAATAACGTTGTCATAGAGATACGAAATTACGTTCTGGAAATTTTAGTATTAAGAGATGAAAATTCAAATGCCGAATATATAGAAAGGTAATGCATTACTGCCTTGGTATTCTGAATAATTCATGTTGATTTTGATAAAGCAGTTCTATTCTTTCATGACTATCGAGAATCAAACTCTATAACGTTTAACCGACGTTTCAGAAACGAAGTTACAAAACGTTGTGTGATGTCCAATGCGCAACGTTTTCACAACATGAATGTGCAACGTTGTTATAACGTTGTGAAATAACGTTGCACGTTGACGTTATAATAACGTTGTGACAACGTAATATCACGACGTTACCAATCCACAACCTTTCCACAACGTTGTGACAACGTCGTGTGTTAGCTGGGTGTCATAGTTATCATGGTCTTAGAGGTAATCATGCACATGAGGAGACACACACATGAAATAATTATCAGTGCTTCATGGGTTTGTATGCACTGCTACTCCATCACCCACAATACATGGTTGCTGTACGGTGTCATGGTGATGTGTCTATTTTTAGTCCGCCAATGACATGATGTCATGTGCAACTCACAGATGTCAAATGAGGCCTACTCCGTCCCTGAATTATGTGGAAACCCTATCACTGCCTGACATGGAACTCATGTGTAGAGCATGTTGCACATGGTGTACTCATTTGTTTCAATCTCGCTGGAACCCAACCTCATATCAGCCCAATGTTTTCATGGGTGATAGAGGAACACACATGTATACCTATACATATCCGTGAAGTATTGACATGAAACAAAGCTAACTCATACAAATAAATAATTGATAAATTATAAGTTATTGATTATGTCCTTCTTTTGGTCTTTTATGTGGAATCTTATTTACAAGTCTATCTTGGTGAATTAAGGCATGTTCAATGTTCAAACATAAGCAAGCCAGTCAAAGGGTTCTTGTCATAACCCTAATACTACCGTAAAACTAAATGTTACATATTTACAGTACCCACAGGTTCAGCTACAACCATTACTATAGCAGCAGACCCAAATACCCCCTTAACTTCTAATGACTCGTGAAGGCCCGGGGTGTAACAGGTCTTCAGTGGGGCTGTAACGATTCACCGATACCTACTATATTATTGATACTTTTGTTTGTGAGATCGACTATAACTAGAACAGGAACCAATAAAGTTACTTCCCGTAATGGCTGAAGTAGCATATTGCCACCTGTAAGCATGGAAGAATGTGGAACCTGAGGACGCGCCGACTGTTACATTTAATAACCATCCCTTCATTTAAAACTGTTTTGTTCTTGTAGTTTTCTTTGTAAAAGTTTTTCAGATAACAATAAATAAATGTATGAAGAAAGAGGTTTCAGAACTGTATGTCAGTGATTTCATAATTTCTTACTATTTGATGTGTATCGTGATACCAGTAGTATCGTCAGTCTGTATTGTGATATCAGCTGTAGTCTTCAGCAATCCATGCTTGCCGTAAAAGGTGACTATGCTTGTCGTAAGAGGCGACTAACAGGGTCGGATGGTGAGCGTCACTGACTTGTTTGATGCATTTCATCGTATCTCAATTGCGTGGATTGATGCTCATGGTGTCAATCACTGGATTACAGACTGTCGTCATATAGCTGGAATATTGCTGATACGGCTATAAATGACAAACAAACTGAACTTCTAACACTACATTTATTCGTATCCCAGACAATTTAGGTTTTGATTTTTGATGGCTCGTTATAACTAGGGCTGTGACTGTAACTCTGGAACTTGAGTAGGGTGGGTACTGAATAGGACCTGGATACCCACAGGTCTACCCGGATCCGTGCTTAGTCACATGATATAGAGTTGAATGACAAAAAATATCTTTGGTTACACTACAAGTCACTAATGTTTGCATTTCTTTCCGACTATGCACACATTCCTTCTGACTTTCATATGTTGAATAAAGATAAATTTCAGTCAACTTCAGTGTATGCATGACCAGATTGTTATACATGTGTGTCTAAATACTTTTTACCATGGCTCCGGTCAAACAATTCCCAATCTGACAATTTGTACCCAAGTCTTGCACCTACAATGGGTACCTGGGTAGGGTCAGGTAATAGGGGGTTGGGTACCTGGCTCATAAATTTGGTCTTACCGGCCCCAGTTAAAACCAATGATTGATCAGTACTGTTATTAGATAAACATGTCATTATTGAGGACAGATGTATTTTCTTAATATGTTCAATTCATTTCTTCAGCAAACTTCCTTTACCAGTTGAAGATGTTACTTTGAGGAAGATGAAGACTCGTGCTAAACCGGCTCCCAACTTCAATAAGTTGCATTCCCAGTGGACTCACAAGCTGCAGATGGGGAAAGCTTGTCAGAAGAAGCCATGTACTGTGGTAGGTCTAGGCTGTTAGGATGTGTCATGACTCATGATTAGGGACATATCTCGATATAAGATTCAAGATGCATGATACCTGTTAGAGAACTCATGTACCATCTGTACAAACCAATCTTTAGTTGAATTTTGGAATTCATTTTCATCCCAGTGTACATGTCCTTATATATAGTGTCATGGCTTCAAAACATAATAGGAGCGTTCACTTGTCACGCTGAATACCCGGGTTCGATTCCCGACATGGGTACAATGTGTGAAGCCCATTTCTGGTGTCCCCTGCCTCGATATTGCTGGAATATTGCTAAAAGCGGCGTAAAACCATATTCACTCACTCAAAACACAATATTTGTGTCATGGCATGAAGTTTTGATTTGCAATACCTTTGCTGAAATTGTAATGTTGTGCCCATTATTGATAGCTGAGGATCATAAGCGAATTGCCCATGCCCTGCCTTATTTCCAGTGCAAAACCAATCAGTAAATCAGGCCTTGTAGTGACATTTTATGAATTGATTTTGATCACTGACATGTCATTCTCAAATGTTTGTAAATGCAGTCTCAAGAATTCAACTTGACAAGGCCAGGATCAAAGGCCCAGGTTAAAGTTGAGGAGGTGACTGCGGTGAAAGGCCTTGATATTCAAGCAGGAGACCGACAGTGTTTCACACCAGATGCCAAGTCAGCGAAGGACCTGGAACTAAACAGAGAGCTGTCTCCTTCTCAGCAGTCAGGCCGGGCAACAATTGCTACATCCAAGTATGTACCACAGACATTTTGTGGTAAAACATATTCAATTCAAAGGAAAACAACCTATTTTTTAACTTATACTGCATTACTCCTTAATGCATATTGTAGTGGCCCGGACCCTGACTTCTGATAAACCTTGACGTCTGGATGTAACTAAGAGTCAAAACACTTCTTTTCAATGAATAATTAGTTTTTATTCATGTGGGTATAACAATGCCTTATATGGAGAACACAATGCTTCCAAATAAGTAGATCCCTCTGAGCTTTAAGGTTTATTTGTAAGGACCAGTGTCAGGGCAAAATAATTATTGCCTGTAACTATAATGGTAGTTTACTGCTATAATATAGATGGCTTCTTTATCTAAATAACGTTACAGTTACTGAGATTGCCATTTGTGTCTGTTTTAAAAAATGCACTCTGATATAGAAATGAATTATGTAAGGACAAGGGGAACTTTGGGGCTGAATTATCTGCCCTTGGATTGAAACTGACCTGTAGACTGCCAAAGTCACTATGACCCAGTATGAGTATTTATACCAATCAATTGATTACATCTAATTGATTCACTAATTGCCTTCCAATATCACAAGATGAACAATTACGTCCTGCTACATCAAAGCTACGTCCTTGCTGCCTGCCACAAGGACGTAGTAACAACAAGCAACATCGAATGGGAATTACGATGGACAATTCAAAGAGGAAGATTACAAATGTCAGGAGTCAATTGGAATTTATCTGATACATAAGACATTTAATAACATGAATTGGCCACTGGTATGCTTTGACAGTAGCACTGGATGTCATATTTAATAATAATTATTTATGAGAAACATGTTCATAAATAGCGATGTTAAATGCTGTGCGTGAATACATCAGCGAAGATTACATAGTTCCCGATGTCAGAATTAACAGTAACTCTAATACCCATCTTGACATATCATCAATTACGATTCTGGGTTCCCCTGTACATAATTCATTAGATTAAATAAACTGTATAATGCAAAATGCTATATCAGTAACTTCATTGCGACCTAAGCTACCTGTCACAAAGTTGAAATGGCGGGCATCTGCGAGACACATAGCTCAGCCCTGATGACAAATTCACACAAATATGGATAAATATTGAGCTGCCAAGGGATTGTGATCTGTTTGATGAAGAACAGAAGTATGATTAATCTGTATCTGAAGGTTAATTTGCGTAACTGTATGCGTAGACCGATGAATTCATCAAAAGTTACAGTGAATGGAAAAAGCTTGAAAAAGTAAACAAGATCGTTTTGACAGGCATGTTATTGATATCAATGTTTATGAGGTACTGACATATCCTAAACAACATGCGTAACATGATGGCATGGACATATGATTATTTTTACTAGATAACAGTGTGCTATGTAGCTCTATAACAGCATGCTATGATCCTCTGATAGATTTCTTACCAAAATGGTATTCAAAACATTGAATTACGTGAAAACAAGGTTGGCAAAGATATACTGGTATATACCTGCAAAACTAATTACAGTTTACAGGATAATTATGATATAATTTGTGCACTGTCATATAACCATGATAACCATCAAAAATACAACAGGGAAATATTTAGGAAATATTTCTAATTTTTAGAAGCTGTCATAACTTACACATTTTGCAATAAAAATACATTAATTTTATATATTCTTTGTGATGGCCATCACAATATTACTGTTGACAGAAAGAAGAGCTGTGTGAAGTCTTCCTGAAGAAGACGTTGGATCAAGTTGCCGTGAGGACAACCCTATCACACAGCTCCCTCATGACCAAGGAAGTGATGACGTCACAGGCTTCACATTACTGCTGTCACTCATAGTGTATACACCTGTGTGTTCTCTCAGCATAAAATTCTTTTTGATTCTCATTTGTGTTGATTCTTAGTGAATATTTCTTGTGATTCTGTTGTGCCTCAGGTTTGTATCTTCATATTATTCATATGATTTATGTCATAGCATAATTAATTGACACCTGGTGGTGCTTTTTCACCACAGTAAAATCAGGTGTCTTATTGTTTCAGCAGCCATCGTGAATATTTTACGTGGCCATGTGGATCTCGTGGTTTGCATTCTGTATTCTTTTCTTTGCCTGGTACTTCATAACTGAAGTATGCTTGCAATTATATTGTTTATTAAAGTGGTGTTGTTCTACATGTTTTTATAAACTTGTTTGTCATAATCCCACATGACTGGGACAAAGATTATAGCATACATAATCGGGCAGGGATGAATTGTGATTTCACTCTGCTTCATTGCAGATAACATGCCATCTTGTAACAAGTGCCACCGTAACAAAATGGCGTGGGACCCCCATCCCCTGTGCCTAAATTGTACATCCCCGTGCTCCCAATCTACAAAATATAAAGACTGTCTCCCACTTTCACTACAGCTTTCGTCAAATACGAGTATCCTGTAAGCTTAAGACCCAGCAGGCCCGTAAATGAAGGACCAATATGTCAGACGTTTCAGAGCCCGCCTTCTCCCCGGTCAGGTCACCCTTCACCCAGACATCAGCCATGATAGACACCCCAGGTTCAGTGACAACCATGTCGGCTACCACCTCAGTTGTAGTCTCCATTTGGTCACCCATGATAACCTCCACTACGACCATCTTTTCATCGACATCAGGCATGATGTCCACTGGCATGACGCATACGGAGGACCACCACCCGTCACTCCAGTACCAAGCGGCTATACAGCCCGGCATACAAGTGCCCCTTGGCTTCGGCCCTACAGTCTTCCTACAGACACCTCAACTACAGACGCCACAGCAACAAATGCCTCTCAAGGATGCCTCCTGGCTCCATTACCTGCAGTTGCTACAGCAGTCTCTACCAAGATTCCTGGCTCCTTCAGCTTCCGCCACTATCACAGCTCCCCAGGCTCCTCAAGCGTCTCTACAAGCGCCTTACCAGCCACAAGCACTCTTGATAACGCCTTTTCAGGCGTCTCCACAGGTGCCCACAGTTGAGCCTATATTGGACACGGGTGACGCGCATAGTACTAGGCCTTCCAGATCCTGTGACCCCTCCCCCTATAAACTTTGCTTGTCGGAGCAGTAAATCCTCCCGCTACAGACACCGCTTGAGCAGCCGCTCTCTGGTGCACCATTCCAGCGGCTACTTGTTGGACTCCGAGGGCACCTTTGAGCCTGCATATGAGGGATCTACGTCGGAGATCAACACACATCTTGGGCTCAACCAGGTGGCGGACTTGCTAGTTGAGTGTCTTGAGGCCGTTGCTCCTTCCCCGAGACAGGGAGTGGACAAGAAGGATGCGGTCTGGTCTGACCCCCACAGCGATTCCTCCGGATCCCCCCATCAATGACATGGTCATAGCCTTAGACGAGGACTTTGCTAAGTTGTCACTTACCCTCTCCTTCAAGCACCCAGATACAAGAGGGAAGACTCTACCACTGGCAGACTATGCTCTTACCTTGGATGAGGACCTCCACCGCGTGTATCAGATAGGAAATTGGCGTACATTGAGATGGAGCTGAGACGCTCTCAAGCCACTTCCAGGGCGGCCGTTCTACAGGACTTGTCAGACCCCCACAGGCTGGATTACCTCACCACCGTCCTTTCCTACCTTCAGAGACAGGTGGAATACATGGGGACCCACATGCTTGCCACCTTAATTGAACTGACTACCGCTCGGTGTCTCCGGTACCTCACCCTCTCTGATTTGGACCCTGAGTTTAAAAGAGACCTCCGTCAACCATGGTCCGCCACCATACTCTTCAATGGTCAGGTTGCCAAGACCCACGCCAGAGTCTCCGCCTCAAGGCTCCAGCACATGTATCCCAGGCTGCCTCCTTCAAGCCATCAAAGTCTGTCACTTAGACCAGCCTAGACACAACTGCCTCCAGATGTGCGACCAAGACTCGTCCTCTTCGTCCTTTCGAGGCAAGTCCAGGGGCAAGGGTAAGCCTGGCTGGCTTCTATCAGCATCAAGATCACTCTAGGGGAGGGAGCGGTGACTGCAAGGACCTCAGGTGAATCGACATGCACCCCCAGTCGTTCAAGTGGTGGCACCCCTGTAAGTTGGAGACTTCGCAGATATTAGCGGAACCTGGAACTGGGGGAACCATACGTTACCAACATCCTCCGCCACAGGTACAGGCTCTCCCTGATACATGACCCGCCTCATGTATAGCATGATACACAATTTGGCCACCTTCAACAAATGTACCTGGCTCGTCCACCTAACTACAGAATGACCAAGCTCAGGCTTCCCCGGTCCATGATCTAGGCTCATGACGCTCATCAGCTTGGACATCCAGGACGGGTATTTACATTCCTGGTCCATCCAGACGACAGGAAATTTCTCAGATTCATTCCACTTTCAATGGGCGGTCCTCCCGTTTGAAATTTCTTCGGCCCCCTGGCTATTTACACTCTTAACCAAGCCGATAGCGTCGTTTCTCAACTTGAGAGGCGTCCAGTTTGAGGCGTACATAGATGATTGTCTCCTGAACCACAATGACACGCCTCCTACTCTGGGATGGCTAATCAATCTCTGGAAGTCGGAACTCTTGCCATCATTCAGCCTCCAGTTCATTGGCGGTCTCTTCCAAACCAGTCGAGACCTCCTATCTGTACCCAGGGATAGGTGTGATTGTATTCAACTTGGCCCTTCACTAATAACATACACTAAGACAGTGTATCTTGGGCCTGCTGTCAGCGCAGGACTTGACCTCCAGAGGTCAGCTTCAGCTACATCCCATCCAGATGTTCCTATCGAGACCTATCGATATCCATCGTCCTCCTGGACCGTCTCATGCCTCACCTCCAGTGGTAGATGATGGAGTCGAACATATTAGAATGCTTCTCTTTGACAGAGCTAACGACCCCGTCGCACCTATTCATTGACACATCTCTTCAAGGTTGATGAGCGCACCTGGAAGGACAGTTCGCCTCGGGGTTGTGGTCCGTCATTCAGAAACTATGGCACATCAACAACCTTGAACTGGAAGCGCTCATTCTGGCTTTCTCCCACTGGAAGCAGACCCTTCAGAACACGCATCTCACCATCTCGACGGACAACATCACCCTCGTTTGGTGCCTCCAGAATCAGGGAACCACTCACTCCCACTCTCTGCTCCAGCAGACGTTCACAGACGTCCCAGATCCACAGGCTTGGGCGATTGACACCTTCAGCATCCCCTGGTAAGGGCGAAACGCGTATGCTTTTCCGCCTCCTTTACTCCTTCCCAGGGTTGTCCAAAAGATCAAGCTGACTCAGAGCCTCAATCTGACTTTGGTCACGCCCTGGTGCCTGGCAAGGGGCTGGTTCGTTGAGCTTCCTCCCCATGATGCCTTCAGATGTTCCGGCTTTTGGCAGTAATATGAAGACCGTGACATCATTTCCGTGGTCACGTGGGAGCTGTGTGATAGAATTGTCCTCACAGCCAGTTGAAACAACTTCTCCAGCAAGACTTCACACACCTCTTCTTTCTATCAACAAAAAGCAGTAATATGCATTTAGGAGGAGTAATGCAGGGTAAGTATAAAAATGTAAAAAATATCTCGGGATTTTACTCATATTCTTTGTTCTCTGAGGCTCATCCAACCCAACCAAATAAAATCTGATTAAAAACAACCAACTGAAACTGATGTTGTTTGTCATGGATGATGAATGCTTTATGTGTCATCGATGGCTTCTGAAATTTCATTATCCAATGAAGACAATTAATCTATGATATCTTTATCTATAATATAACTCATTGGTTATTCTCTAAATGTCTTGTTATTATACACCCAAACACCAAATTTAAAACAGTACAGGCCAATCATTTCAAATTGTGTGTGTTTGTGTGTGTATGTGTACGTGTACGTGTACGTGTAGGTGTACGTATGTGTACGTATGTGTACGTGTGTGTGTGTGTGTGTGTGTGTGTGTGTGTGTGTGTGTGTGTGTGTGTGTGTGTGTGTGTGTGTGTGTGTGTGTGTGTGTGTGTGTGTGTGTGTGTGTATGTGTTTGTGAGTGTATGTGTACGTGTACGTGTGTGTGTATGTGTTTGTGTTTGTGTTTGTGTTTGTGTATTTGTTTGTGTGTTTGAGTATGTGTATGTGTTTGTGTTTGTGTATGTGTTTGTGTTTGTGTATGTGTATGTGTATGTGTATGTGTATTTGTATTTGTTTGTGTATGTGTATGTGTATGAGTTTGTGTTTGTGTATGTGTATGTGTATGTGTATTTGTTTGTGTATGTGTATGTGTATGTGTATGAGTTTGTGTTTGTGTATGTGTATGTGTATGTGTATGAGTTTGTGTTTGTGTTTGTGTTTGTGTATGTGTTTGTGTATGTGTATGTGTATGTGTATTTGTATTTGTTTGTGTATGTGTATGTGTATGTGTATGTGTATGTGTATGTGTATGAGTTTGTGTTTGTGTATGTGTATGTGTATGTGTATGAGTTTGTGTTTGTGTGTGTCTTTGTGGATGTATGCAGTAGTAGACACCGTTTGTAATATTCAACCAGTTGACAGCTCAGTTTGGATAAGTGGTTATGTAAAATGACTACCTTTTGAGAGAAAACTGCCAGTCTCTCCATATGCACTAGTCCTCTGATACAGTGGCCATGTCTAATCCTGTATTTTGTATCACTTCAAGATTGACAACAAATACGGAAAGGTTTCTAAGAGAGTCTCGACTTGATCACCCCTTGGACAGACACCGACCTCCTGCCAAAAGGAGTAAACCCAATGCCATCTTGTCTCTTGCTGAGCAACAGAAGCAAGCAGGTGAATGAAATTGTTGTTCTGTACCTTCATGGTTGTATTGGTTTGGCTGCAACACTAAAAGTACACTCATCAAAACTGTATCTTTCGTGAAATAGGGGATCTATTGTTATGAAGTAATGACATTCAAGTGCTGATATTATTCATCAATCCAAATTGATACTTTCATCAATTGCACAATAAGTATGACTTACCTTTATTAATCATGAATGTTGTGAGAAATTAATGTCTAATGACAGCCCCTTGTTGGATCAGCACTGAGTTTGGCTGTTATTCAGGGCTAAAAGCTACTAATTAATTATTTTGTAAGATTTAGTTATGTCCAGATAAGATTTTATTGTCATACATGGTGCATTACTATATACAGAGAGCACCATACCTCCCAAAATGTTCAGTAAACATGACAAATAATACCAAATGCATTTTTTTAGAAATCTTTCAATTCAGAAGAAAGAAAGAATGTGTCTCACCACACATATCAAAACCAACTTTGTGCATAGTTATCACAAGGGAATATATATCCACCACTTGCAGTGTCGTTATGTCTGATTACTTATTTCAGGGAATTAATATGGTAGCATATAAGATAGCTATGTGATAAAGAACGAAGTGTTTATTTCACACAAAACATTGTTTTATCATATCATAATTTCTAGATAATTGAACATACGCCCTGCAATTCGATGTCGTAAATTGGATGATGCTATTGTTGTGAGGGCAATGAGTTCTTCCCCTTAGGTGCAGCTGGAAAATGCAGTTTAACTCAATGGGTGAACGATCGCATCCCAAAGTGTGCGAGATATGCAATCTGTGATTACGGCCTTGAAAATCAAATAGACTCGTCTGACATTGCCAAGATCGCATTGTATTCAGGGAGTCATCACCTGCGGATAAATATTTTTAAAGCTGTAAATTATGATGATATCTCACATAATAAGAAATGAATGACTCATGGTCGTTGTTCATCGTACAATAAAACACTACAGGTAGAATTCACCACTCTGTGCTGAGCCCTTTATGATTTATTCTCCCTGCAGTGTTATATAGTATGATAAACAACTCCCCCTCGTCATTTATGTCTTTAATATGTACATGGCATGAACAGATACAACAATGATCCATTATCTTTTTTCAGATCTGCCGTTCAAGACTGACAAGTCGGCTCTCAGTAGCATCTTGACCAATTCTGGAATAGATAATCGTCCATCTGTGTTCACTCCAAATAAGCAGGTACTTCGATTTCATCCAAAAGGCATATCAATGATGGGTTAGACTGCTGTTTGTCAGTCCAGAGTCTAGTGGATGCATATCGCTATACAAGTGCAATAATTGTTAACGCAATATGAACCCCATTTATCATTTTTGATAGAAAACATAGAAAACGTGCATGATGAATCAACACTATTTGTTCTGTGGCTGTCTCAATTTAGCCAAATACCTTGCCATCTATGTTGTGATGCATATGAATGGATTAACAAGATTTCCCCTCGTCTCCACACACCATACACCAAATCTTGTACGTTTGTGGATATATCACTTACGTATATTGGAGATTGGGTACTAGAAGTTTTATCCACTTTTCTATTAAAATCCATTAATGAAGCATTTGATCATGCCCGGGAACATGGTTAGTTACCTCCCTTTGATCATGGAGGCTTGTATGTTTCATAGCCCCAGGCTTTATTCCCCTTGACTCAGTACCGGTATGTCTCAAGTTAGCTTGGGTTGTATAAGACTTTTGGTTTGAATGGCAGTAAGTGTATTTGTAACCAAATAAACAGTTGTGTACAATCAACCTGGGAAAGGACCTCCCTACAAAATGTATTCCTTGATGAGTAAAATACTGGAATACAGTATTTGACTACCAATGGACTTGTAATATTTAAGGATTTTTAATTTATTTATTTTTAAATGGAAATAAAAAGGAATCGTGTGGCGACCTTTATGATGAGAACCAAGACTATTATTTTTTTTAGCCTTAAGACTTTCTGATTTAAAGATCAACTTGCAGAAAGCATGGTGTCGTTTTACATATTGAAAGAACAATTAATCGATCGTTAATTGTTTTTGATGGGGTATTGAAATTATGAAAAATAATATTTTTTAACTTTAATCCCTCAACAACAGTGTGCAATTTCCTTCTTGCTTCAATTATATAACAGTGTAGAACATTGTGAAAACAACAATCACCGGAACACACCCTCCGACCACCTCGCTCCCAGCAGGCTACTACTCATCACTTTTTCCTTCATCGCCAATAGTGAACGGACATGTTTGCTTCCTCTCCACATTTACGTTTGGATCTATTTGACATCGCCTTATGTACATTCATCTTAATAAATAATATCAAATAAACGGCTTCTTACCTTACGCTCACATTCTTTCCCCGCCAATGTTAACAAAACTCATGGTAAGTGAAAGCTATGTTTTGGTGTCCGTTTCTCGCGATTTTAATACCTCCCTTGTTTTAACGTGAACGTCTGCGCTTTTGTTAATGTGTTTGATCCATTCTTGAAGCTATCTCGCCTGCTTCATGGCCTCTTACACGGTCATCCCCCCTTGTCTCTGTTTGTTCCGGAGCTTGTTCCAAGGGGACTATGATGGCACCAGCCTAAACTACCTGTGCCTCTTAGGCTCTGACCTCACCTTGCCTCCTGTCGTCTGCTGCTGATTGCCCATTGGCAAGCCCTGCTTCGCATTCGATCCTGTCAGTCTATCTGGAGCTTACCATTGCATGGAACAAAAGACATTTCTCCATGCGCCTCACCATAAACCATATACACAGGCGCAGCTTCAGGGTTATCCGCCTTGGATGTTAGGTTATCACCATCACCCTGCTTAGCTACAGCCATTCCAGGTGCCCTCCACCTGGCCTAACCTGTTTTAGGGTTTAGAGTTTCAAGTAGTAATATTGGCTATTTGTTGTGGCGGACGATATTGCAGGAAAACTCGCCTCATGATAGCGATGGACAACGCCTCCTGGACCTCACGTTCACATTCTATCGTCTCATAGACGAAATCCCATTAGAGGTGAGAGCTCATCACATTCTGGGTGTTTCCAACATTCTCACCGACTCCCTATCTTGCTCCATACAGTCGGTCCGCCAGTCAGACGATTTGCCAGACCTTCGCCACACATTACAAGCACCAGCTTCAGATGTTTGTATAACCGATACCAGAAGCTCTGGCTTGAGATCACACACACTCACCATTGAGTGGAACAGCCTACACGCATGTGCGTTTCCACCTCCGGCGCTCTCGAGAAACTGGCATCCACAGGGAACATCCATATTGTTTTGGTCACGCCTCTAAGCTTGTCAAACAAGGAGGCAATGGTTGACTGAGTGTCATCATACCCTGACAGATTCACAATTTTACCCACTCATATATATGGTCCAGATTTGATTATTTACAGGCTGTCTCGATGTAACTGGAATATTGCTGACTGTGGTTTTAAACATCAAACAAACTAATTTTTATCCCCCCAGCATATAATGCGGGGGGATATAGCGATTAGCCAGTCTGTCTGTCCGTCTGTCCGCCCGTCCGCCTGTAATCATTTCCTTTTCCGGGGCAGAATTCGAAAACCATTCAGTGTATTTGATCGTAACTTGGCAAATCTATCAGGCACATACTGAAGTGGTGCCTTTTGATATTTTGGGATTTTTCTAATTTTAATTATTTTAAATTTTGATGGAATGAAGTTGGACATAGACTCAATTGGGGATGGGGTTCGTTTCCGGGGCAGAATTAAAAAAACATTCAGTGTTTTTGATCGTAACTTGGCAAATCTATCAGGCACATACTGAAGTGGTGCCTTTTGATATTTTGGGATTTTTCTAATTTTAATTTTTTTAAATTTTGATGGAATGAAGTTGGACATAGACTCAATTGGGGATGGGGTTCGTTTCCGGGGCAGAATTCGAAAACCATTCAGTGTATTTGATCGAATTTTGACAAAGCTATCCAGCACATACTGAAGTGGTGCCTTTTGATTTTTTTTTTTTATGAATTTTTATTTTTTTAAATTTTTATGGAAAGAAGTTGGACCTAGACTCCATTGGGGAACGGGTTCGTTTCAGGGGCAGAATTCGAAAACCATTCAGTTGGTAAACAATGTATGCTTCTTAAAGAACATTCAACTGTTGACTCATTACATACGGAATTGCACATTTACTAGTGGTTACTTTACAGACAGCTGCCGGGGGGATATGTCATCTTTCTGATGACTCTTGGTACAATTCAAATTTGCACTGACAAAACATACCCAATGCTACAAAGTAAGGAGTACAGAGTGCCTTTATTCACTGTGTCAGCATGTTATTTTCTTCCATTAGTGTTATGAGAGTCTGTATTTTGGACATGATGCCTTTACTTGCAATAAACTCTGTGGTTGGACAGTTGGATCCACTGGTGTTGCTCTGCACTGTGTTCTCATTATTGGTAATTCTGTCATTTTCTTGTGGTCTCCAGTGTCCGAGATTATCCATCTACTATCAGGCTGAGAACAGGGTCTCCCTGTTTGACAACTGTATCAAGAAACGTGAGTAAAATACACTTTATTATTATAATTATAATGTTATGATGTTTATGTTGCTATGGTTCCCTTTATCAGTGTCAGTGCAGCTTTCAGTGAAATATTGATGCCATTCTCAAAACCAAGATCTGTCGTCAAATTCACTTTGGAAACTATTTTTGACAAGCGAAATCACACCCAATCTGCAAATCTATTTACTCACATTCTCAGTGACCAGCTGGTAACCAGGGATGTAGATTTTGTATATTTATCAATATGTTACCATGCAGGGATAAGAAATTCCATGTATTAGAGTGCTTTTCGTAAGGGCATGAATCCAGAATCGTAACTGCATGATTATAAAATGTTTCTGGTGCCTGAATGAAACACTTGGAAATCATTGTTTAGTTTTATGCATACCTTGTGACTGTGGCTAGATGTATAATGTAGTGTTGGTGGGGTAGCCTTGTGTTAAGGCATTAGCTTTTCAAGCTAAAGATCCGGGTTTGATTCACCATGTTGGTACAATGTGTGCCCCCTATTTCTGGATAATTTAAATAAAGTACAAACTGGCTACAGACAAACTCATTTTTTGTCTGTAGCCAGTTTGTTCTTTACTGTATCATTTGTGACATGATCACCACCTCAAGAGAAAAATCCAGTATTAACAAACCTAATTCACTCAAGCAGCATTTGATAATATTCAGTTGCTTATGTGAAGCACTTTTTACGATATGCCCTTGTCATTTGTGTTTATGATATTGTATGAGTCATAATTATTGAGAATTGAAAAATCTTTAAAATTGTAAATATGAAAATTTCCCCCCCCCCCCCCCCCCCCCAAATGAAACATATTTTTAGTGAGCACAAACCTTCTTTAATCACATCACAGTAACATCAATATTTTATCAGACCACCATTTGCTTCCAAACACAGTTTTATACGATTGGGCATACTTCCTATGAGAGAGGTTATCGCACCACCTCGCGCTTCATGTCATCAACTTTGAGTCCCCACACATTTTCTCTAGGATTTAAGTCCGGGCTGTAGCTAGGCCAGTCCTAAACGGTCACAAAGTTTTCCACAAACCACTGCCGGGCATGTCTTGTGGTGTGTTTGGGGTCATTATCCTGTTGCAAAATCCAAGTATTTCCATAAAAAAACATCTGCATTTGGGATCAGGTGAGCTTCCAAAATGTCTGTATACCTTTCAATGGTTAAATTACCCTCAAAGACACACATGGGCGTCGTTCCAAGCGAAGATATCCCTCCCCAAACATGAAACTTCGGACTGTACTTTGATCTCTGGTACAATGGAATGGAATGACATTTTGTCCACATTTTAACATTGTTAGGATACACCCATACAGAGCTCTCATCTGTGAAAATAACACTGTTCCAGTCAAAGTTTTCATGCGCCAAACACCACTCTACACGTCTATCCTTGTGTTCTTGTTTCAAGAGAAGAGAGGCCATTCCTTTCTTTTTTTCCCATCCAAGTTCAATCAAACTGTAGATTCTTACTGTAGATTTGGATACATTTACTGTCCCTTTAATTACCATTTCATGTTGGATATTTGAGATACTCGCCCTTCTGTTTTTAGAAGCCAAAATACCCAGTCTCACACGATCACCAAACACCAGTTTTCGAGGTCTCCCCGCTCCTTTTCTGTGCTCAATTCCTGAACCATTCTCAATATCCTTCTTAACTCTATACACTGTAGAAAGAGGAGTATCTGTGCTCTTTGCTCATGGAGCTGTAGAATCAACCTTCTTTTCTCCTATGCACTCATTTCTGACGTATATCAGGAAAAGTCGTCTGCTCCATAATCAAGGGAGATACCTCTAATTTGCAACTTCTAAAATTGAAGAAGAGTTGCTTCCCTTTGACCATACCTCAATTTTAACACTTGTCAATATTGATATTTTATGTATGCTTCCTTGAATATGACATTAAAATTCTCAATAATTTTGAACCAGACCATATAGCATGAAACAGAACAGAAAACATCTTTAAAACTAATCATTAACATAGAAACATCTTCTGGCAGTTTCATACCCCATGTAATTGAGGGTGTTATTGGGAGGGCATCAGTTGTCAAATCCTGACATGTTTGTCCTCCTGCAAGATAATCGCTTGCATGTTTCAGGATTGATGACCATTCCCAATGATGTTGAGAAGGTGATGGAGACTGACAGAATCTGCATTGGGGAATCCCCCTATGTGAAGGGAGCTAGAGTCAAGCCTGTGCGAAACTCTGTGTATCCTGAGTATGTCCGGAGAACCTTCCTCACTCCCTCCACCCCCAAGGCAGACATTTACAGTCCCATCTCAGCAGTCCCAGCCAGCACGGTCAGTAGACAGGTGCCCCTTGGCGTCGTGGAGTGCAATATGTGTCAAAAGTGCCTTTTCATTTCAGAGGCAAATGGAACATGTCTATTACCTGCATTACTATGGTATTTCTAGTATTCTTGGCTGACATGTCATGCTATAACTGAAATGCTGATGCTGATTCTATTGCTGATGTAAAATAACCTCTGTATCATACTGAAACCCAGTGTTCGAAATTAAGGGGGAATCTTTGACTTTCATGCTTTATTTTGATTACTGGAAACCTGTGTCGTTTCCTTTGTTTGGTTTGTTTGTTGTTTTATGCTGCACTTGGCAATATTCCAGCTATATGAAGGTGGCCTGTAAATAATCGTGTCTGGACCAGACAATCCACTGATTGACATCATGAGCATCAATTGGGATGGATGACATGCTTCAACCAAGTCAGCGAGCCTGACCACCCGATCCCGTTAGTCGCCTCTTACGACAAGCATAGTCACCTTTTATGGCAAGTATGGGTTGCTGAAGACCTATTCTACCCCAGATATTCACGGGTCGTGTAGTTTCCTGATGCATTTTCAATTTGTAGATATTGTTAAATATCATTTCATCTTTGCAGGCTCGACGAGTACCAAATCCAAATTATAAAGCACTACAAGGATCTGTTAATGTAAGTGTTTTAGACTCTCTGTGATGCTCCATTTAATTCAAAACCTATTCTTCTCCAGTTACAGAGCATTTACTATTCATAAAGGTATTTCTATTTTGATGATGATAAAAAGATGACACTGTAGAGCATATAATCAAATTCCAAGCAAAGGAAACAGTGATAAACAAATGATGATATTGATATGGCAATAACTAAAGTTGTATCTATTGTGTTCCAGAGAATTAGAAAAACCCTCAGATGGGGAGACATACTGGCAAGTCCAGACTGCACCCTTAAAGCAGATAATCAGAAGGTAGGTCAAAACTGAATTTTGTAGGGTAGATGGCCACAAGGCTGTGAGCCTGTGGCAATAAAGTTATTGTGGTTTTGGAGATGTAATCTGAACGCTCATTGGTCTAAACACTTTGAGGTTTTCCTCTTGCTGAAACCAGGCCCAGGGGTTCACTTGCCCAAGGACAAGTGAATAGGATGGATTCCTTGCCCGGATTGAAGTTCTAGTTGCCCGAAGCGTTCCGTTGAATAAAGTATAAAAACATTGATAACATGACAGGTACACTTGCAACTGGTAGCCCATTCTTTCAAGGCTGTTTAAGGGCTGAGTTCATTCAGACATTTTATTGATTTGAAAAATGCTGTTGAGATTTGCCTGGCTGAGTACAGTGATTTTGGATGCCTTCACAATTTACATATCAGAACACAATCTCTCTCAAGTGGCATATTGAATGAAATGTGAAGTTTGTCATAAATATTTCTTGACATGACTTACAATTTCTCTTGTATATCCTGTTACATTCTAGGCAGTTTTAAGTATGCGGGATTATGATTATCACATGTAATTATCTCATGAAAAAAGCTGGAATTATAGGAAACAGCTGTTCACACGTTCAGTAACTATTTTTGTCCTAGGAACAACTGTCTTTTTTATTTTAGTTGCTGTTTTTCCTATATTTATTTGAAATAAAAATGATCACAATTGCTGCACTTTGGTATATCGCTGGTTAGTTTTTGCATATGGAATAGTTGGGCGTGTCATCATTTGTGATCAACCATTTGTGATCAACCATTTGTGATCACACCTGGCTCCCTGTCCTGCCAGTATCAACCATCCTTGACAGTATGGTGTCTACATCCGAAAGTTCTTAGGACTTACCATTGCCCAGAGATTGACCTATTCGCCACCAGGTTAAACACACAACGCCCCAGATACGTCTCTCCGATTCCGGATCAAGAGGCTCGATGCTTACGCCTTTCCACCAACAGTGCTTCTACCACAGGTGATTCAGAAGGTGGTTGCCTGATTGCGAAGAGATCTTCTCCTTTAACCTCACTCCAGCCTACTCCATCCATCCCTGGACATCCTACATCTATGCGTTTGGCTCATCTCCAGAAGTGCCTAGTCGCAAGAGGGTACTCGAGGCGAGTAGCAGAGAACACTTATGAGGGTCATCATACTTTGACTAAAACCTTGTACGACCATAAATGGAAAGCCTTTGAGGGATACTGCCGTGGCCTATACCTCTCCTGCAACTGCTTCTCCACAGCAAGTTGCGGAATATCTTCATTGCTACCACAACAGGCGTGAAGATCGCCAAAACTTCAAGCTCTTCTCCGCACCTAAAAACTCGCCTGCAAGTCATCCAGATTTCATCCACCCAAATGGGATTTAAACCTTATCCTTCGACACTTGACGTTAGCATTATATGAGCCTCTGGAAGAGAAGGACTTCGGGCAGATCACTCTTTAAACAGTCTACCTTCTAGCTTTGGCTACTGCTGATATGGTCAGCAAGATACATGCCTGGGATGTTAACAGGATTTGATTGCAGAGGCACAGCCATGGAAAGGTTCATTTGGGTCTGTAATGGGATTTTTCATCACAAAGAACCAACTCCCTGGTCAACCCGACAGGCTATTCATAATCCTGTCTTTTGGGGCGGTCGGGTAGCTCGTCACGCCGAAAAACCTGGGTTCGAATCCCTACATGGGTACAATGTGTGAGCCCATTTCTGGTGTCCCCGCCGTGATATTGCTGGAATATTACTAAAAGTGGCGTAAAACCATGCTCACTCACTCCCGTCTTTGGCCTCTATTCTACATCCCGAGGATCGTGTGGTCATCTTGCTATGTCCAGTCAGAGCCTTACACATCTACCTGCAGGCATTTCAACGATCCTGGAAGAGATTGTTCATCCACATCTCCCAGATGGTTACCTCAGAGGTTTCCCGTACAGCAGTCTCCTTTTGGTTACAATCTACAATCCTGTGCCTAAAACTTTGCGGGATTGACTCCACTTCAGACATCAAATCCTCATGAGACTCTACAATGGCTCTGCATAGTAATTGCTCCCTCGGTGCTATCATTGAAGGATGTTTCTGGAAGTCTGACACAGTCTTCTCCTCTCACAACTTGCGAGATATCGCCGTAACTGATGTCCAAGGGCTTCACCACTTCGGTCCGCTAGACCTGGCTCAACAATTAACGACATCCCATCAACACAGCTTCGACAAAGTGTAAAATGAGATGCCAAGCAAAAGATGCCTACGTCATTAGAGTGTTTGGGTGAGTTTGCTTGTAGAGCTAATTGACCCCTTCTGGATTGGTTCCAAGTCGTGGTTGGATAGGTTGCCCTACTTCAAAACCACACGGTCGTCATAGTACGATATCCTATGCGAAAACACACAACGCATGTTATACCCAATGGCATGACGTTGTGTCACAGTGGCGTAAAGGGGTGTTCTCACTTAAGTGCAGTGATCCTCCCATAAAATCACGAGTCATTTTCTTCGGACACAAATGTGTGACAATCTTAGGATTGAAGCATGTTTAGCACCAGTTTCCTCATATTTATCTCACAGTTATAAGACAAATACAGTGTGGGGTAATCTGCGACCCGCCGTCCAACCATGTGATAAATGCCTAGAGTGAGCTGGATTTGTAAATTTTACAGTAAATGGTATATTTATAATACATTTCCTATCTCACACGATCTATGCCCGCTCATCCATCCCCGCATCACAATTACACAGCCTGTCAGTTTCAAGAAAGAGAATGATGAGGCAGAGAGTGTCAGGTGGTCAGCACAGGTACGGCAAGCTGCACGAGATCCGGGTGCAAGACCTGATTGACACGGTTGTTGCCATGGTGATGCAAGGGATGTTTGGGCGAATGAAGTTTTGAAGCAGGAAACTTTGTTATGGGACATTTCCACACATGGATCGGAAGAAGAAGGATGAGATAGGATAAGTATTATGAATATACAACTTACTGTAAAATTTACAATTTTGCTTGCCTGAATTGAAAATTCACTTACCTTGCATGTCGAGCAATGGGATTTTTTTAACCCCTTAGGCTGTGGCTTGATTCTTGATCAAGAATAGCGAATACACTGCAAAGTGGCCATATATATTTTCATGGATGAGGGAGGAACATTGTGTATGCAAACCCTTGAATTACTGAGGATGACGTTTACTGTACAGGTTATATGCAAAACTAGGTTTGATTCCCCACATGGGCACAGTGCATGAGCATATTTTAGTATCCACCTGCTGGAACACTGCTGAAAGTGATGTACAACCATAGTCCATACTTCCTCACATGAAGAACTTCTGTACATCCATCTTCACATCCATACTCTGTCTCACACGAATATAAGGAGTGTTAATTACCTCTGTTGAAGGAACAGACTTTGATTCTCTGTGTCTGATACAGTTGACTTCCTTTGTTTATGGCTAACATTGGTTACACTCACCAATGTTCCAGCTTTGTCGTTGCAGCCAGTCTATGATTCTGTTGATTGCATTATCAGCTTTATTCAGAGTCAGGGCACAATGACGTGCAATGGGGCTCTAATGAAAAGCATCAGATACCTGGGATGTACCCTGACCCAGAATCCCCCCACAGGGGCCCATCTATATTGCTGTGCATATAGACGTAATTAGAGCTTCTATATTAGTGGAATAATGAGTTGAGATGAGAAACAAGCATTAAGCCAATCCAAAACAAATGGCAGAGTGTTTAGTAAAAGTGTAAATCTGCAACTGACAGGTGTCCAATTACATTTGGGGATTTCCTGAGTACCGTGATGAAAACCTTCACAACAAGGGAACATAACTCCTCGTGACTTATCCGTCTACACAGTGATTTTATGATGTCTCATCAGTCCTGGGCCCTCTTGCTCAGAGCAGCCTTAGTTGCAATCTATCTTGGGTGCTTACAATCAACTTGACTAACCACTTGCACTAACCAATCTTAGCAGGATTGTAAAACGACTTGGATGTAAGATCACGATCTTAAGTAAAATCAAAATCTTTAATAGTGGAGGTATGTATACCTTATGCTTGATTCCCGGCTACAGTTGCTTGCATACCAAGACTGGAACTGATTGTGGTGTTCTACATTTACCTCTCTCCCCCCAGCACCTTGCACAGGTGTAAAAAAGGTTAATTGAAGGATTATGTCATGTATTTCTTCCTGCATTGATTCTGTCATGATTTTGGGATTGTGAGTTTACCCGTGAAGATCCAGGTTAGAATAGGTCTTCAGCAACCCATGCTTGCCGTAAAAGGCGACTATGTTTGTCGTAAGGGTCGACTAACGGGATTTGGTGGTCAGGCTCGCTGACTTGGTTTAAGCATGTCATCGATCCCAATTGTGTGGATCGATGCTCATGATGTCAATCACTGGATTTTCTGGTCCAAAATTGATTATTTACATTATTCGCCTTTTACGACAAGCATAGTTGCCTTTTACAGCAAGCATGGGCTGCTGAATACCTATTCTACCCCGGATCTTGAGAGGCTAATAAATTCTGAGAGGGAGAATAAATCCTTCATACCCCGTCATGAAGAAACAGTTTGCACATGGATTTCTGAACAGGAGAATATGTCTCTTGAGGCCCGTACGAAGCAAAAAAGCTGCACCTTTTTAACAAGGCAATGAAAGTCACATGATAGACCACAAGGTAACCTCAGCTCAATTGAACAGCTGTATTCTATCTTTATGTAATCGTTTTAATTCTTTTACAATAGCAGATTAAAATATGTGGCATGCATAAAACCACATTTACCCCTAGTGATACTGATACAACTTATAATATTTTCAGGAAGAAGGTGTTCAATGTATATTCACATATATGGCATAGAGTCAGGTGGAGATTGTGTTTTACCTATTGACTGGATAGTTATCTGGTTCACAGTCGTGATTTATGATATTTCTGATGTGAAATCTGTGATGCGTTTGTCAGATTGAGTTGTCGAATTGAAACATAGTTTAACTAAATGAAATAGAAATGTTT